CCCCCCCCCAAAATCACGGAAATACGCCAACGCCTGAACACACCTGCATCATATCCACGGTCTTGAGCCTGAGGCCACTTCCGCCAAACACGGTGCGGCTGCTAGGTAGATCTGGTCTCCTGCGATGGAAAGCCGGCCCGGCCCGGTCTAGCCCAACGGAGCCACCGCCAGATGCAGGCCGGTTTCTGTTTTCCGGGAAGAGACGCCGCGAGATCCCTGGCGTTTGCTGCGGCTCTTTTATTCCCTTCTGGCAAGTATTCCTACCTTCCATGGACCGGCGTTTCGCACCCAATCGGCAGCGGTCGCACAGGCAGCACCCCCGGCGTGGTGTACGGGTGCGCGTTGTGCGCGCTGACCGCTCCGCGCCCTGATTGGCCGGGCGCGCTTCTCACCACTGGTTCCATCGTCACCACCCAAATCGTCCTCCACCGACCCTCCAGTTGCTCGTTTGTACCTTTTGCTCCTGCGCCATATACCCGTTTTCCCGCCCTAAAACCCCCCGAAATGGCCGAATCGCAGCCCAGAGTCTACCCGGACTCCACCAACAAATGGCCCACGCCATTCAAAAACATGCTCAGCTCCCAAACCTACCCCAAATGGGAGCCCGTGGACACCGCCAAGCAAACCAAGCAGGTGTTCAAGTTCGGCTTTTTCTCCGTGGCTGGCGCCTACGCGTGGTTGTACCTTTGGAAGCGCACGACCTTCAAGCTCGAGCTTCCCATGGTGGTCACGGGCTTTGCCACAGTGGCGGTAGCCGCCAGAGGCATCACCGCCAACTTGCGGGAGAAAAACGACGGCTGGAACACATTCTGGGCCGTGGCTGCAGGAAACGCCGCCGTGCTTACCGCGGGCTTCAAGCTGGTGCCGCTCAAGCACAAGCTCATGACGGGTATCAGCGGAGCGTGCGTGTCGGCTCTTGCCGAGCAGATTATGTGGGCGCAGTCGGCGTCGTCTGCTGGCCAGCACACTAGATTTGCCGCGGCCAACACGGACGAGGAGTTGCCCAAGCAGGAGTTCTGGGACGTGTTGAAGAGAAGACCAATGTCGCAGACCGTCGACGCCTTGGGGGTCGGCAGAGGCATCTTCAAGCCATGAGTGCCGTCCCCTTTTTCCCAGCATATCCCCTGCAGCGCATGTAACATAATCAAAGAACAAATATATGTAGACGAGGCGTCGTGGTCTTGTGGTATGCACACGCTGCAACAACGTAGTGGGGCGTCTGGCCATTCGCCATGTCCGCTCCTGTTCAGAGCCTCATTCTATCACGTCATGTCGGGAATGAAGGAGCAGTTGCACTCGCCTCGGGCCAAGCCGTTTCTGCTTGCCGGGCTGGTGTTTCCTGCCTTGCCTGTTTGGTGAGTGTATGATTTCCGTTGCGGGCCAGCGTGATTATGTACAGTGTATTTTCTTTCGATAGGTGGAAAAAGTCAGGCAAAGGGTGGCATGGGGCACGCCACAGAAGACTCTCCTGCTCCCTGATGTTCCGGATACATGATCGACCTTGCGGCAAATCGCGCTCCATGCCAGCATTGTCGAATCCCATCGGCTTCGAAATGCCGAGTTGGCGGGTCGAGGCAAGCAGCTGCACGTGGGCAAGAATGAAGTGAAGTGTGGGCGACAGGCCCTGCAAGAGGAAGACTAACAGGCCTTGTATGGATAGTCCAAAGAGTTGACCTTCAACTTCCACAACTTTTTCTTCTTCTTGGTAACCACATGCTCGCCGAACAACTCATCACAGTATTTCTTCTTGAACTTTCGGATGAACCCAGGGTCCCACAACTCGCTGGCAATGCCCAAGTCTTTGCAGCATCTCATCAACGCGTTACTCTTGCAGCCCTCCAAGGCCGTGGTCAACTTCTCCTCGCCACCAAAATAGTCCTGCTCGCCGCGGGCCACGGAGACAAGACGCCCGCTACAGATAAGCGCGTACTCGCGGCTGACCTGCTTCGGCGTAATGTGGCTCTGCGTGCGTGGAGCCAAGCCCCAGCCGCCGGGCCCAAATGCACGGTTGAGGATCCGCCGGTACTTGATTTCGGGCAAGTACAAGATTCCGTCCGGCTTGATCTCGACGTCTGTGGGGTCGAGTGGCGCCAAAAGAATGTCGCTGGCCTCCTTGGGGAACGGAGCCTGGCCCAAGCCGTGGAAAGAGTCCGACCAGTCGATGGCACTAGCACTATGGGGCTCGTACACGGGCGAATCGTGTAAGGACAAGCCAGGGGCAACCTGCGTGGGCGCCGACGCCAGCGCGTGCAGTGAAGAATCGTCACTTGCAACTGAATTAGGGGCCGTGGCCGCCGGGGCGGGTGGCGGCGTGCTGGCCTGCACATGGGGCTTTTCGGCAGCCGCTCTTCGGACAGGCGATACACGGCGGGCCATGGTGAAGAGCCTGGCCGGCTGGCGGTTCAATGTGCCTCTGAAAATCATGGCTATTGGGGTATGGATTGGGTGAGAGTTGTGATAGAAGCAAGGCTGGCTTCAAGTATGCCCGTGGTGCACGGGTGCACGCTGTGGGTGCACGCATGGTTCATGTGTTCGCAGAATCAACGGTGCACGGGTGTGCACCGCGGCGGAGTCCTGGATGCACGGGTGTGTTCCCCAGCGGGATGGTGCGAGGAGCGCGGCTGGCAAGGCCAAACCCAGAATGTACGGGTGTTGTTTCGTGTCAGGCTGCCGAATGCTGGACTACCCGCCGAGACCCCCCGTTAAGATTGTCCCTTTTCTCCTGGAATCCGCAGGCCTGAGATTCAGAACCGAAAATGACGTCTGCGGCAAACGAGCATTTGCAGCCTTCAAGAGAAACAGGCGGACTGAGCCTGTTTTGCTATGCTGATCTTCAAGGTGTTCGCAAAGCTAAAAATACTGTTGACAGACGCTGTTGTTCCTGGGACTGCACATATCGCCTGGCGGCTCACGGCGCTCATAGTTCATTGTGTGTTCGCAGCTGTGTGTAAGGAGCGGCCTACGCTGTTTGCAACAATATGATCCTTACAACAAAAAACTCATAATTAGCGACCATGGATCTACCCGCTATTAGGACCGGAATCTCAGGACGCTAGCGCGGTCCTGCACGGAGCGCCCAGGTGTCCGGCACACTGCACAAAGCAGGCACAGCATAGCCTTGCAGGCTCGTTGCGAGTCTGGCATACAGACGGCCTCACTTTTCTTGTTATTTCTGGTTTGAGGCGCGGCCGCGGACCGGAAGTCTAGCTTCTGTTGCTCCTCTTTTTCTCCAAGCACATCTCGTCGTATACCTTAAATCAAGGTTTGAGCAGCAGCGTGTTTTCTAAGACGGAGAACTTTTTGTCATCGCTCTTTTTGAAAGTTTGCCTCGTATTCTTTGGAAGGCCCGACCCAAGTCTGCTGCGGTATCACGTGTCGTCTAAGTCCACTACCGCCATAAGCCGATCTACCACTTTCGCATAACAGACTCACACCCAGCGTTGGCGTCCCGCTTTTTTCTCCCTTGACGCTTAACCTGTGACAAAATCTAAGGTCGCCAGAAAGCAGACACCATATCTCGAAGCCTTTCCAGTCAGCTTGCGCAGCCAACAAATCCAGCTGACCCCTCACATCCCACACCGGCACCATGCATTTCCTATCGCTTTGGATCATTTTGGTATCGCTAGCCGCCCGCGTCCTGGGTGACGTCTCCATAACGTCCCCGTCCACAGATCAGACATATTCTGGCTCCAGTGGCTCCGCCTCGGTATCTGTCGTTTGGACCGATGACTCGGATGATGATGCCGACGCTTCACTTTCCAACGTGGATCTGTACGCCATCGTTTTATGCACGGGATCAAACAGTGATATTCAGAGTGTCATGACTTTGACCGACAGCCTTTCTTCCTCTGCGCTCGAGTACGATGCTGTCATTGACGAGGCCGACGTGCCCAGTGGTGTTTACTTTATTCAGGTGTACGCTAAATTCGGCTCCGGATACACCATTCACTACTCAAATAGATTCACGTTGACTGGCATGTCTGGATCCACGTCCACGTATACATTTAGCGCGTCGCTTTTCTCGATAACGGGTACACACCCGGGTGCACAACTGAACCTTGACGGCGAAACTACCCTGATTGATTCTAGGTCGTTTTCTGTCACTTACACGCTACAAACAGGCAAGACTAGATACGCGCCGATGCAAACGCAGCCAGGCTCGTCGATCTCGCACTCGGTTTACTCGACTAGACACGCCACGTCCGCATACACACCGTACTCGACCATCAGGGCGTCGCCAAACGTGTACTCGACCGTCACGCCAGGTTGGAGCTATGCGGTCACTTCGACTTTCAATACCGCTGCGGTCGCCGAATACCCGACGTACTACTACCCCGCATCATCCAGGGTGGTTTCCGCGTCATTGTCCTCTGCCAACAAGAAGCGGTGGCTTTAGAACTTCATCTGTACACCAATATCAAAGATTTGTATGAAAAACCCAAGAAGCTGATGTGGAGTCAGATTAAGCGCTTCTACGTGTTATGTTGAATTAAGGTCTGTGAAGAAAAGCTCGTTGCATTTTGTGGTGCAGGGGTGATGCTGTTGTAGACATCGCTAGATGAATTCTAAAGTTTCGATTTCGGTGGGCAGTAGCGTGCAGCGATCTTAGCTTCTAGCCTTAGTTATATTTCCGCAAAGCAATTGAGACGCCCATTTGTTATCCTTGGCATAGCTCTGTGGTCCGACGAGTTTTTATCTGTGGAGATAGTATTTTCGGGTGTAATTGATGAAGTTGGCGAAATTGTTGCAGAGACGAAGTTTTAGGAGTCGACAATCCAAACTCTCCATTGTTCAAATCACTTCTGCTGCGAAGCTTGAAAACAAATCTGTATGATTTCGTGAAACAGGTTGAACCAATGCTGGGTTTCAAACGGACAGAGGAGAAGGCCCATGAGCATGTTGGTTTTGCTCCTGATCCACAAGGTAAGTCTTGACTCCATGTCGCTGGCCTTTGACTCATTCCAGCAGACTATGCTAAATGGTGAATGGAAACAGTGAGAGCCCACGTGGACTCTCTACGTGGTCATGGCTCAGATGTAGCCAGGTAACAACGACCGTTGACTACCTTTTTACCAGACGCAAGCAAAGTATTCTGAATGCACCGGGATGAAGGTGGACGTGGTATCTTTAAATGACGAGCTGTTTTTTGCGGCGAAAGTCAGTTGCCGTTATCTCAATTTGTATCTTCAATACATAAACAGACTCGAGATTGTGCATGGAATTCGAAAATCACGATTACTAAACCTACTTTGATTCGGAGATCCTCAAACACAAGTAATATGCCATTTTGCAAGACATTGAAGATGCATGAAAGCATCAAGTTGCTTCCTTCACGTTCTGTCTACACCATATTGCTTTGGAACATTCGCATTCTCGCCTCAAGCGATCGCCGTGCATCTTCGTGAATTCTTGCTTGCACGCAGCTGACCCAAGCCTCAGATTATTGAAGCATTTCTTGCAATTGGTCAGCTCGAGCTTGCTTAGTGTTTTATTTTCTTATTACGGAAATGACCTCCCGGGTGGCAGGGGTGTCCAAAGGTGTAGAAGAGGACTGGAAGAGTGATTCATCGAGTATTGAGTAACAACCGGCCTTTTTTAGGTGGCGGTTCTGCCGGTCACTTTTTCAAAACTTGATTTTATATATCAGACGGAAGTGTTGGTGACGATCATCGTCTAGTTAAGTGAGGGTACCATACATGGCAGGACAAGACAAGCACGGGGTGCCCCAAGGTGTGCTGGTCCCGTATTCTTTCATGTAGTAACTGATTTATTGCCATTGACTGGATGATATTTGAGAATTGGAAGAATTCCCAAAGCAATGAACAAATATAACTCGTATCACAGTACTAATTTAAATGAAGATTGCGACGAGCAAGTCTATCCTTGAACGTTCTCCGGATGGTGGGAGGGTGTTTTTTCCGAGACGGTGACAGACTTGCTATTGAACATCAAGGCTCTGCGTATATTCGTGGTTCAAAGAATGGCTTTTCACTGTTGGAACACTGCAAATACAGACTTGATGTACTAGTATATATTATGGTTTGGCTCTGATGTTAACCCAGCCTCAAAATAGAGATGAAAGTATACCGTGGCTCACGGTTATATTTGGGAGGCCAACTCTTTGATACACAAGATAGACTAGACTATCCATCACACAGTTGAACTCTCCATAGACCTAGCTACTGCCTATTCCCACCTGTGGACCAGCCGTGGTGCATTCCAGCATTCGGTAACTGGGCCAGCAGGAGAAGGGAAATCTTACGGTTTCAAATCAAAGAAGACTCTGAATTGATGAATTGGACCATTACAATGATGTATGTTTCCCGTTGAAAGACCACCGATTATTTTGTGCAAAAGCAGACAACGACAATCGGCCGTTGAAAGTCAAGAAGCGTTCCAGGCAAACAAAGCCCACTGGTTGCGAAAAGGTAATAGGCAATGTTATAGTTATGATCACTCTGGAATTCGTGTCAGCCGAACAGCACCCGATTATTGTCGAAAGAGTATTAGAGGGAAAGAGTATCAAAAGAGTGAACAGCACCGAAGCGCCAAAGTGGTACGAGCCGCCAAAGTAATACGATCCGCTAAAATTATATTAATACGTACCGCCAAAGTAATGCGAACCACCAAAGAAATACGTACCACCGAAATATAACCGAACCACCTAAACAGCGCCAGACCCGTGTCACGTGACAATGTCGACCGCGGCCTGGCTGGGTCGACCCGTCCGAGAACGAACAAAAGGTTAATAACTCGGTCGTTTACTTTACACATAATGCTACTCTTTTTCAATCAATGGATCTAGGATCCAGATATAATCCAGCTGACATGTTTTTTATCAAATTCTGCGCAAAGCCGAACCATCCATTCCATGACCCTCCATCTGTTTCGCAGCTAATAAACACCCATCCTTTGAACACAACACCCTCCAAATTAATCCCCAAGACGCCCGCTTTTTTCACTCAACAGATTTAGAATCTAAATATAATCTAGCTGACTAGAGCCTTTTTTTGATCAAATTCAACCCTCAAGGCCCGAACCATCCATTCCATGAGCTAGCTCCCCTGTTTCGCAGCTAATAAACACCGATCATATGAATACAACACCTTCCAGATTATTTCCAAAGACGCCCCGCGTTTCTTGCTCAAAATTTCTGGATTCAAATGATCCAGCTGACTTAGTCTCTTTCCCTCAAATCTGCCCAAAGCCGAACCATCCATTCCATGACCCTCCATCTGTTTCGCAGCTAATAAACACCCATCCCTCAAATACAACACCCTCCAGATAGGTTTCCAAGATGCCCCGCTTTTTTCTTTCAACATCTTCAGTACACAGATACAATCTAGCTGACCCAGCCTCTTTTTCATCAAATTCAACGCCACTGCCCCAAGCCGAACCATCCATCCCATGACCTCCCCCTGTTTTGCAGCCTATAAACACCCATCCCTTAAATACAACACCCTCCAGATAATTTCCCAAGACCCCCCTTTTTCTTCACCCTCTACTCCCCTCCACAGAAAATCCCGACCCCAGCCCGAACACCGTGGCATGGGCACGGCCCGGCACGTGACGCGCGGCCTGCATACGGCGCCGCGCCGGGGCCCCGAACTGAGGCCTCGCTCCACCCAAAAGACTACAAGAACCACATTCCTACGCCGGCAAACGGACCACATTTCTTTCCCGCCAGCCGCCCGCGCCGCCCCTTCCGTGCCAGCGCCCGCCCCCGCTGCAAATTGCAAAAACAACGCCGCGAAACGAGCAGAAACACCCCCCTTCACCCCCCTCTAGCGCCGCCCGTCAGCCACCATGGAGGACTACAACACTTCTTCGTCCGCGTTGCGCAAACGCAAAACCATCAAGAAAACCATCAACTTCTCGTTCATGGTCATTGGCGAGAGTGGGCTGGGCCGGTCCACGCTCATCAACTCGTTGTGCGGCGGCAACCAGATCGTGCCGCCGCTGCTGACTGCGACGCAAGACGCGTTCCACAAAAAGCTCACCTTGAGGCACGAGAACGTGGAGTTGGAGGACAACGACGGCCACAAGATCTCGTTGAACATCATCGACACGCCCAACTTCGCCAACGGGCTCGACTGCGGCGACGACTTCAAGGTGGTGGTGGACTTCATCCGCCACCAGTACGACGAGGTGCTTTTGGAGGAGAGCCGCGTGAAACGCAACCCGCGCTTCAAGGACGGGCGCATCCATGTGTTGCTCTACATGGTGCGGGCCACGGGCCACGGGCTCTCGCCGATCGACGTGCAGTTCTTGCAGCACGTGAGCGGGCTTGTGAACGTGATTCCGGTGATCTGCAAGGCTGATGCGTTGACGCCGGCGGAGTTGCGGCTCAACAAGCGGCTCGTTTTGGAGGACTTGGCGCGCCACAACATCCACTACTACAAGTTCAACGAGTACGAGTACGAGCAGGACTACATGGACGACGAGATCGTCGAGTACAACAAGTACTTGAACCTGTTGGTGCCGTTTGCGGTGATTGGCGCCAACTCGCTCGAGGCGCTGGCGGACGACGACGACCCGGTCAAGTTGCGCGTGCTCAACCCGGCCTACGCGGTGCCCATCAACGTGGAGTTGCCGGAGTTCAACGACTTCACCATCTTGAAGAACGTGCTTCTCATCACCCACTTGAACGAGTTCAAGGAGATCACCCACGACGTCATCTACGAGAACTACCGCACCGAGGCCTTGTCGGGCAAGCAGTTCCACTACAGCGCGGGCGACGCGCGCCTGGGTGAGGACCTCCCGGAGCCCGAGCCCGGCGCGTCGGATTACTTGGCCAAGGAGGAGCAGATCAAGCTCGAGGAGGAGCGCTTGCGCAAGTTCGAGGAGCGCGTGCACCAGGACTTGATCAACAAGCGCAAGGAGCTTGCGGAGCGCGAGAACGAGTTGAGGGAGATCGAGAAGCGCTTGTTGGCCGAGGGCTTGAAGCTCAACGACGACGGCGACGTGGTCAAGTTGGACGAGTGAGGGCCGCCCGGCAGCTCAGCCGCGCGGCTTTCACGGGGCTCCTCTGCGTGTCATCGGGGCTCTCTGCATGGTATGGGGGCTCTCTGCACGGCTAGATCAAGGTTCCTACTTGTCTATATCACAGCTTTCTTCATGTTTAGATCATGGTTCTCTACATGCGTCTATCAAGGGTGAGGCCCTCTGCAGGCTTCTCTACATATCCACATCAAGGCGCTTTACATGTCTATATCAGGCTTCTTTACATGTTCATTGAGGTTCCCTTCATTTCAATGTCAAGATTCTTTACATGTCTATGTCAAGGTTCTTTTATGTCTATGTCAAGATTGTCTACATGTCTATGTCAAGGTTGTCTACATGTTTAGATCAAGGTTCTCTACATTCAATCAAGATTCTCTACATTCAATCAAGATTCTCTACATTCAATCAAGATTCTTTCCATGTCTACATCACGGTTCTCCACATGTCTATATCACGGTTGTCCACATGTTTAGATCAATATTTACTACATGGTTGTTCTCCACATGATTACCAACGTTCTTTATACATTCATATCGAGGTTCTCTACATGCTTATCAAATTTCTCCACATGTCTACATCTATTTTTTTGTTTGATTGATCTGATTAATAGACCAAAAATATACAAATGATATATAAAACGTTCAAACAGCTCCGAGATACTTACCAAGTATCAAAACTCGGCACGCCCCTTCCGTTAGTCACGGCCTGGACGGTCTCTTAGCCTGTCTCTGTTTACGTATGGGATTTGACGTCTTCGATTGCTACAATAGGTCTGCTATATTAGTCGCTGCAACTCAAAAGGTTGGAGAGGACTTAAGCAGCTTACTTCCTGCGACTCGCCATGCCTTCGAATGTATGCCTTGGAAATGTGGTGAGAATCCAATTTGATTTTTCAATTTCTCCAAAATTGCGTTCAAACTCATGCGCTTGGCATGTTTTAGTTCTTGTCACTATTATGAGGACGTTTCACAGATGTTGTGGATATAGATGCTTCACAATTGTAGATATATATGTTTCGCAGTTGTAGATATAGATGCTTCACAGTTGTAGATATGGATTAGCAAAGCGTCTGTGGCGTCTCCGTTGTTGTCGATTTGATGTGCCAAGGTACATTGGAAATCCAATGTTTTGTGTGGTAGGGTCCTGCGGCGGACATATGATCCGTGATTAAGTGATGAATGGACGATAGATCGTATCGCTTCAACCATTCTGCTTTATACAAGGTTTTCAATACTGTATTCTGGCAGTCCGTGGGACATAAGCAAACTAAGCGCTGTGGAATTATCGGGGGTTGCTATTCTAGCTTTTTGTGACCCAACGATTTGAATGTATCCTTACTAATGATTTTCTTCTCTGCTTGTTCGAACTGTGGAGTCTTTTCTAGATTTGTTTGATCTGCTCATGATTGTATCTTAAGCTATCTACAGGTGTCGGTATAGTTCTTGTCCTGGGGACGAATCTTTCCCAGGTTTCGAATTAAGCAATTTCGCTGTTCAGGAAGGTTGAATCCAAGTGTATAAAGAAATGACTCGGGGTCGAGCAAGGAGTTATACCATTCGGAAATGACTATATTTCGTAGCCTGGATTGTTCGTTGCTCGATACAATTTAATTCATGTGATGAAGCTTTCATATTTTAATTTTAGTTGTGTCAGTGGTTCGATAAAGCCATAGCCTCCGTCGCAAGTCTCACATGAAGTTTCGACTTGTGGTTTCCTGGAAACATTGTTGAATTGTGAAATCAATTTGGTTATAAGTTTTCTGGCGGTATTGAAGTAGATCTTTGTGCACCGTTTTGGAACGGACCAAAATGTTTGTCCTCAATACTCGGCTGATCAAGTTCAGGCTATGTTACCCCAGTTATCGGGTTATAAACGGGAGGCTGGCTGTAGATTTGCCCAGTTTACCCCTTTTATTGGAATACCCAAGTATGTCAGATCTTTGAAGAGATAAGATCTGGGAAATCGAAAATAGTCTTGCTGAAATCTGGGATGGCTTCGATGGGAACCACAAAGTTTAGATTGTTCATAGCTTATTCTGCCATAGTTCACCCGCTCGAAAGCTGTGATTATCTTTTTGGTTTTTTTGTAGTCGTCTATATCATTGAGATATATGTTCACGTTATCTGCGAACGCATGGTACTCCATGGCTTGTAGTTCGACTCGTTAATAACAAAGTTTGATACCTTCTATCAGATTGAGTTGAGCTAGAAACGGCTTTAGTTCCAAATTGAAAGAAGAGGGGATTTCCGTGCTATTTACCCTCACAGTTATTCATAAAATTCTGACGTGACTGTTTCGTTATGACCGGTATCATTAATCGGAGCATCGAAGCGCCGGGTATCCAAATCCCATCAATACAAAACTTCATTTATATACATATGAGAGATGCGGTCAAATGTGTTTGTAAAATCTGCCATTAGAGCTGCTTGGATGCGTGAACTATGTCTTTCCTACATGTCAGCTTGTATAAGCGATGTCATGATAAAACATTTCATAGTGATCAAGGTTCTCTTCATGTCTTTATCAGGATTTTTAAATTTTCCTATCAAGGTTCTCTAATTGCCTGTGTCAAGGTTGTATACATGTCTATGTCAAAATTCTTACATGTAGCTTAGGCTCTCTGCATGTTATCAGGGTTCTCTACGTATCCATGCCAAGGTTTTCTACATGTTCAAATCATGATTCTCTACATGTAGTTAAGGGTCTCTATATGGGTCTCTACATATATATTTGAAGGTTATCTACATATTCGTATGAAGGTTATCTACATATTTATTTCAAGGTGCTCTACATAATCTCCTGAGGAATATCTACATATTCATTTGAAGGTTATCCATATATGAGTGTTCTCTACATATGCTGTCTCTGTTGACCTGAATGATTATATGTATATATACATGTTTTTCTGAGTGTTTGTGTTGCCCATCAAACCTTATGAAAGTTCTCTCTCAATATTTGGATGGGCGCAATTGCCAAAGGGTTGAAATGACCTTCAATCTTGCAGTGACTGACATGATAAAAATATGTACATATCATAAAACCTATGCACCGCGCATTCTAATTATTTTGAACGAGTAAGTAGAACTGCAAAGGTAGAGAGAATATTCTGATCTAATGTTTTTCAAGAGAGTAAAAAGCCTTTTTAGCAATCCATGAAAAAACTCAAAGAGCAGGATAATTAATCAGCCAATGAAGCTTCCGCAAGCATATCTATCGTTTTTTCTGGTCTATCGTGTCAGGCCTCTCTACTTGGCTTCTAGTAACTTTGCAAATTTCAGATACCTTTCAACTTTCATCAGGGTTGGTATACATAAGCCATGCTTCCTTCTGATTGACTCAGAAAACAGACAAAGTTGTTCTGTCACACAAGATTCTTCTTATGCAAGCTATACAAGATATGCGCTTCGTTTGTTGGGTACTGAAAGAGAATTTTGGATCTACGCACATGGGGCTTATCCAATTACTGGACGCCAGCTTATATATAAAACGAGGCCTGTTATTTTTATGAAAGCATTGAGCAGTATTTAAGGCTCATGGGAGCTTGACCATATCTCAAAAGAGTCGCCTTCTTCGATTTCCTTTTTTTGTTTTAAAGTAGAAATAGAAGGGTGTGACAAGGTGGACTCTGACTAGGCATCACATACAATAGCTTTGTAATAGAGCTTGTCACGTGCGATGGCAAAGTCCTCTTCCAACCTGTAAAGGGCATTGTTTTTATTTACTAGATCTATACTATGACTTGCAAGTCAAGTGTTGAACATCGCAGATAATCAGTTGATGTTGTGTGGACACACACGCTTAACTCGGATACACTATATATCATTTTGTTTGTTTCTTTATGCCTTGTCAAAATTGCATGTCCAGTATCGAAGCAGTTAAACAAGACTGCAAATTTGGATTGCGGAAATTCGGAGAGATGTTCGCTGCCTTCTGCCTGATCGATTGAATCGCTGCTTTCAAGATGTTTTGGAGCATAACGTTCCATTCTTTTAAAAAAACACGAGTACTGTTCAATGTGTTCAAGTTTCGCTGTGTATAGTCACAGAGAAGTTTTCCCCTCAAGACGAAAAACGAGACTTTCGGTGTTGCAAGGACTTGCTTCATTGCCCCGCATAGTGATCCAATTTACACGAGCACTTCTGCGATTTTATGCAACTTTTGATCATAGTGAACAATCAAGCTGCTTTTAGACGTTTAAGAATGGAAAGGCTCGGACACTCACATGTAATCTAGCATGGTCGGATTACATCACTGTAGCTCTTGCATCTCATTTCTCCAACATGAGCGGAGAATTCTAGAGAGAATCATCGACTCACAGACGTGATTCTGTAAGTGTAACAGGGAAAATCACAGATGATCGGCTGCAAGGTCCAGCAGATTTACTTTGAAAGGAGATGGAATAAAAAGACGTCCATAGGGCAATTCTCCGGGAAAACAATGGTAATGGAGATTGGTTTTTTGGATCAAAGATTCCCAGCACGGCTGGGAGCCACCAGTCTTTGTGTCACACTGTTATAATTTCATTTTTCTGAAATCTAATGGTGTTGAGTGTTCCAGAGGACACGGGGACGGAGATGACACAGCCACCAACGCAAAAATACTCCGATGTAATGTAGCCACACACAGGCATATTCCACGACAGTAGTGTGAAATGGACAGTTCCACAGGCTACGAACATACAGTCAGCCATACCAAGTTTGCAGCTAGAAAGGGCAGCTAGTTTGATGGCCCAGAACGCCTTCTTGCAAGGAAGCGCATGCCAGTAAATTGCGTACATCATACAAGCAGCTAGTACATATAGAGGGATACCGGGGCACCGGGCCTCCGCCGAGCAGATCTGGACACAGGCTCATTCAGCCATGTCTGCAACCCAGGCGCGCTTCAGGCCACCAGGTACTTTTCTACAATCGCGTCGAATCTCTCGTTCTTCTCCCTGAAATCAGTCAAGAGCTGGTGCGCAGGGTCTGCGGCCGCCAACTCCTTCAACAAGGCCACGACATTGGCGCCGTTGTTGGTCAAGTACTCGTACGTGATGCGGTTTGCAACGAGGTTTGCGGCGCCGGTTCCTCGGTAGTCCAAGGCGGCCACCTGGTCCAAGATCTCCTGGGCCTCCGGGAAGTGCTTCAACTGCAAGGTCATGACGAACAACGCACTCAAGTTGTGGAAGCGGCCCTGCACGTCGTCGTCGAAATCGGACGACAACAACTCGTCGTAGAAGTAGTAGGCATTGCTGATGTTGTCCGCCTGGCCCTTGACGGAGTTGATCCAGCTCTCCATCACATGGTAGATGATGTCGTCGCGCGCGTCGAACGGGAGCGTCTGGAATCGCTGGTACACCCTGCTGGCCTCGGCAAAGTTTTCCTTGTGCAAGTGCAACTGCACCAAGAGCAAGTGGGGCTCCAACTCCAAGGCGTTTTCCGTGCCCCGCGCGGAGAAGCGGGCCAAGAGCGAAATGGCGCCGTCCACGTCCTGGCGGTACTTGACCAAATAGAGCGCCGCCAAGACGGCCTGGGCCTCGAACGCCGCGTCGCCCACGGCAGCGAAATACGACGCGTCGTCAACGCCCGACGCCGAGACGTCGCTCCACGCCTGCAACACGGCCAGCAAGGCGGGGTGTTCGGGGAACGCGGCTCTCCCCTTTCCGAGCAACGCGGCCGGGTCGTGCGCAAGCGCAAGCGCGGACCGCACCTGGAACTCGTAGACTTTCAACTGGGCCTGCGGAGAAAACAGGGCCCAGTCATAGGCCGCCACTTTGGTGTGCTGGCCCGTGTAGAACTGGTTTCTGATGGTGAAAAGCTCGCCGGAATCGGGCGGGGCGCTCATGCTGGGGCGTGTTTCGGGCGGTGTCGCGATGTGGCCGGCTGAGGTGTGGTCCAGCAACTGGTAGTGTGGTCCAACAACTAGTAGTATTGGTGGCCCCAGCTGCCATGGTGAGCGCCGCGGCGCACCGCTGGAGCTCGCGGCGGGGTGGTGCACGGGTGCGCCGCGCTCAGGCTGGGTGCAAATTGGCTCTCGGCAATAGCCATGCTCATATTAGGCCCATCGGGGAAGCACCAAGCCGCCGGGGCTGCTGCTGGCAGAGACACCCGTGCTGAACGAGGCCCAAGGTAGGTGAAAATCGGGTGTTTCGCCCCTGCGGCCGCGGTCCGGGCCGCCAGCCCGGGGTCCCCACCGCGAGTCATTTTCACTCCCGTCCGTACAGACATCGTTCACGTGATGCCCGGCGGCGGGGCCTCGAACTCGAAGGACGGCACCTTGAGCACGGCCGCCCGCGTGTAGTCGCCAAACGCGTGTTTCTGTTCCAGGTACTCGGCCAAGCGCAAGTAGAGCGGCGTCTCGGAGGTGTCGCCCGCGACTGCAAGAAGCCGTCTGAGCTCGTCGTTGTTCTCGAGAAGACCGGCGATATCCACGGTGCCGTTGGACTCGCCCCGGAACCGCTCGACGTCGTTGACCAAAAGCGAGACTTTCGCTGGGCGTGGCTCCTCGAAAACCGCCGGGGCCTGTAGCTCGGGGTTGTGCCAGTGTAAGGAGCCGGAGCTGAACCCGGAGATCTGCGGGCTCACGGTCCGGCCCAGCGGCTCGCCCCTCAACAACGAGAGGTTGGTCTCGGCGATGGACGCGTATCCCCAGCGCGCAACGCCCGAAAGAAAGAGGCCTAGGAGGATGCCCTGGAACGCGTACGCGGTGCGGCCGCGTGTGGAGCAGCCCGGAATGAACACGAGCCCGAAGATGTAGTGGTGGATCCTGAGCGTGAGCCCCGGCAAGGTGGCCAAGACAAAGAGGCCCGCGAACACGGCGCCGTACACCAGAAGAAGCCTCCAGAAGCGGCCCAGGAGCCACACGTAGTACGCCTGTGCCACGACGCAGCCCACAAGGAGCAGGGCCACGACCATCACCGTGACAAGCGCGCCCGGCTGCTCCTGCAAGTCGTGCCACGTGAGCCGGTCCACCGGCAAGCGGTCAAACGTGATGTTGTTGAGCACGCCGAGCCAGAACAACGGGTACCAAAGAAAAAGCCGGCTGAGCGGCGACTCCCCGGAAAGACCGACACAGCCACTGGCCGGCCGGCCGTCACAGAGCGTGCCTGCCAGCGACGCCCTGCTAACGTCGTGCGGGTCCTCGCCGAACGTGCGCCGCACACTGGCCACCCAGAGCACATACAAAATGAAGCACGTGGGGAGAAACCGCTCCAAGCCAAGCGACACAAGCTCGTAAAACAGCTGCGGGTCCGCGGGCTCCACCAACACGGGCGGGTCCGTTGCCGTGACTATCGTCCAGAAGCCCACGATGGCCATGGTCCAGTAAAACACCGCGCCCGGCGCAAGGTACACCACCGGGCCACCCAAAACAACATTCACAAGCAACACAAGGAGCCGCGGGTCGCGGCAGTGGCTGGGCGCGGCCGCCAACGGCCTGAACACGTACGAAAAGGGGAACACGGAGTCGAAGCCGATCGAGTCCGACACGCCGTAATGGCCCGGCGTGGCCCTGAACATGGCTTGTGCGCCGGACGAGTACGACATTCTGGCACAGCCCCCGAAAAACGGCGACACGATGCCCAGGTGCACCGCCGCGCCGCAGGGGAACGAGTCCGCCCGGTATGGGTACGAGAGTGTGTCGTCGTGCTGTTCTCGCCGGCCACCGCCGACGAAATACCCGCGGTACTTGACGATGTCGGCGCCCACTGCACGCAGCGAATAGAGCCAGCTGCCTCGGTCGCAGAGCGCAGGGCACCGCACGATCACGTCCTCAGACAGTGGTCGGCAGGCCTTGGAGTCGAGCCCGCAGGCGGCGTTCTTTCCTTTCCACAACTGGTCGGCCTGCCCACACGTGAGCGAGATCACTTCTTGCCCGTCCGAGGAGACGGGGCTGTACACAAGATAAGGGAGCAAGGCTTTTGTCCAAAGAAAGAGCCACAACAGAAGGTAGCACGCGAGAACCACAAGCTGTTTCTGCGAGGAGACGTTTCTTTTGAGTTTCTGCGGGAGCTCCTCGAGACGCTTCAAGGCCTGGATCGGCCGTGGGGGCTCGTCCCTCACATAAATGGGCCCTTGCCATAGCGTGTTCAAAAACAGGCGGAATCTTCCACCGCTATGGGAGCCGTTATTGGACCAAGCTGGCGTCGTGTTCACGCCCTTCCGTGCAGATGTCTCACCAAAATTAGTGATGCTGCCTTGGGAATTGCTAGCAGTCTCTCCCAGCAGACCAGTGGGCGAGCTGGACTGCCGTCTACTGAGAGACGCAGATATAGTATGCATCTCGATATCTGCCTCGCCCATGAGAGTCTTTTACCGTGTGCTCGGTCGCAAGTGTGCTGATTGGTCTGAGATTTCACCTGAGCGGCAAAGATGGTTTCCGAATGAGAGCTTAGTATGATAAGCAGCAAATTCGACGGCCTTGAGGGGCTTTTGGATATCCTCGAGGCAACAATTATGTCTGGTAATGGGCTGGCTTGTCGAGGTAAAAGGCCCGATCATCCGACAGGAAGACTAGACCGGTCCTGCGCGAATCCGCGTCACTTGGGACAATCCATATCTGTCGTACAAAGCGTCCTCCGGAGTCCGAATATGAAATTGTTTGTTGCGTTATTAGAACTCAGTTGTGATAGGCGGCTAATCTCTCCTTGGGTTACGTTTTGTTTTTTGATGCGCCAACTGTCCTTCATTGATGCCTCATCGTGAAGGCGCGCCATCTAAGAATGCAACGGCAGAGAACCGGCAAATGCGACTTTTCTTTCTTGTTAGATACTGCTTGAAATTACAGGAGACCTGGATCTGCTCGGCTATTGAAGAGTGAAATAAATCTGGGTGTCGGATTCGGGTCGACCAGCAGGAGTTGCTCACACGGTCTTTCGGCCCCTAGACGCGTGCTGCATCTGTGTGCAGTGTTGAGACGATAAGGTAGGCATACAGGGCATAAGCGCGTATTTCCGTACGTTGACTAACAAGGCCAAAAGCCATACTATGCAGACATGTTCACACAGGGCCTAGTCCAAGAGTGGTGCGGCTAAGATGCAATATCTAGTATTGTTCAGACATGTATCTAAACGTTTAGCTATTAGGGAAGCGTCAACTGGACTAATTGAGAAAAAACCCCTATTCTTACTCAGTATTAACTGCAGCTGTTCTACTACGATGCCGGGATCCAAAAGCAGTTTGCGTCTGGATGACATCGTTGTATAACCTTTATGGCAGTCAGTGTGGGTTCCTAAAATACAACTATTGTGGTCTCTGAGGTGTGTAATCTATGTGCACCCATCAGTCAAATAACACCTATGTATCTTTCTGGAATCAAAGGGACAATTTTCTCAGGCCAATAGGACCGATCTCACTGCTACGAAGACCCTCTCGTACTAGCTTCTAAGCTTTGACTTTCGAAGATTCAGCAAAGAGAGCTTTTTTTTTGGATTGAGCATCGACAAACAGTATAGCAGAAAGCTTCCAAAACCAATCCAAGGCTTAACTCTATTGATGTGAGTATACGTTTCCAATCACGTCAAAAACACAGTTACCTCACCGGACTCAAACATAGATTCCAAAGCCCAGCTGTCTCTCTGATTCGGAGCGATCACCGAACCATACATGGATACCAGGTAAAGAGGATTATTTTAAAGAATTGGTTCGTCACATGTTGTCTCCTGTTTGATTCTCGAGGCCGTCTGATCACTTCATATGATTTTTGCGAAGACAATCATATTGACGTATTTAGGAAATAAAATACCGAAACAGTTGTCTAGGTTCTAAATGGTGGATACAATCTACTGGTTTTGAACTACTGGAACGACTTTTATGTTTTGCCCCAAAAGAAAGCACATCAAACAAATTTTAGGGGCATTGGGATCAACGGCCATGCTCCCCCCTTTTTTTTCCAAGTGAAGTGATTAAATGCCGAACCTTAAGACAGATCTTATCATGTCTAAAGATAAGCGCGGGACAAAATTTTAGATACAGCCGCCCAACCAACCTTGGCAGAAATAATTTTCAGTCCAATGTTGCAAACTCCTCAAGAAGTATTGTAACTATATTTGTGCCTCTTTAAATAGTTGCATTCATATAAACATTTATTTTCCCGAAAAAAGAATTATTGAACTTTTTTGGCACAAACCGCAATTTGCCACTGTTTTTTTTAAACATTCAATTATTTGCAAGTCTTTACTAAATATGCCACAGCGAGCGGATATGACAGCAAGATGAAGACATTGAGAGAATGTGGCAAAGATGTATGGATGCAGCCAAGAAAGTTGCGATGTACGACTGTAAAAGTACATCTTTAAGCGTGCCACTCCTACACCTCATCTCAGTGCAGAGTCTTTCATGCATATTCCTGTAGCGCAATTCAAACTGATAAAAGCACAGAGCAAATTATGCCAATCAACACATTGCTTTTGTAAGCACGGAGCGGAATTCTGCTGGTGTTAAATCTGAAGCAAGCAGGAACAGGATCAAACAGGTCAAAGAGGTATTTGTCAATCTTAGATTCGTCCCATTCTCACGGCTATACACACAATTTTAAGATCAGCTTCAACGATAAGAAATGAGCATTTGCCACTGTCATATAATAGAGAAATACAACAGCCGCCGTATTCCTCGCATAAATTTCTTTGTAAAATTCTGGGTTTCAGTATAGTTTTAACGGAATGTGTCTATCTGTCATGGCTTCGCATAAACGCCCATACAGGGCTGCAGCATGCTAGATAAGATAATATGAGCTTATCTTTCGGACAAAAAGTCCCAATGTCTGGACGCAAACACTTGTATCTAGATAAGCTTTTCCGAAGTAGAAAATGGCCAGCTTTTGCTGGTTTGATTTGCTTGTTGCTATTCCAAAACTATACGAGGCAATACAAAATCTTCAATAATAGAATCATGGAGAAGAATAATGTCTACATCAGTTCAACAGAACAGGTCTCCATGGACAAGAAGGGGGATATTATAATTGGTGTTTCTGAAGCTGACAATGAGCCCACGACAAAGTGGGAAGCTTTTATTGACGGTTTTAGGAGACTTGAGACAGAAGATCTGGAGGAAGACTCGGATCTTTCTGAAGTGGAACAGACGGCCCGTGCCACAGCAAAAGCACCGTTGAGCAGGGCCTTGAAAGGAAGACACTTACAGATGATATCTATTGGAGGCTCTATTGGAACAGGCTTATTCATTGGTTCGGGAACGGTACTAAAAAATGGAGGCCCCGCTTCTGTCTTGATCGCGTACATTCTAATTGGTACCATGATTTACGCTACGGTTCATTCTTTGGGTGAATTAGCAGTGACTTTCCCGGTGTCCGGGGCATTTGTGACATACAATACCAGATTTATTGACCCCTCCTGGGGCTTTGCAATGGCTTGGCTTTATGCTTTGGGCTTTTTGTTTGTTATGCCATTGGAGTTAATTGCAGCCGCAATCACAGTGCAATATTGGGACGAAGAAACAAACTCAGCGGCGTATGTGGCCATTTTCTACGTGCTTATTGTTGCCATCAATTTTTTTGGTGTACGCGGATACGGCGAGGCCGAGTTTGTGTTTTCCGCCGTCAAAGTGCTTGCCGTTAGCGGCTTTATCATATTGGGAATAGTTCTCGTTTGTGGCGGTGGGCCTGAAGGTGGATACATTGGCGCCAAGTATTGGTACGATCCGGGGGCTTTCAACAACGGGTTCAAGGGTTTATGCTCTGTTTTTGTCACGGCCGCCTTTGCTTTCAGTGGCACAGAGTTGATTGGGTTGGCAGCGGCAGAAACCGCAAACCCAAGAAAGAGCATGCCCAAAGCCATCAGGCAGGTGTTTTGGAGAATCACTTTGTTTTACATTGTGTCTTTGATATTGGTGGGTATGCTCGTACCCTACGACAGTACTGAGCTCCAAGCGTCAGACGGAACTGCACGCTACTCACCTTTTGTAATCGCTATTCGAAATGCCGGCATCTCAGGATTGCCCTCAGTGATGAACGTGGTGATTATGATTTCGGTCTTGTCCGTTGGCAATGCTTCTGTTTTTGGCTGCTCCAGAACGTTGGTGGCTTTGGCTAATGCAGGTCAGGCTCCAAAGTGCCTTGCCTACATCGACAAGAGAGGAAGACCTTTAATTGCCATTTTAGTTCATTTGACTGTTGGCTTGATGAGTTTCTCCTCGGCTTCGGGCAAACAGGGCGTTGTTTTCGACTGGTTGTTGGTTCTTTCTGGTTTGTCTTCTTTGTTCACCTGGGGCTCTATTTGTATGTGCCACATTCGCTTCAGAAGGGGTCTCGCTGTTAGAGGGAGAGGCACCGACGAACTCGCATACACGTCCCAAGCTGGTCTTTTGGGTTCCTACTATGGTGTTGTTGCAAACGTGGTTATCATCATTGCCCAGTTCTGGATTGCGTTGTTTCCAATCGGGCAGGCCCCCAACGCATACGATTTTTTTGAGACGTACTTGTCGGTATTTGTCATTTTGGTGTTATATCTCGGTCACAAGATTTGGAAGAGGAATTGGGGCTTCTACATCAGAGCGAGGGATCTTGATATCGATACAGGTCGGAGAGACTTGGACTTGGATCTCTTAAAACAGGAGCTTGCAGAGGAAAGAGAGCTCATTGCTTCCAAGCCGATGTACCACAGGATATATATATCATTTTGTTGAGGATCAGAGGGCGTGATCAACGTACTTTTTGTTGAAGCCTAAGATGACTGGATGGCAGCATTGCGATGGATGCGTAAATACCTTTTAACACTGCAGCATATCTTATCTGCTCCGATGGCTCATTAAATCATTTACATTCAAATATACAAGTTATAAATCAGGCATGAGCTTACCAAGTGGTAGGTCCGAAAAACTCGCCGTCGGCGAGCTGATTTGACCAAGTCTCGCCATTATAGTCAACGGTGTCAATGACGTTGTTTCCCCACCAGCTAGGGAAGTTGGTGTTAGTCAAGTTCAAGCACAAGAAAATAATCAAAGATGAGTAGGCAAGGCCAATGTCCAAACCAGCGGAGAGCGAGTAGTTGTACTTGAAGTACCACTGAGTGAATCTCTTCTTGATGAAGACACTGGCAGTCATGCCGACCATACAGTATGTGGCATAATTGTATGGTGTTGCTGGAGGAATGTAACCTGTTCCAGAGAAGAATACAGGCCAATTCAACCATCTGATCTTGGAGTTGGGCCATTTTCTCAAGATCAAACAGTTGAAGAATGGCAACAACCCAAGGAGGAAAAAGAAGAGCGCACCGTGGTAGATGGAGCCAGGGCCGAATGTTCTCTCTGGCCCAATGGCACCCCAAATAAGCGAAGCATTGAAAAAGACCCTACCGTTAGGACAAGTGTAATTGTTTTTTTGGTCTGAATCACACAAACCGTCAATAGCACCGTAGGCCCATCTCATGACACCAATCTGCACCAAAGATCCCCAGATGGTAGCGAAAAGTTGAGCCCAGAACAACAATCTGGGGTCAATTTTCAAGTAGTGGCCCAATTTCATGTCCTGCGCAAATGTCACTGCCTGATTGTTGGTGATGTATCCGAAAGTCTTGAAAAACATCATGGCCAAAGGCTTGCCCGGAACCATGTACCCAATAATAAACTCAGTGAGGACGTTCAAACCGACCGCAATGTTGGTTTTGGCGTAAATGATACCCACGGGCAACAAGAAAAGCAAAGCGATAAGAAGCGCAACAATCAAACTCCAAACTGGCATCTCGGTGTTCCAGTATCTGATGGTCACGATGGAAATTGCGAACGACATGAGGAACACGATTCCGTACCACCACTCTGGGATGTTCTTGTAATTTGCTCTCATCAAACGCAAGTGCACGTCAGGCTTCTCTTTCTGCTTGAACTGCTGGACAATTTCAGTGCCGTGGAAGCAAACAGTATGAACCAAGGTGGCGATGATGGATGCAAATGACAATCCGTAGGAGATTGCAAAAGTGGACGATATAAACAACGGAGAGTAGGCCTTGTATGAAGCCTCGTCAAAAGTCAATGTCGTAGTGTCGATGATTTTGGAAACGTTATAGGTGTTTTGATATCTGTCGTAAGAGCCAGAGGAAGACAATGGCAAGTACTTCGAGTACCAAGTGTTTGTGTAGTAGACAGCGGGGACCACGATCCAGAAAATCAACACAATGGACGAGAAAATCGTGATGATGGTTCCTGCTGGAGGAATCAAGGGCGATCCAATGTAACCCGCGATCTGGTTCCAGTCAAAAGTGATGGGCATCAAGCCCAAGCCCGTGGAAGCCCCAAAAACCTGGTTAAGAGGCACGTTGTTGGGCGCAATCCACGTGGGCCATGCAAAATAGGACAACGCAGTGAACATGTAGTTAGGCAAGAAGTTCCAGAAGAAGTACGCAGAAAAGACGATGGAGAAAAAGGCAAATCTGGAGATCTTCCACCCGTTCGCCGGGTGGTTTTCGTTGAGATGCATGTTGGTCAAGAATGTGGTTGTGACCAAGTTGGCTGGCCAAATGGCGCCCGGAGAATCGACCAAAACCTTCCGGGACAAACCGGCAAGCGAAAACCCAATCACTTGTGTGGAAAGAATGGCGCAAATGGCAAAGCCAACACCGAAGTCAGAGTTGTAAAACTTGTTTTGCGCAGTAAGGATGTCGGTGGCATAAGCAGCACCTCCACCAAAAGAAACGGAACCCATGATGGTGATGATGGCATGTTCTTTCAAGTTGAAGGGCCCTGGGTTCAAAGGGCACCCAAAGATTTTCCAGTTTGGAACGGTCTTTTCCCAGAGTCTACCAGCAGGATACGCCAAGATAGACGTGACGTAAGTGGTGATGGAAAAAGATGGACTATGGAAAGCGAACAAAGTATTCATACCACAGCCCAAGGTGGTCATGATGAAACCAATAATCCACACACGGATAGTGTTTTGAACAAGACTAGGGTCGTCTGTCGAAGGCACTGAAGCTCTAACTTCGGGGTAAGGCGAGTCATCTTCGATATGAATACCAGCATACTCATCATGCACAAGTTTTTCTTCGAGGGCGGAGGTGACGGGGTCAAATTCAGCCGACTTCACCACCGTAAGACCTTCCTCGTTGATCTCATCACCATCGCTAGAAACTCTTTTTTCCTCGTGGTATGTTCTCTCGTGAGAGATGATACTCTTGAGTTTCTCCATCTTTATATATGAGCACGAGTAAGATCCAAGAAGATGGGTAAACCAAAGACTCGAGACCTACAGATGTGAGAAGCAGAAATCTACAAGAGAAAAGCACGATCCAGGGCCCGCCCAGGATCTTGAAGGCTAATATACCTCTGGCAGACCAAACAAGGTTGGAGCCGTTCACCTGTGATTGTTTCTTATCAGGACGAATTCTAGCGTATCACTGTATGGCCGCATACATGCGGCGCCTCATGCACAGCACCCAGGCCCATGCACACCCATGATTACGAGAGCCGCCCAATCAGGTTTACCGAGAAGACAGAAGGGTTTGCAAAATGAAGGCATGGTCTGCAGGCTGTCCTTGCGAATTTCTGGTGAGGAAATATACGCTTGCTCTTTTTCTCGTGAGGGGTATATTTCAATACATCTTTAGGTACAAGGATACATGAATGGAATAGTCCGCGCGGCCATGCGGAATGTTTTATCGATAAAGAGCACGCTATTATTGCACGATCAACAGTTGTGTCTACACGTGATCTTTTGCGTGAGACAGGCTTGCATATGCAAATTTCTTGGCAACACCCCAAAATCCCCTTCGGGTTTTGACGTGGACAGAATGCCGTCTTGAGATGCATAACTCATCTCTTCGTACTCACACACTGATAAAAACAAGGCTTTGCGCCAGGGGTGTACAGAGTACAGCAAAATATTATTTTGAGTGGCCTCACATTGCTTGGTCATGAATGGCAGGTGCTCTCCACATCGAGACAAGATGGGGAACCCAGATTATTAGGATTGCTGTCTCATTAGGTATGAGAGCCACGGGCCCGAAATGCCGATGTGAGCCAGCTTCATGCACGGCTCTGGAAGGTCTACTGGAAGGAGCGCAACCAAACGGCGTTTCGAATATATATGCGATGATATGCAGACGCTGCGGCTACTTTAAGGCGTGCGGGGGATGACGTGCATGCGCCAGATCGAAAGGCATTTCCAGGAGAGAGAAGAACTGCGATTGTTATGGTCTGTGTCAGATTTGATATAGTAAGACCAGATTCAAAGTATTTGACAAATAACAGAATACTATCAATTTGAAATTCGGGTCGGTAAAGCGAGAGACGTCTTGGGGAGAGACAATCATTAGCGCTCATGCAGCGTCGTTAGTATTGTGAAACTATTTTTGACATATTTTTTTTCACCTGTTTTGTTTCTGCCGATTTTTTCGCCGGTCCCGGGCCGGTCGCACGGACCATTCCGAAGCAGATGGAAGACACACAAGGGGTGTCGAAGCAATCGATATCTTAATTGCAGGGCTGGCGATTTTAACCCGTACTCAAAACTCATGGCAAATACCAAAAGCAAAAATGGGCAGGACAAAGTAGTCATCACGCCTCAAGTTAAAGTGGTCCATGTAAGATTTTTTTTGCATGAGTTTTTTTGGCAACAGTAGCTCTCATGTATACTTCTGCTGCTTGAGTGCTATTGCGCAAATCGTTCACGTTCTGTGATATTTACAGTCCTGTTAAACATTAAAACTCGATTCCTATACAAAAATCCCCATTAAAAAAATTTAGCCCGAACACATAGTGCATGACTCTGGGTTGTCAATGGCACAAGCGATGACTTGTGAGCTGTAGATGTCGCTCTCGAGATCAGCGTCTTCCGCATTCTCTTCAGCGGGCTTCGGTGCTTCCTCCTTTGCTGTCTCGGGCTGCGTGTTGCCAGCATCTGAGATCTTCAATTGCTGAACAGAGTTCTCCAATGAGGAAGGTTCAGTAGAGACACTGCGTGGCAGCTCGCCAGGAACAGGCGTGGAAGACCCGCTTCTGCCGGTAGCCTTGGCAACGTACTTTCTCTGGTTCAACTTATCCAAAGTGGCGACAGTCTTACCAGCAGCAGTCACGGAGTTCTGGTCAACAGTGAACTGGATAGCAGCGGCAGCGGCCTGCGTTCTCAAGTAATACATACCAGTCTTCAATCCCTTTTTCCAGCCGTAAAAGTGCATGGAGGTCAACTTGCCCATTGTGGGGTCCTTGATGTGGATGTTCAAAGACTGGGACTGGTCAATGAAGGCAGCTCTGTCGGCAGCCATGTCGATAATGTGCTTTTGCGAGATTTCCCACACAGTCTTGTACAAGGCCTTGATGTCATCAGGAATGTTGGGCAAGGACTGGATCGAGCCATTGTTAGCAATGATGTTGTTCTTCATGGAGTCATTCCAGAGACCCAAGTCAACCAAGTCCTTCAACATATGCGAGTTGACAATCTGGAACTCGCCCGCAAGCACTCTTCTTGAGTAGATATTGGAGGTGTAGGGCTCGAAACACTCGTTATTTCCCAAGATCTGCGACGTGGAGGCAGTTGGCATTGGTGCCACAAGCAACGAGTTTCTGAGCCCGTGTTTGGCCAAGTTCTGCTTCAACGTGTCCCAGTCCCACAACTCAGTGGGCTTTCTGTCCCACAAGTCGTACTGCAACAAGCCCTTAGAAGCTGGCGAGCCTTGGTAAGTCTCGTAAGGACCTTCTTCCGCTGCAAGCTCGATAGAAGACTCGACTGCAGCGTGATAGATGGTCTCGAAAATCTGGATGTTCAACTCCCTGGCCTCCTGGGAGTCGAAAGGCAATCTCAAGGCCATGAACGCATCGGCAAGACCCTGCACACCAAGCGCAATTGGCCTGTTTCTCATGTTGGATCTTCTGGCCTCCTCGACGGGATAGAAGTTGCGGTCGATGATTCTGTTCAAGTTTCTGGTCACAACCTTGGCGACGTCGTGCAACTTTTCGAAGTTGTACCACACGGACGTGGAGTTTTTCTCCACAAAGGAGGGCAAGGCAATAGACGCCAAGTTACACACAGCAACCTCGTCGGGCGCAGAGTACTCGACAATCTCGCAACACAAGTTAGAAGACTTGATCATACCCAAGTTCTTTTGGTTGGTCTTCTCGTTGCACGCGTCCTTGTACAACATGAATGGAGTGCCGGTTTCCGTTTGGGCTTCCAAGATGGCGTACCAGAGCTTCTGTGCCTTCACGGTGGATCTACCACGGCCCTCTCTCTCGTACTTTTCGTACAAGGCCTCGAACTCGTCACCGTAGCACTCAGGCAAACCAGGGGCTTCGTTTGGAGAGAACAAGGTCCAGTCGCCGTTCAGCTCGACTCTCTTCATGAACAAGTCCGGGATCCAAAGCGCGGGGAACAAGTCCCTGGCTCTGTTTTCTTCCTTACCGTGGTTCTTTCTGATGTCGATAAAGTCGAAGATGTCTGCGTGCCATGGCTCCAAATAAAGGGCAAAGGCGCCAGGTCTCTTGTTACCTCCCTGGTCGACATAACGTGCGGTGTTGTTGAAGACACGCACCATAGGAATGATACCATTGGACGTTCCGTTGGTACCAGCGATGTAGGCGCCGGTAGATCTGATGTTGTGGATATGCAAGCCAATACCTCCAGCCGATTTGGAGATCAAGGCGCAGGTCTTCAAGGTGTCGTAGATGCCGTCAATGGAGTCGTCCTTCATAGCGACGAGGAAACACGAAGACATCTGGGGGCTTGGCGTGCCTGCGTTGAAAAGCGTGGGGGAGCCGTGCGTGAAGTAGCGCTGCGACATCATGTTGTATGTCTCGATGACGCGTGGGATGTCCCTGCCGTGGATGCCCACCGCGACACGCATGAGCAAGTGCTGCGGCCTCTCCGCGACATGCCCGTTCACCTTGAGCAAATACGACCGCTCTAAAGTCTTGAATCCGAAGAAGTTGTAGTTGAAGTCGCGATCGTACACAATGGCGGAGTTGAGCTCGTCGGCATTCTCACAGATAATGTCGTACGTCTCCTTCGAGATCATGGGCGAGTGCTGGTCGGTCTTCGGGTTGATGTACTCGTACAAAATCTTCAGCACCAGCGAAAACTGTTTTGTCGTTTGTTTGTGCAAATTGGACACTGCGATTCTGGCGGCCAAAATTGCGTAGTCAGGGTGGATCGTGGTCATGTACGCGGCGGTCTCGGCGGCTAAGTTGTCCAATTCTATCGTGTTGACTCCTTGATACACGCCGGAAATGACTCTTTGCGTGACTGCCACGGCATCCACGTGGTCAGTGTCAAGGCCGTAACATAATCTTTGGATTCTGGCGGTGATCTTGTCGAAGCGCACGGGCTCCTTGTGGCCGTCTCTTTTGAAAACAAACATTTTGCGAGGTATAAAAAAAGATGGTCAAGGAAAAAAGGAAAAGTAGGCGGCTAAGAAACGGGAGGCGAGCACCGCAGTTATATACCAGGGACGCGTGGCTTACAAATGATAACAAGTGCTGAGAAAAAGGATGAAAAGAGGATGAGCGCGCGACGCCGCGACACGCAGCGCGTTGCCGACGCGCGTCATACACGTATAGACGCGCCGGGCCGGGCAACACAGACGCTGCCAAGAGCCAGTGTGAGTGAGGAAGCACGCTTCGTTTCTGCATGAGTGTGCTTTGAATTTGGTCTTGCTTTTCCTGGAGCTGCTGTGGTTTTTCCAGAGGCAAAAACCACTTCCACTACCGTGTTTTGTATCGTGACCAGAAATCCCCAAAACCGTCGCGTCCTGCGCTTCGGAGGCGGAACGCGCATGGCGAAAAGGGACCTCTAATGTCGGGCACAGACTGGGATGCCAATGTCGCGTGTCTGAGACGTGTGGCACTGAGCCTGTTAGGGCTTAATGCTGTAGCTCCGAATCAGGAAAGACAATTGTTGATATGCAGAGAGGTTTTCTCGCCCGCTTAGGCAGTCTTGCGTCTGGAATAGGGCCGTTCGTATGGTCTGAAAGGGAAGTGTCCTTTTTATTTCTTCTGCTTCTTAGGTCTGGCATGGCCATGAGGGAACATACATTAGAGAGAGGCAGTAGATGGAATAAAGAAAAAAAAGAAAAAAAGGATGAACGTTTGAAAGCTATGCTGCCACCTCCTTTCGTGAATTCGGGGCTGTTTATTCTTCGTCAATTCTGCACTTTGGGATATGAGACCAGAGCATGCCGGAAGCCTCGCAAAAAAGACAACTGGCTACTCTAATCTTCCCGAGTTTTATATATATTAACGTTGGTGGAGTGTAAAGTCCCATCTGTGATTATGGAAGTCTTGTCCAATGGCTGTCAGGCAAAGGAATCCCAATATGCTCTTTGATTAGTTCTACTGGTAGGTGGATGACTGTGATCCATTTGCTCACTCCTCGTGTACAGGCTTTGATACCGGAGTCGGCTTTCCGGCATCAAAGCTTTACTTACTTCCTAATTAGCTCGGTTGTTGTGGTGAACTCTTGATTGGGATATGTGGGATGTTATTTGGAAGATAAATGCTCCAGAAAAGCAATTTGAGCACTTAAACAATGGGCTAACGGTACACCTCCTCAGGTCAACGTAGATCCCAACGTAGAACATTGGATAATAAAGCACAATATTCCTAACCCGTCTTTGGTTTTGGTCGATTCTTGCTTGACATTTGTTCAGGCTGCGTAAGAAAAATTGGTTTTGACCAGAATCACTAGTCTGGGCGGCATTTTCCAATGCCACAGACTTCTGACTCAAACGAGCAAAAGTGGGTTTGTGTTTCCGTTTCCCCTTACTGATGGTGCTTGAAATTTGTCTTCTCCCGTTGCGCCTCTGGCGACGCAATTTTCAGCTACTTTGTTAACTGTTCAAGGCTTTCTACGGTGGCGATCTGTAAGGTATGATGTGTATTGTTATTCACCCAAACCCGTTAATGGGTCCTCTACGCACAATTAAATAATTGCCTGAAGAGTGCTTTATTTGCTCTCTTCCTTGGTGAAGTCACTGTCGGGTTAGTATCAATGGAGACTGTTGCTACGGAATCAAGAAGTTTGAAATGAACATACCTGATGAGTTTCTCGAGATCGAAATCGTCATCTTGGCTTGCAGCTGGAGCTGCTACAGCAGCTGGCTTCTCGGCGGACGCAGAACGTGGCCAGGCTGCAATTGCAGCCACAGATCCCAAGGTCAAGAGAGAAAGCTAGAATGTTAGTAGCAAAGAGAAGCCCCAGACAAGAGGCGCACAAAACGACGCCATCTTCTGGAAATGAGCTTTTGGTGGTAGCACTCAACTTACGATGTATGGTTGGACTTGTTTGCCGAAGATCGTGTAAGCTGCACCCATATTTGATAAATGTAAACTGGTAACAGGGCAGATGGATCTGGTGATGGAAGATATTCGCCGACCCGGGATGCACGGGTGTATGCAACGTGCCGAATCCGGGGTAGCGGTGCGACGTGACGTCGGCTTTCTATTGGAAGAGGCCTGTTGCCAAATCCATCATCCCGGGAAAAACCAGAAATTACTATCAGCATCTGATTTTGGGGCCTTGGTCTTTTTTGGTCTGGCGACTGGGTCTGGTGATCGCATCGGGGGATTTGCGTATGATTTCTTATGTCTTGGTGTTATTATGGAGTCGCACAATTTCAGTAGCCACCGGTAGATTTAAATAAATGCGAATGTGGTCTTGGTATGTGAAGTTCGGTAATATAGATGTGAGCACTAACGATAGTAAACCCTGCTTCAAATCAAATTCTAACTGCTTGAAATCCGACGGTACATCCGAAATAGCTGAATCGTGGACGAAGAACGCTAATTTGCTCTATATCTTGCATTCAAGACTCACAAACATGGTAGCTTTCAATACCAAAAAGTTAGAACGTATTCCGTTCACACAATATGCCAGAAATACCCAAATAAACAAGTGAAAAGCCCGGCCCTGGTCCACGTTGTTTGCGCCAAAATACATTGTCGTACAAAGGCTTGCAATGCACTACCGATACTTTCGGCCGTGACATTTCATGCTACGCCGATCACAAGAAATCCCACTGATAAGCACTTATTTCCAGCCGCGTCTTTCACATCTGAAACGCCTCACGCCAGTAGTTTTCGTGCCCGAATTTATCAAGCACCCGGTACGCTTCCTCGTCGTCTTTCGTATACATGGGCGACCACTTCTGGAACGAAAGCTCGCGTAGCTCGCCTTCCCACACAAGCATGCATTTGTTGTCACGTAGATCGAGCCCGTTGTTCAGTTCCTGCCACTTGATGCGCCGTGTCATGAGCTTCTTGAAGAACTTGACGCTTTTCGCCGAGCCCTCGGCAATCACAAGACTGAACCTGGGATTGACGAGGACTATGCCCACAAGCCCAAGCTGCTTGGCGTTCATGTCTACCTTGAAAAAGTGCTGGCCGTCGCTGAGATCGCTGACCTTGTACACAGCCGTATGGTAGCCCTTGCTGAGTTCCTTTTCCTGCTGGAGCTGCCGCTTTTTCGCCTTTTGCTCGGGAGTCAATTTGCGCTGCTCGTTCTCCTCCATGTGCTTTTCAAAACGCTCCTGGACGTCCTGGCGCACTTTCATCTCCACGCCCGTGGGGTCCTGGATGGCCTCGTTTGTGAGCACGTTCATCAAGTTCGAGAGCTTCACTTTGGGCGGTGGCGGCGGCTCGAGCCCAAGCTTGATGCGGTCTTGCATTTCTCGGTGCCGGGCCTGCCGCTCGTTCCGTCTTTTGCGTTTCATTTCGTCTTTGGTCAAGAAGAGGTGTGTTTTGTCGTCACTCGCCGTCCGCTTCCAGGGCGCCTCTATGGGCACAGGGTGCTGGACATAGCTGGTCACGGGCGCGGTCTCACTATCGAGCACAAATTTGGACCCGCTGTCGTGAAATTCCTGGTACAGGCGTCCTCGAAGATACGGCCTGTCCCACCACTCCACAGGCGGAGGCATCTGCGGCCGGAAGAGGTCTTCCTGGATGTTGATATCGGGAAGAATGCCTTTTGCTTCTTTTTCGCGGCGCTCGGCCTCTAGCCTCTCTTTTTCTCGCTGCTGGGCACGAAGATGTTCGCCCTTTTCGATGTATTTGCCCTTTGGATTCAATTCAAGCGGCCGCGCACGGTGGGCCTGCTTGGAAAAAGCAGCTTGGTCAATGTATGGATTGAGCGACGCGGCATCAAAAGCCGGGCGGGCATTGGGGCGGAGGGGGTTTTTTGCTTTGGGGATCGAAACTATGTCTCGAAGCAACGGGTGCAATTGTATGTCGTTGCGCGCTGTCTCCGGTGGAACAGGCGTATTATTTGCTGTTTTTCGCCTGGGTTCGAGGCCGGCATCACGGCCTGTATCTGAGAGACGCCTTTTGGGGTTTTCAGGGGCGGCTCTATGGTCACTTGGCATTTTCGGAGCGTGCTTGGTGCTGCCTTAGTATTAGATAGCGCTTCGATGCTCATGTACTTTGTTATATGGCGGAAAATGGTGCGAGGGCATGGATGCGAAAAATCGATGTTTGAGGTTGAAGTCGTAGATTCGGTATTTGCAAGTTGCGTATTGGTTCAGCTGGATTTCTTTGCAAAAAATGGTCCTGTACCCTGATGTTCCCTTTGGATTGTTTTTTGTAACAGAGGAAGGTATTTACTTGTATGTACTATAAAATTGGAGATTCTGCAGTTGTTTAAATGAGATCAGAAGCTAGAGCAAAGACTGTGCTTCTTGCCTGCTTCCACATATATGTATGTTTTTCTAGATTTCGATTAGACCCGCTTTTGGGGGGCGTCTATATGTATATAAAATGATAGGACTCACATTTTTGCCTATTATCAGTTGATATCCAGCAGTGCGCTACTTTTTTCTGCTGTGTTTCAAGGTAAGCCTTTTTAAGTACTTGGCTGCGTGGGAGGCTACCACAAATTCTGTTTCATATGGCTTTTTCAGAAACCAGAGATACTCCAGAAATAGGGGAATTCAGTGAAATGCGAAATAATAAATTGTGGAAGCTCATTTTTAAATTGGCAAAGAAGTGATCATTTCCAAAAGACCCAGAACTGTTTGCTGCGAAGTTGACAGATCCGCATTTAGAACACCGAGATCTAAGAATTCGCTTACTTTTATTAAAAACATTAAAAAATTACAGTTTGCTGGTCCGAACTCAAAAGGATGGCGTGGATGGACTGGGATTTGGTTGCTTCAAAAAGCTCAGTCGCTAAAGTAGAGGTACACTCGGGATAATGGCGTACTCTTTGAGCTGGAAAGCAGCAGTTTTAGTGTTCAAATCAGAGACTTGGGTAGAGTGGGGCTGACAAAATTATGAGTCCTGAAACATAAAGATAGAACACCGAATTCCAGAACTACTTTCCCCTAGCCAAAGACTCAGCATATAAACAAATTGAGAATTTTTGCAGAAGTAGCTTGACGGTATTTTCGCTCTTCAAGATGCACTACACTGGAAATGTTGTAATTGTAAGCTGGATATCATTGAAAGTTTACCTGGGTGTGCTTAGTATTAGACATATAATAAAGAGCATGAGACTTGAGATGTTGTGTGTTTGGGGCGGAATTCAACAGCTCGTGGTACAGTGTGTGTTTGTTATTGGACTTCTAATAAAGGACTGGACATGCTGGGTTTGATGTTGGAATTGACTAAGGAGCCTTAAACTTGTTAGTTGTATTTATGAGCTTGACATACTTGACAGCTCATGAGCACGGATTTCAAAAATTGCATTCAAAAGGAATACAGCCTCACGGGCAAGAGAAATCTTGTTAAGATTTATATTCAACATATGCCTTTTGTTTGTCGAAGCTTTATGCTCATACGGCCGTTTCTGAAATTAAAGCAGGATTTGCATTTGCTTTCGAATTTTTGGGTACATCCTGACAATTCATTACTTGGTAATTCTCCAAAAGGCCTCTGAATCCATTTAAAAAATGATTTACCTTGACTCGTTTTTACACCAATCTAGGGTTAAGGACTAAAACCTGACTTTTCAGCGGTAGATTTGAACCCTTCACCTGATTTTTAAGTAATAGACTTTAAGCGGCCTCATCCTCACCAAATATCAAGCTCAACAATATCATAATTTTATTAGCCTTCAAGAGATTGGTTACATTGTACTCTCGCTTGTTACAACTTGGTGCTGGAGATTTGAATGATGAGAAAAGCCGATCACGCGACATGTCCAGCAACATATTGTCCGTGGCAGGTAAGTGAGTTTAGCGATGTGCCGAAGAAGATTCGAATTGCAGTGAAAAAAGGATTTAATTAACATAATATTCGTGCCAGAATAGCAAGTGATGTCATCCCTGAGGGGGACTCTATAGATTTTGAATCTGAGGCAAGGGAAGTCTTCCGCATCAAGCATAAGTACGTCATATCAACATAGACCAAGACCGAGCAATTGATGTTTATGTATTTGAGGCTTGTAAGTGGATTTGATCAAGAGACTAGAACCTCAATGTATGCAATATTGCAACTCCGTGAAATCTGTGTTGAGTTGGTTTTCGATCTTTCCCGCAACCTTGAGTACTATATAGGATATTATAGCTTGGGAGAGTATATCCAGTCTGAGGCCTGATTGTAAGTATGGCTACACCCAGAACAATCGAAAATGTCTTAAGTCTGTCCGCTTATTTTCGTTACGAATAGAAGCAATATTTTCTACTCGCTTGCTGTTCCTTGAGAAGTGTAAATGGAATAAATGAAAGTAGCAGCATTTCTAAATGGTTTGGTTCACAAAGACTACCATCTCACAGATTAAGGATGGGGCCATATCATGTGTACTTGTGTACTGGTATTGGTCACTTATAAATTCGGCACAGGGGAGCACTCCTTGGAATATTGTTATAGTTGAGATTTTGGGGATGAAAGTCCACATTCCAAATAAAGCAGCAAGAGAAATATTCTCCTCTTACAATCTTTTGATCTGTGAGACAATATCCAGAGCCACATTCTACATTGAATGTGCTCATTAAAGCTACCTTGACCAATTGCCGTCAAAACAAGATTGATATACTAGAGGCAACAAAGCATGCATTCGCATCCAGCTCTAAAACCAAGTCACCTTGAGCCAAAAACCCGGGACAAAGGCTACTACCTCTTATTTCCTCAGATGTGTGAGAATATGGTCCACTGCATTAGAAGCCTAGGTATTGCTTATCCTTTTGCTTGCGGTTGTGTGCCCCACCAAGGAAGAGAATTGTTGACCATCTGATCAGACACCTACACTGAGGCGCAGATTTAGCGAATACAGACTTGCAATGAGAACCTAGAAGAGATTCAGCTCCTCACTCTGTATATTTCGGTGAGGGAGCTTTCAGATCAGTATCATGGGGCCGCAATGAACCAAGAACTTGTAAATGCACCGGCACTCGGTTCAAATCCATGATAACGATAGCCAATTGGCATTCGTCAATTTTTAATACACATAGAATATTGCAGCTTAGCACCGTGTAGCCAAAAAGCGCCATGAAGGGCTATTTTCAAATCACCTGTCATAAGGCGTGGGTACAGGCTGCAATAGGATGTATATTCACAACTTCAAAAGCTCCAGCCACAACTAAAAATAATAGTTTGTGCTCTACTAGCTGCTAGTTCTAGACATACCGACCAAACATATATGACAATGTATGGACAACAGCAGATGCAAGCAAAGGCATCTGTTCTTGTCGTGGTATCTTGCCTCTTTTTCATGAAGCCAAAGACATCAAACTCTATACATGTTCACTGAGTGCTTGGTGTATTTTACTGTGTTAAAGAAAGGTAAGTATAGTGCCGGATTGGTTTTTGACACTTACCCAATTGATGAGAGTGGCCAGAAAATGTGGTTACTCACAACTGTTATATTCGGCAGCTCTTTCCTGTTCTTTCTATTCTCGTGGTTATTTGCAACTTGAGATCAGACAGGTATTATCAACCTGATGGCGAGAAATGTAGTTTTACTGGCTGTCCACCATTGGATCCTACAGTCGCCTTGAACAACGCATTGAATATTCGTCATGAAACGTTTTTTGAAAATCCAAAAACAGTAGAGGTTTGGCATGCAAGCACTTTCTTGAAAGCGCAGCCTGTAAGTCTAAAGCTAGGGCTTTTAGATATTGGTAGTATTTTACAAAGGCTGGAGGTCTTTTTAGAAAGAAAAGAACCAGAGACAAATATTCTCAATTCTAACAAGATACCAGTGTTTATCGTGACCTTTTTCTCTAATTTGTATTTTTTTTTTTTAATTTAGCGAAAGGCATGCACAACCGAACGGCAAAAAAAGGAGTTGAATATGTCATCAAAACGATATATTAGGATTTCTGACTTATTTTATCCCACCCATTACCAGGTTGCACATCAATCAGTTCCAATAAAAATCAACGGAATTACAATCATCTTAAACTGTAAGTATATAAATGGTACTGTCAATGGCATATCGACAATGGTATACCATACCAAACTGTTGGATATGTCACTAAAAAGGATAGACCGTAACTTTTATATCCCATTTATTACCACGCAAACCAAATATTTCAAATTAAAAATAAATTTGAAATTTTCAAAATCTAGGTTCCCTTCAGAAATTATGTTTCATTCATGCCGTATTACAGCTCTTTAGATAATATGACTATAAAGCCCACTTAAGTTGAGGCATTTTATGATATCTCTACGATGATTTGCAGCGTCGTAAAATAAATAATTAGCGCTTGAATAAAGTTCACATCTGATGCATTGATAGACTTAGGATTTCAATATTCAAGGGTTTTAATTTCTTGAAACTTAGGTCTGTTATTATATACTACTTATTCTTTATATAATTCTGTTGATTTTAATACTATGTTCCCATTCACTTCTCCTACAGATATTACAATGAGTTGTTAATTAGGTAGTATGTTATTGATTGTTGCTACAGCTAAATCAGCTCAATTAGGTCTGCATTCCGGATTACTTCTTACGATGGAATCTATCAATAGCATAAAAGTTAGAAGCATCAAATGCATACTGACTTGAATAGCGATTCCTCAAAAGGGATATATAGTGCGATGGATTATCTAAATTTTGTGTGAGTATTTGTACAATAGGGGGAGAAAGTATTAACTTTCTATAAAAATTACTCGCTAATACTGTATTGAAACCCATTATAGACTCAGCATATATAAACTGACCTGAGTTAAGCCGTACAGTGTAGGTTAAAATAGAGCCTCATAATACTTATATGATTCTACTGAGAATCGTTCATGCCAGAGAGCCCGGCATTTGATATACGGTATAAGTATATTATGGAAAGTTGTATGATGAGAAACTATGACGTAGAGTTTCGAGATGTAAGTACCTATTTTTCCGGACCCTAGTAAGATATCCATAAATGTCTCCAGTTGGATACATCATCAGCACAATCTACAGAATTAATCTGACTTTTTCCATCTCATCCATTCCCAAATGACAAAATCCGGAGAAGAAATCAGCGTTATTCCCAACATTACGAGCCATACGTTCCTACATTGCCGAACCCTAGTAGGGTAGGCGCTACAAAACGACAGTAGTGCCCAGTTGGATAAATTCTCAAAACGATGTCAAGTAAAGTTCTGACCTTTTCTATCTCACCCATTACCACATAAAATTCAATCGCCTCTGAAAATTCCGCAGAAAAGTAAGTATTGAGCCGTCTGACACACGTACCCACACCCTGGTACTCTCAATGGCATAGTAACAAGGGTATGCACTACCAAACGACAGTAGTATCCCGTGTCATCAACACGAGATACACTGAAATTGCAAATTTTTCCATCTCACTCATCACCAGGCTATAAACTAATCAAATTTTGAAAAATCAGCCGAGTAACAATTCTTTCGAGCCGTCCGGGCCTACACCCACGAACACTAGTAATGTATGCACCACCAACCGACAATACTATGAAATCAATCATTTCTCATCAACACGGTCACTAAAGTCCCGACTTTCTATCATATCCGCCATCCATAACGCAATTAATAAAGAACAGAGTCATTACAAATTTGAGCGGTTCCTCCATTCCAGCACTCTCAATGGCATAGTAACAAAGACACTACCAAAAGACAATAGCATGTAGTTAATTATATGTCATTAACACGATTCACACTGAAAGTCCGCATTCTCTCATCTCATCTACTGCCAGGCAAAAAACCTATTACCTTCTAAAAAATCAGCCGAATAATAAGCATTGAGCATTCTTCACCCTACTATTCATGGCATACTAACAAAGATACGCACCACTGACAATACTATGAGCTTAATTATCATTAGAAAGGTATTATTATTAATAAAGTTAATCTTTACTTTCAAATCGGTGATTGAGCCTTGCGCTGTTCCAATGATGTCAGTTATACGTATACATTTATGTAAATAAGCGGCATTTGATGATGTACGAGTTACATCCATAAATCTTTGATTAATGTTTTTTATCAACCCGAACCACACTCTATCCCAACTTTCCATCTCGTCCCTCCCGCAACCTACTATTCTTCACCCTACTATTCTTAATGGAATACTAACAAGGGTATGCACCACCAACAACACTATAAATATCATTATTTTTCATCAACCCGATCCACCCTGCATCCCGCCCTTCCATCTCCGCCACCACCCATTACACATCAATCACTCTAAAGAAACAGCCTAATCCCATCCCAGCCGGCCCTCCCGCACCCTAGTATTCATGGCATACTAACCAAGATATGCACCACCGGCAATACTATGAATATAATTATTTATCATCAGCACGATCTACAATAAAGTTCCGCCTTTTTTCTCTTCCACCACCAGGATAAATACCAATCACGTCTTATAAAATCAGTAGAATAATAAGCATTGAGCAGTCCGTGCCTACATTCCCACATCCTACTATGCTCGCACCCTACTATTCTCAATGGAATACTAACAAGGACACGCACCACCGACAACCCTATAAAAATTATTTCTTCTCATCAACCCGATCTCCACTACATTCCGGCTTTCCACCTCATCCACCATCCCATTAAATATCAATTGCTTTGAAAATCAGCCTGAACCATTCCAGCCGTCCCTCCTGCACCCTACTATTCATGGCATACTAACCAAGGTATGCGCCAACAAACGATAATACTTAGATTTAATTGTTATTGAAAAGTATTTAAGAAATGAGTCAGGTGTTCATACTATCATTAATAGAGTTACTCTTTATTTTTATATATCGGTGTTTGAACCTTGCGGCGTTCCAATAATTCACGCTAAATATTAGGCGTTCGATGATGCATGAAATAATTCAATGAATCTTTGATTACTATTCTTCATCAGCCCAATTCACCATATATCCTAAGCCCCATCTCGTCCTTTCCCCATCACAACCCAACTAAAAAACAGCCTTCACCCATTCCAGCCGTCCCTCCCGCACCCTACTATTCTTCACCTACTATTCTCAATGGAATACTAACAAGGGTATGCACCACCGACAACACTATAAATATAATTATTTTTCATCAGCCCGATCTATACTATATTCCGGCCTTCCATATCTTTCTTTACCCATCACAAAGTAACCAAAGAAACAGCCTTGTTTCACCCATTCGGGCTGTCCCTCCCGCACCCTATATCCCCCCATCCTAGTATTCTCGCACCCTAGTATTCTTCACCCTACTATTCATGGCATACTAACAAAGATATGCACCACCGACAATACTATGAACTTGATTATTATTAGAAAGTATTCAAAAACAAATCACGTACTTGTATTATTATCAATAAAGTTACTCTTTATTTTCAAATCGGTGATTGAGCCTTGCGCTGTTCCAATGATGTCAGTTGTACGTATATAGTTATATAAATAACCGGCAGCTTGATTCACAAATCAATTCAATAAATCTCGATTGCTATTTTCATCAGCCGGATCCACCCTTCATCCCGCCCTTCCACTCATCCACCGTCCCACTGCATATCAATCGCTTTAAAGAAACAGCCTTATTGTTCATTCCAGCCTTCCTCCCGCACCCTACTATTCTTCACCCCAGTATTCATGGCATACTAACCAAGATATGCACCAAGCAACAACACGATAGATATAAATACCCCTCACCAACAGTATATACCATACCCCACCCTTCCATCTCCGCCACCACCCACCACAGGCCAATTGCCCAAAAAAGAGCCTCGTCCCTCCAGCCGGTCCTCCTGCACCCAAGGCCGGGCGCGCCGTGCTCAGATCACATAAACTCGAACCCACCCCACCTCCAAACACAACCCAGGCGGATATCCGGCCACGCACAGCAGCCGCAAGACGCCGACTATCCCGTTTGTGCGGCCTGTCCCCAGCACCCCAAACACCCCAAACATCCCCCAAACACGCCCAAACAGTCCCACGATCCCCGCCCAAACAGTCCCACAATCACTGCCCAAACAACCCCACAAACACCCCCAAACAACGCACAATCACGCCCACAATCACCCCCCAAACATCCCCCAAACATCCCCCAAACCCCCAAACACCCCCCAAACATCCCCCAAACACCCCACAAACAACCACACAAACACCCGCGTGTTGCACCGCGCAGCCCCATGAGCGACCTCGACCTCAACGCCCTCTTCGTCCAGTGGCTCCAGGAGCGCCACGACGAGCTCACCACAAAAGGCACCAAAACCGCACACGCGTATCTCCGGGCGCTGGAGAAAATCCGCGTGTTCCCCGACCACATCACCACGCCGCGCCAGCTCCTCGGCATCCCGTTTGTGGGCGCCAAGCTCGGCCAGTTCTTGTGCCGGCGGCTCGCGCAGCACTGTGCCGACCACGCGCTCGCCGTGCCGGCGGCGTTTTTCAACCACACGGGCCACGCCGAGGGCGGCCGGCGGGCGCACGAGCTCGACGCCGCGCCGCCCGCAAAGCGCCGCAAAGCGCCGCCGCCGTACGTGCCCAGGCGGCGCAGCGGGCCGTGGGCGATTCTCGTGGCGCTCCACACGCGCGACCGTGCGCGGCGCGGGCTCCGCAAGGAGGCCGTGATTGCCGGCGCCGAGGCCCACTGTGACCAGTCGTTCACGGCCAACGCGGCGGCGCGCGACTTCCACTCGGCCTGGGCGGGCGTCAAGACCTTGGTGCGGCGGGGGCTCGTGCACGAGCACGGCCGCCCGAAGACGTACGTTCTCACGGCGGAGGGCGCCGCGTTGGCCGCGGTTCTCCTGCGGCAGGAGGGCGTGCACAGCCTGCCGGCGCGGGGGGCCGACATGTCGTTCGACAACGGCGTGCGCGTGACGCCCAGCTCGTCGGTGTGCGACACGCTGGTGGTGTTGCTGCGCGACGCGCCCTCGAGCCCGCTCGGGCGCCGCGGCGGCGAGGGGCTGGCGGGGGCCCATGGAAGTTTGGTGGAGGAGAATACCACCGTGGCCTTTGGAGGTTTGGTGGAGGGGACAACCACCCCAGCCTTTGGAGGTTTGGCGGAGGAGAATACCACCGTGGCCTTTGGAGGTTTGGTGGAGGGGACAACCACCCCAGCCTTTGGAGGTTTGATGGACGAGACAAGTGCCGGGACACACACAGCTTTTCTCAAGCAGAAGAAAGACACCCCAGTCTTTGCAGGTTTGGTGGACGAGACAGGTGCCGCGGCCCACGGAGGTTTGATGGAGGGAACAAGTGCCGGCGCCCACGGAGGTTTGATGGACGAGACAAGTGCCGGGACACACACAGCTTCTCTAAAGCAGAAGAAAAACACCGCCGCCTACGGAAGCCTGCCAGACGAGACAAGTGCCGCGCCCCCCAAACCACAGCCCCGCATCCTCACCCAGCCCGCCCGGGCAACACCCCCCAGGCCGCACGACGCGGCCCATAAAACATACGCCGGCATCTCCTACGACGTCTGGGCCCCCGCAGACTTCGACGTCGTGCTTCTCCTCGACAACCGCGAGATCCGCTCCAAGAGCGAGCGCGACTTCTTCCACAACAAACTCTCCGCTCGCGGCGTCGCCTGCGACGTGCGCGGCCTAGCCGTGGGCGACGTGCTCTGGGTGGCCCGCCACAAGCACACGCGCGCAGAAGCCGTGTTGAACTACGTGTGCGAGCGAAAGCGAATCGACGACTTGGCCTCGTCCATCCGTGACGGCCGCTTCGCCGAGCAGAAGGCGCGCTTGAAACGGTCTGGCATCAAAAACATCTACTACCTCGTCGAGGAGGCCGGGCTCATGGACGCCCTGCGTGTGGTGGACATGAAGGCCTCGCTCGACACCGCCATCGCCATGGTCATCACCGTGTCCCGCTTCTACATGCAGCGCTTCCGCAAGGTCGACGACACCGTCGAGTGGCTAGCGGCCATGTCCAAGGTCTTGCTGCTCCGCTACCTGGCCACCCGCCTCCTCGTGCTCAAGCCCCGGAACGTGCACACCCACGACGCGTACTTGCGCATGCTCCAGGACTTCCGCCCCAAGTTCGAGACCCGCTCCACGCCCTACGAGTGCGTGCACTTGCTCGCCAACTACCAGGACTCCTTGCTGAAGTCCAGCATGACGACCGTGAAAGAGATCTTCGTGAAGATGCTCATGCTGGTGCGCGGCGTCTCGTTCGAAAAGGCCCTCTTGATCCAGCGCCACTTCCACACCCCGCGCGCACTCATAGAGTTCTACTTGGAAAACGACGCTTTGACCGAGGACGAGAAAGGCGCCTTGATCTGGGACAGGTTCAAGGATGAGGTGGGGCCCCGCAAATTCTCCAAGCCGGCGCTGGTGGCCATGTACGAGGCGTGGGGCAAGGCCACATGCTAGGGTCTGCAGTGCCGGTCTACGAGGGAAACGTTGCAAGTCGTGCTGGTGACTGTCAGCCGAAATCACGCCCCGGTGTCGTTTGTCAAAAGGACGTTCCTGTCAAATGAGCTCCCCACGTCTTTTGTCCGAAATGAGTGTCCTGAATATTTTTGTCGAAATGAGATATCTAGTCGTTTTGTCCAAAATGAGCCCCCCAAGTCTGCTGCCCAAAATATGGTCCCTGTGTCTTTTCGCCGAAATAAGTTCCCTGAGTATTATTCCATAATGCGCCCCCGAGTATTTTGCCCAAAATGAGTTCCTATTTCTCCCGAAATGAGCCCCCGAATCTTTTACCCAAAATCCGGGTCTGTTCCCAAAATGAGCCCCCAAGTATTCTGCCAAAAATAAGTTCCTGGTGTATCTGTTTTCCAAAATGACTCCCCGAGTCGTTTGCCCGAAAGTGCTTACAAGGGCCCTTCATGTCGTTCCGCGCTCCCCAGATTGGGGTCCGTTTCGCGAGGTCAAACCAAAAAAAAAAAAGAATCGTGTCGCACTCATACAACTACCATCAAAATTTTCAGGTGGAGAGCTTCTTCGGCATTTCGAGTCACGCCACAAAATGAGAGTTTCCACGGTCAGCCTCGGAAAGAGGACTCTCAAGCACGGGGGCAAGTCCGGTATCTTGCCAGACGTGCGTCCCATCTTCAGACACAACCCAATCAGGCCAAAAACCGCACATGAAATCGAGGAGGAGTCTCGCATTGAGCAGGGCTTTGCAGAGGGCGTCCCGCTCCCTAAAAAGAAAGGATTCAAGTTCAGCCGAATGCCCGTGGAAAAGCCGGTCTTGACGGTCAAGGAGAGAATCGAACGGATCGACAAAGTGCATGTGCTGGCGGTTCCTGACGGAAAGCAGACGAAGGAGCAGTTGTGGGCCAAACAGAGAGAACAGCTCAGAAAGCAATACTTGAAGGAGGCTTATGAAACAGAGAGTAAGCGCATCGAGAAGCTCGAGGCCATGCAGACCAAGAAGCGCGAGCTCGATGCCCAGGAAAAGGAAAGCAAACAACACAAAGAGTCCGAGACAGCCCAGTACACGTTGCCCACCATCGACTCGTATTTGAGCGGCCCCATCATGAGACCCAGAACTCCCGAGGAGCAGGCCATCGTGGACGAAAAGCGTATGTTGAACAGAAAATTGTCCGAGTTGGAGGTGATGAACGCCAAGGCCACAGATTTGTTGGAGTTGTACCATGCCGCAGCCAACTACATCACCACCGAGGAGGAGTTGGAGCTTGCCATCAAGGACGCCTTCGAGCTCGAGGTGGGTCGTTTCGAGAGCTCAGCCAGATTGATCGAGGACAAGGTTTCCGGCTATGCCAACCCTTATGTCAATTCCAAAAACAAGGAGCAGTATATCAAGGACGTTGCTTTTGGTCAAATCAACGGACAGCCGGGACTCGACATGGTGAAAGACACCTTGAGCGGGGAGGCCGAACTCATCAGGCGCGAGGCCCAGAGAAAGCTCAACCACAACTAGTCGTGTAAATAGAGAAATGAAGAATGTTTAAGAAAATGGGACAAGACACAATCGGGGACGGATGCGCATTTGGGTTTACGACTTGTGGGATTCGGGACCTGTTGGGCCATGTACTTAGGCAACTGTGAGGTGAGTCCTCTTGCATTATAAGATGGCCAGACAGTGTGTTGTGCCTAAGAGAGAAACCGAGGAAAGGCGTTTGACTGGACATTGAAGTTCAACATGAATCATAAAGCAGTATAGTTTTGGCCTGCCTGGTTGGACTTCAATATACGATGTCACCGTCATTCATGATCAGGTCTGCATCGCCATTGAGATGAGTGTATTGAACTCGATCTCACCAAATTGCTTTTCCGAGTCATATGAGAAGAATAAGTAAGTAGCAGAATGTCGCCATTTTGTTATCAACCGGACGCAGTCTCCATCACTGTGATTCTAGGAATGCCGAAGAGAGCGTCCCGGGACAGACATTCTCAAACAAGATCCATAGATATACATCATTCTCTTCCTTTCTTTTAATTTTTGGCGATTCTTTGGATGTACCGCCGACAAATCGAAAATTGTATTTCATATATATTTGGATTAAAGCAGCCTTCTGACCGTTCTCAAAGCAGGACATATGTTAATGAAAAGAAGTTGCCCGAGGGCAGAAAAAGGGTTTCCGAGAAATGGCCACTTTGCCCATGTATCAATTTTTTACAAGGCTAGAATGTCCAGCCAGCAAAGCATAAAGAATTGAGCAATGAGCGTTCACGCTTGGGATTCTAGTGGATAATCACCACAGTGATAGTAGGATTCTACTTGAATCGTGTGGACCCGTTCTCAATCAACCCTGTCTATTGCGTCCAATACATACGGCAAACTTCGGGAGAGATGCCAAGCATCTGTATATCGGTGTTAAGAGAATGCATTTCATAGCTGATTTAAAAAATCTCTTGGATACTGGAGAATGAAAGCGAGAGCACTGACTCGGATGACGGGAAGCACCGAGACTCACATGGAAGAGGCTACTGTTGTATCTATCCATATCTTTCAGGGTTGCTGAGAAAATTACAGTTCAATTAATAAGGAGTCGACATATTTACAGTCATAGTGTCATAAAAGCTTTATAGCTGTAGCGTAATTCAAATGCCTACAAGCAATACAGCTGTTCACCGAGGAAGTATAGTCTAGAAAGGGTCTTTTTATTAATTCAATTGCACTTCAGACTTGGCGAGTAAATGGCGCCTTGACATTCCTGCCTCAATATATCCGAAGCATGTTTGAAATTAGGTGCCTCAAGTACTGCTGTTATCTCATAACTAGGCACATACTGTCTATACTATTCTGGTAGCTGACTTTTGCCCTTGGCCATTTAAAGATCGACGAGTTTCCAAGATTCTGAAGTCAAAGGCAAAAGACGAAAGGAACTAAAGATAAGATTCGGCTGGAAAACAGCTACAGAACAACCCAGCCCACCAGAGTACAGCCAGCATGGCTATATCGAGGGCAAGAGCAGCTCGTAAAAAAAAAGAAATATTGAGCCGTACCCACGATAAGCATTTACTGGAACCAACCTACTTCACAAAGGTCAAGCAGCAAATGCTACACAGCACGGCTCGGAGAAACGATGGCACAGCCATCAAACGCCATGCAGCACCAAAACAGCTTCACCAATTGAATGAAACAGCGCCCTGGAAACCAAAAGCAATCTAGACAGCCACACGAATTAAAGTGACACGATGTCTCCGGAGAAGCAGACCCATCAAAATGAATCCGTGAAGAAAACACTGTTCTGTCCACAGACCTCCGCAAGCCATAGAGTCCGCATAGTCAATCCTGCCCCAAGCGAGCGCGCTCCATCCACGGCTCACGTGACCCGGGCCCATTCGCTTCGCATCGAAACTCTCCAAAGAGCCTCCAGGAACATCAAAGCCCCTGCAAAACACGCACATAAACCCCTCCACAAAGATGAACGGGCAGCCGCAGCAGCGCACCATGCTGTACGAGGCGTGTTTCCGCGCCACGTCCAGCCGCCGTGCACGCTACGTCAACAAGACGTGTTTCTTGGTGGCCGTGTTGGCTTCCATCTTCTTGCGGATTCCATACGGGCGCTTCTGGTGGAACCTACTTGATTCCGTGTACCGTGTCCCGATGCTTTTTACAGCGCTCTGGCTCGTCCAGCAGGCCCGCGGCCGGGCCCTGGAAGTCGAGTATTCGAGCGCCAAATCGTTGGCGCAGCACGTCGCCGTGAACACGGTCATGAGCGGCCGCTTCTACCCGCTTCTAGCCGCGTTTGCGGCGTCCAGCGGCTTGTTTTTCGCCGTGTTCTTGCCCCAGACCCGACTTCTCACCAACTACTATGTGTTGGCCAAGGAGTTCCGCGTCAAGCCGGCGGTGAACGACGCGTGGGTGTACTTCTGGTTCCACGGCGCGTTCTGTGCCGTGGTGTACTCGCTCCAGCACGTGGCGTTCCAGCGCCACCGGCTCCCGCTAGCCTACGGCGTGTCCCACGTGACGCCCGAGAAGGCGCTCTTTGCCAAAAAGGCGTTTATCCTTGGGAACGCCGTGTTTTTCACCGCGTTCTGCTCGCTTGCGGCGCCGGTGCTGTATTTCTTTGCCCGCCCGCTCCTCTACCGGGCCGGCTGGCCCATTTTCATGGCCTGTTCGCTCGACACCGCCATGCCGCCGTTCCACATCGGGCTTGCCACGCTTGCCAACGCCACATACGCGTCGTTGGTGTTGTTCTTGGCCTGGGAGTTTGCCTGCCACGTGCACGACACGTACCTGACTATCGGCTGTCTCGACGGAAAAACGGCCATTGGCGCCAAAAGCCCCGACCCGGTAGCCACCTTGCTTTCTGGGTTGCGCGACGTGCGCCCGGAGCACGCGTTGGTGCGGGCCACAGCCTTCCAGGAACTCGCCTACGTCGCCTCGGCCAACGACGCGTACTGCGTGGCCACACGAAACGCCATTTTCAACGGGCCCAGCCATCGCCACGTGGCGTGGCCCGCCATCCTCGACGAGTGTTCGTTGGTGATCCGCAACACGTCTTCGCGCATCAACTTCCGCAGCGCCAGCGACATGGACGCGCTCCGAAACGCCGAGTATTTGGCCCGGGACGACGCGGCCATCAGCCTGTCGCCCAAGGACCAGGCGCTTTTCGGCAACTCCCACGACTCGACTTCCAACGACACCACCCAGTTTGCTGTGAGCGCCACGTCCAGCCCGCTCAAGGCGAGCGTGGCCTTCGAGCCGGCCAAGCAGACCGGCTGGACCGCGGCATTGCTGAAGTACCGCTTGGGCGAGGCGTTTGTGTCCGCCGTGTGGGCCCCCCTCAACCGCCACGTTCGGGCCATGTACGGCCCCACGACCGCACGCCAGAAGGCGCAATTCGAGGCCCGCACCACCGCGTGGAAGACCCGCGCAAAGCAGCTCCGTGGTGAGTTCTTGGCGTCCACTGTGGGCGTGCTTTTCCGGACCACGGCCAAGCGGGACGCCGAGTCCCGCGTGCTCAACCCGGCGCTATACGGGAACGCGGTGCTTGCATTGTCCGGTCTCTTGATGCACGCCGTGGAGGAGGACCGCAGCAGCACCGTGTCGAGCGGCCATATCAGCACCGTGTTCAACTTGCTCGAGCGGCCCATCCGGTCGTGTGCCAACTACACAGACGTGTTGCCTGCGTCGGTGTTCCGTTCTCCCTCCGAGAAGCTTCACCTGACCGCCGCCAACGCGCACGTCGTGGCAGTCTTGCGCGACTTGACCATGGGCGGGTTCTTCCAGCTCTGCGTCAAGTACAACTACAAACTCAACGATTTGCAGTTGTCGTCGCGCGCGTTCAAGCTCGCCAAATGGGTCATCGACGCATCCGTCGCTCAGCAGCAGGAGCAGGAGAAGACGCAGATGGCAATGTACCTTTGAGGTGCGCCACGGACAACGGCTCGGAGAGGGGCCAGTGGCGGCTCGCGGTCTGGCATTGACCATGGAAGTATGTATTTTTAGTTTATCGCCCGAATGAACACCCAGCATCAGAACGCACTGTCTATTTGCCCAACCTGGCTTCCTCGTCGTACTTATCCGAGGCCTCTTGGTGGGGCAACGTGTCGAGCAACACCGGCTTCAACACCTCTTCATCGAACTTCGTGAACCACCGGGCGTGCTCCTCTGCGCTCAAAAACGCACCCAACGCGCCGTTCGACTGCGTTGCCAAGCGACCTGGGTCGCCTTCGGTGTAACCGAGGGGCTCAGTAATAAAATCATCCATATCGCTCGTGATGAGCTCGTCGTCGTCGTTGTGGTTGTAGCTCAACTCCGTGCGCGAGTTGGTGCACGAAGCCAGCGATCTGGCTGTGGCGGTTTGCGAGTTTGCTGGACCCTCGGTGTCGTAAACACTCGACTTATTTGGGTTTCTGGAGAGTGACGGAATGTCCGGGCTGAATCTGCGGCTACCCATCAAGTTCAAGTTGCTCGACGAGTTGCCTACGGCCAATTTTGGCGCCACAATATCAAACTCATCATCAGAGTCGTCGCCCTCCTCGACAACGCCAGTTTTGATACCCAAGATCTCGAGCATTGACGCTGTGGTGCCGCCGAAGAAAATCACGGTAAGCACTACAACAACAAGAACTGTAGCCAAGAGCGTGGACTTGGCCTCGCCCTGGAGGCCCAACGCCAATGCAACACCCACTGCACCTCGCAATCCGGCCCAGAAAATCATCATTTGGTACGAGTGACTGATTTCCTCGGGCTGTGGGGGCGAGGAGATGCCACCATTCATGACATTTCGGCGACTGGCACTCTCGTGCTTGGCGCGGAACAAAAAGTTGAGGAACTTTGACAAGGGGAACACGGCACACCATCTTGCAATGCATATCAGAATGAAGGTGACGATGATGAGCAATGGCTTGAAGACCAACTCGACCTCGGTGAAGAGCGACAAACCCAAGTAAATGAAGATGAAGTTCTCCGAAAGTTGAGCCAAGAACTGGAAGATGTACTTGGTGGCGATCTGCGTCCTACGGGACATGTTGAAGTATGCGTAGTGTTTCAAAGTGATACCGCAGAAAAGCAAGGACACAATGCCGGACATGTGAGCACCGTTGGAGAAAAAGTAAGACTGGTAAGCAAACAAAAGCACCAAGCACGTCTCAATCTGTGGGTAGCGCCGCACGTGGGAGTGTTTCAAGATCAAGGCAACCAAAATGCCCACGGCCATTCCAATGATGGTGGACACGGTGAATGTCATCAAGAATAGACCGATACCCTCGAACATCGACGAGAAGTGCAAAGGCTTTCCGTGGAACTGCTGACACGTCTCGAACATGACGATCGAGATGGCGTCGTTCAAAAGCGATTCCCCGAAAATGATCGTGTACAACTTGGGGTCGACCTTGTACGCGTTGAAAATGGAAAGGATGGTCACGGGATCCGTTGCTGAGAGCGTGGCGCCCACGGCCAACGCGTCCACCCACTCAAGTTTGACACCGTCAAAGCCCAAGGCAGTCCACGCGTACAAGATGGTGCCGAGCACCAACAGCGAGATGAATGTACCGGGGATGGCGAAGGTAAGGATCAGGCCGAGATTGCCAAAGAAGTTCGCCTGGTGGAGCTCATACCCGGAGTTTAGAATGATCGGCGGAAGCAAAATGTTGAAGAAATAGCCGGACTTGAACTTGACCGCGTCCTGGATGTAGTGGCCAGGGGCTACCCGGATTACCAAACCCACGATCATGCCGTAGAAGATCAGGAGCACGGTCTCATGAATGGCCTTGATTCGCCGCTGCTGGAGGTAGTATGAGGACCACAACGCGGAGCAGAGCAAGAAAAGAAGGATGAAAAGCGCCCACGACGAGAACATCTCTTCGGTGACGGGATCGGCCTCCTGCTCGGGTTCGGAGAGCGGGGGTTCAGCGAAGTCGTCATCGTCGTCAGTGACACCAGCACGGCGCATGAGGTACCTGGTGCCTCGCGAGACCAACTGCCGCGAGACATACGACGTGATTGCGTCCATATTGCGGGGATTGTTGAGTTTTTGGGTCCTGAATGAGTTTTTGGGTCCTGAATGAGTTTTTGGGTCCTGAGTGGTGATGCGGCACAACGTGCTGGGCCAGCTCATGTGAGCTGTGAAGGCCGCGATAGTAGTATCGGTCTTTTGTGTGCAGGCCGCGGTGTTTTGAAAGGCGAGACTGGGTGCTGGGCGCCCGGCGAGGGCCTTTGGAGGGATTATGGGGCAGGGACGGTATCTGGTAAAGTTGTCACTTTTGGTAAACAAAGTTTGGTGAAGCTCTTTCCTTTTGAAGTAGTGATATTCGGCTAAGTTGCCACTTTTAGCAAGTCGGGGGTTCCGTTAAATTAGTTACCTTGGAGTGATGTTTGGAATTTATCACTCCATCTTCGCGGGGCGAGAATTGTCGGGCCCAAGCCTGACCGGAGCTGCGAATATTTAGTCGCTTGCTTCTTTGGTTGTCCGTGCGCCTCTTACCTGCGAACACGAGGCGCTATTGATAACACCCTTAGAATTGTCCCTTTTCCACTAAAAGACAAATAAAAAAAAGTTTGATTTGCAGGGAGCCAGGGCTAGATGACAAATGCCGATATCTGGTAAGATGTGATCGTTTTCCGCAGTGATATTCTGGATCCCTGTTTGAGAATACGCACCGAGGCAGTGGCTTTTTGGGTCATCAATCTCGTGCTAAATACGCCAAGACAAGCAAAAGTCGGATTATTAAGGACGTTCAATTCGCCTAGACCAAATTCATCTTTGTGTCTGGGACCTTTCGACAGACTCCGTAAGGGAGACTCGGATGGAGGATTTGCATGCTTGCGGAGACTTGCAGCCATTTTCTACATGGCGCGGACCCAAGAAATGAGCCTAGGAAATGAGCACTAAAGCGGCGCGGCCCTGAAGAAAAATGCAGCGCTGTAAAAAAAAGCGGCCGAAAAATATGAGTGGCTCCGAAAAGCGGCCGAATAATATAGGCGGCTGATAAATGCAGCCGAATAACACACGTGTCTGTTAAAAGCGGCCGAATAATAAGAGTGGCTTTGAGGAAAACGGCGCTACAAGTTGAAGAGCCCCCGCACCAAAAAGCATCAAACGCCACGCTCCAGAACAGAAGCAAAAGCTGTGCTTCAGAACGCATCAAAAACCGTACCCCAAAAGAACATTCAAAGCGGCGCTTCAAAATATAATCGGAGACCGTGCTCCAAAGCGGAATCAGAAGCCACGCTCCAAATCAGCGTATTGGATGGTGCAAACAAGTCCCCTACAAGCTCGTCCCCAAGTTCCATTCTGGGCCACTCACAGACGCAAAACGCTGAATCGAAGGAAAAGACCACGACACAATGTTGCCCCTGTTTCCGCCGGCGCGTAGCCACCTTGTCGACAGAGGTAATTCAGAGAGACCCGGGGATCTGGTGACGACTGCATCCAAAGAAATACCGTTAGTCGCTCCCCAGGCCCGCGCGAACTTGCCCGATCTCGAGTCGGTGCTTAAGTCCTGCAGACACGTGTGCTCGCACTGCCAGGCCAGGGGAACCAAGTGGACCCGCACCAGAGAAGGCCGCACCAGAAACAGAGCCACGTGCCCACTAGTCATGACACACTAAATTCACTGGCTAGCTGGGAATGACAAAATTCCCCTGGACTCCCGCCTCTGCAATGCCTATTGAATCGGCACGCTCACGACTTTGGTGACAAACATTCCCTAAGAGCACGCCTCGCTCCGATGCAGGACCGCTGTTGCATGCGGCTGGCGGGACACAAGCCCATTTTCCAGTATGAACATGGAAATCGCCGCGGCGCTTCTGCTCTTTGGCTGGATCACTAGAAAGTCCCATTTCAGGCGGATTGTCCAACTTCCAGCACGGCAGTCACACCTGCAGGAACAGCCTGTTATATTGTTGGCACCCCGCTCGGGCTTGACGCTTCCATTCACCAAGACCGCAGACGATGTCCGCGGCCCTGCATGCAGCCCGCGCACATTCTTGCGTGCACTCATCGCGACGAGTTTCTTTTTTGCTATGTGAGCGTTTTGCTTGTTCCTAATTTAGCACTGCAAGCGCCTTTTCCACCAGCACATACCAAAATCCTCCGGGTTCCCTGGACACAAAAAACTACGCCAAATCACCGTGTTTGTTTTTCCTTTCTGCATCTTAAGTTTTCTGCTCACCGCCCGACTGAAAACGAGAAGCTTTCTCGCGGCGCGACTCCCTGGACTAATATCGGCGGCTCATATTTTCCTGCGCTTGCCGCTTCACTCTAACCTTGACCTCGCTTTACCCGCCGACCTCACTCCCTGATCGAAGAATAGAGTATTGCTGATTGGCTGACCTTTGTTTCTCCACAAACCCCGGTCACTCCTCTAGCATCACCAGCCGCCAGTCCTAAGCGTGAGCTTGACCCCTTCTTCACCTAATCTTCGTCCCGAATTCGCTTTCTCCAAACCGGCGTGTTAAAGTTCTGTTATTCCTGCCTTTTGCTCTGCCCTCACTGCTGGACCCAAATAGCCGCCCTTTCCGCCTTATGTTGAGCGTCAATCCAAGCGTGGAGGACATCCACAAATACGTGTCTCGGCAGCAGCGAACGTCGCAAATCAACCCGAACCACTCCTCCACCAACATCTTTCAAATCAATCACCCGCGAGCTCTGCGAGCGCCCCACGCGGGCCACTTTGTGCCCATCACGCCGCCGCTGTCAAACTCGCCGACCCCGATCACGGATAAGCGGGACTACTTCTCGTTTGGCCCAGCGTCCCACGCGGGCTCCACCGTCAGCCTTGACGCATACCCGATCCCGGAGGATTCTGCGGCCGCCTTCTACCCGAAAGGCCCCGTGTCCTCGCCAGACCCGGCTGCTCACGCAGCCTCGTGGTACCGCAAATGGGCCCCTGACATCAACTGGGAGGTTGTGGTCTTGTGCGGCTTCTGGTACGCGTTCTCCATCGTGTCGTCCAACTCGACAAAGGCCATCTTGTCCCGCTTCCTGTACCCCGTCACGCTCACACAATTTCAGTTTGTGCTCAACGCGTTGCTCTGCGCCGTGCTTTTTGCCTGGTTGGCGGCAGCCCCCAAATTCGCCCGCTTGTTCCCGCTAGGCTCCGTGCCTCGGTTGGACGAACTTGACCACTCGCTCATCAAGTTCCTCACGCCAACAGCATCCATCATTTCCACCACCTTGCCCATGGGAATTTTCCAGTTTGTGGGCCACATCACCAGCCACAAGGCCACCTCGGTCATCCCCGTGTCCCTAGTCCACACCGTCAAGGCGTTATCGCCCATCACAACAATCTTGATTTATAAGGTCGTTTACAAGGTTAAGTTCAAAAACGTGACGTATGTAACTTTGATTCCGTTGATGCTGGGCATCATGCTCACGTGTTACAAGCCCAGAACGGCGTTGGTCTCAGTGGACGATGGTTACCTAGGGGGCTTGATGTACGCATTCGTTTCCATGTTCATTTTCGTTTCGCAGAACATCTTCGCCAAAAAGAGATTGACCTACACCGCCCCGGAGGAGCCCAAGTCAGAATCCCTCCCGGTGTTCGAGAAAGGCGAAGAGAAGAAGTTGGACAAGTTGACGATTTTGTTGTTCTGTTCGCTCACTGGTTTCTTGTTCACAATGCCCGTGTACCTCATTTCCGAACTCCAGAATGAGGTGTTCTCATTGACGCAAGTGTCGTCCAGCTTGATGTGCCTAGTGGTGTTGAACGGGTTTTCTCACTTCATGCAATCGCTCTTGGCGTTCCTGCTTCTCGGAACCATTTCCACCGTAAACTATTCCATCGCCAACATCATGAAGAGGATCATGGTTATCATTTTTGCCTTCATCTGGGAAGCCAGCTTCAGTTTCACCGGCACACAGAGCTACGGAATTGTTCTCACTGCTTTTGGTCTCTACGCCTACGACAAATGGGGGATCGAGCGGAAAAAAACGCGTCCTGTTTAGGATAGTGTGAAGCAAGGCTGTTGTCGGCAAACGATGTCGGGTCAGGCAGCGTGCTCTGACACGTTGCGAACACAAAGGGTTTCGGTGGTGGCATGAGTTGGCATTCAGCCATTTTTTTCATTCAGGAATATACACTCTCGTATTGATAAGCTAGGTTTGGATAGAGTAGTCCATGCACTAATGTCCGCCATCCGTCTTCAACAACTTCTTGAAAATGTCTCCGAAGGCCACCATGAACACAGTCTGCCAGACACCCAACCCCACCCTGGGGGCCACGCCTCGGTACAAGCCCTTGACACCGTTGTTGGAGTAGATGTACTTGGCAGCAGAGAACACCCCAAGGTTCTTGGGTCTGTTTGGGTCGGCGGTCTTGGACTGCATCTCGACGCGGATCACCTCGATCGGCTGGTTCCACGCAGACAAACCACCACCAACACACGACGCGGCGATCTTCTCCACGGCATTCAAGCGGTCGTCCTTCCCCTTGCCGGTGAGGTTCTTGATGCCGTCCTCGGCCAAACGGGAAAGCCCGAACCGCGAGCCCCAGTTGGTCATTTGGCGGATGGCCACGGCATTGACTCCTTTGTTGATGCCGCGGATGCCCTCCTTGCGGTAAATCTCCTTGAACACCTGGAACGACGTCAGCTGGGGCGCGCCCGCCACCGCAGCCTGCTTGGCCCGGGTGATTTCCACGGTTTTCATGCACGTGCAGAAGCCCATGGTAAGGTACGCCTGGGCCACTCCTCCAGTGACACCGCCACCCATTCCGGCAAGGAAGCTGCTGAAGCCCAAGCTGCGGTACTGGTACTCGGCCTCGGCGGACACAAACAACAACACGGCACCTTTAGTGGACGCCTCGATCCAGGCCCATGGAATCAAGCCTTGGTAGAACCCAAGAACGCCGCCACGTGACCACACGAGTTTGCCGGCCTGCACCAAGGACAAGGACCTATTGGCCGCCATGGTGGTTTTGACCACCTCGAGCGGCTGGCCCAACGTGGTCACCTCGGCCAAGTTCAATCCGGCACCCAAGAGGATGTTGGCGAAATTGATGGGCTTTTTCTCGATTGTTTGCGCGGCGTCGGCTGCCATTTTTCGTGTATGCGGGTTTTGACAGAGGGTGTTTGACCAGGAGAATTGGGCTTTGCGATGGGCCGAAAATCCAGACTAGTTGCGGACAGCGTCGGTTGCAGCCGATGCTTCTCGTTCGTCGTGCTGGACCGTCGTTATCGGCCGGTCTGCAGATAAGGTGAAAAAAGATTGAAACTCCGGGGCGGGTCTGGCTCGGAGGCTGGCCGGTTCCGGCGGATGGCGCGTGCCGCCGGCAATTCCGAGTCTTGACTGCAGCGACCAATTTGCGTCACGCTTTCATTTTGATGTATAAATGTGGGTTCCGATTGCGCTGGGCGGATGTCTCTTTATTGTTCCAGGTTGCCCTGCGTTTCTCATCTCCGATAGCGGCTTCCGCTTCGCCGTACGCAAGGAGTCACACCCGTGCCTCCGCCCGTGGTCACGTGCTGCGTGGCCCTCGGCGATTCCTGCCAGGGCACTTCCCGGGATTCCACGGCAAATCCCAAGAGGCCATTGCGGCAGGATGGAGCGGCCGTCTTCAGGGCTCGCGCTGGGGCCGTGTATTTTTTGCTTTGGTGGCTGGTTTTTTTGTCTGGGTGGGTGGTGTATTTTTTATCTGGGCGGGCGGTGTGTTTTTTGCTTAGTTGGCTGGTTTTCTTGTCTGGTTGATTGGGTTTTCTTGTCTGGTTGATTGGGTTTTCTGTCTGGGGTTGGTTGGTTTTTGCATGGGTGACTTTTAGTTGGATCCAACCTTCTATGTCAAGGGGGACGTCTTTCTCTCCGCCGTCTACGTGATGGTATGTTCATGTTTGGGAACAATGGACATGCCCCGGTCAAAAACAGCGCATTTGACTTGTTTAACTTTGGGGAAATTAGGGAAAGCTGTCTGCTGCGTCGAGCAAGCTTATTGTGCAAGCAGGCCGCGTATAGCGAACTTATTGGCAAACAGGCCGCGTATAGCGAACTTGTTGTGCGAACAAGCCCCGTATAGCCAACTCTACATGCAGGCCGGCTGCGTGTAGCGAACTCGCTATTGTGCAAGCTGGCCCGCGTGCCCGTGCTCCTGATGGAATGGCACGATCAAGCAAACCTGACTTTTGGCAAGAAAGGATGGTGGCTCAGCCCAGAATCATGCCAATTGACGCACTGCAATACCACCCGGTGCACTACCGCGCTTACTGGCTGGATCTCCAGAGAAATTCCGGAACATAGAGATGTCAATATTGACGCGGCATTTGAGTGCTTGCCATAGCAGCCGGCTCCAGAAAGATGCGTGCATTTTAGCCAGCCAGGGTACCCAATGAGCACGTGGCTCCCAAAACATCACCAAGCTCGCCACCGAATTGAGATCAAATTTATCACCCCACAATTCACACAACACGTTATCCACCAGTCAGCGCACGCCCAATTCGGAGCCACGCGCGACGGGCGCCATCGCGCGGGCCCAACTTTCTGAGCTGCGGCGGCGGGTCACGTGACGCGCCTCCCCCTCGGATCTTCATGCCCTCGCCCGTTCTTTTCGGCCACGCCCCATACTGGCAATCCCACTTGCCCTCTGGTCTCTGCCAGAAGCATGTGGCGGCTCACTTTTCGTGTATGCGCACGCGCCTCGCATATTGCTTTTGCCAGGCCACCGGAGACCTCAGTTCCCAGGGCCCTCCTGCACGCGGCGCGGCGCGGCTTTTATTTCTTTTTCCCTCCATTGGGTGCCCTATAACTTGGAGCCACTTCGCACCTGCCCCAAAAGCTCCAGGCCAGAAAACCCCATCCGCGTTTTTCTCCAGCTTATCCACTATAGGCCATGCCCGAGATCGCTACTCTCAGCTCCACCGCCACGGGGGCCTCTGCCACCGCCACGTCCGTGAAAAAAACCGGCAACGTCCTGACGCTTTCTCGCGATTTGACCGCCATTGACACGTATGGAAACGAGTTCCAGGCTCCTGACTACACCATCAAGGATATCTTGTCGGTGATCCCGGCGCACTGCTACGAGCGCAGAACGCTCGAGTCGTTGTACTACGTTGCTCGTGACATTTTCTGGATGGTTGTGTTTGGTTTTGTGGCCAACAACTACATCCACTTGTTGCCCCAGCCGGCCCTCAGGTTTGCCGCCTGGTCGGCCTACTGCATTGTTCAGGGGCTCTTGGGTACGGGTCTTTGGGTCTTGGCCCACGAGTGTGGCCACCAGGCCTTTTCCGACAGCCGGCTTGTCAACGACACCGTGGGCTGGGTGTTGCACTCGTATTGGCTCGTTCCTTATTTCTCGTGGAAGTTCTCCCACGGCAAGCACCACAAGGCTACGGGGCACATGACACGTGACATGGTGTTTGTGCCCAAGACGCGCGAGGAGTTCATTGAAAAGCGCCACGGCTTGTCCATCGAGGAGATCACCAGCGACTCGCCGCTCGTGTCTTTGTGGTCGTTGATTTTGCAGCAAGGTTTCGGCTGGATCATGTATCTTTTCACCAACGTCACGGGCCAGAAGGTCGCGGCCACCGGCTGGGCCATGAACCACTTCAACCCGGCATCTGCAATTTTCGAGAAGAACCAGTACTGGTACATTGTGTTGTCGGACATTGGTATTTTGACCCAGCTCTTTGTGTTGTACACGTGGTACAAGAACTACGGCGCGTTCAACGTGCTTGTGAACTGGGTGCTCCCCTACATTGGCGTCAACCACTGGTTGGTGTTCATCACGTTCTTGCAGCATTCGGACCCTGAGATGGCGCACTACGAGGCCGACCAGTGGAACTTCGCCAGGGGCGCGGCCGCTACCATCGACAGGGAGTTTGGCTTCATTGGCCATCACATTTTCCACGACATCATCGAGACCCACGTGTTGCACCACTACTGCTCGAGAATCCCATTCTACAACGCCCGCGAGGCCAGCAAGGAAATCAAGAAGGTCATGGGCAAGCACTACCGCTACTCGGACGAGAACATGTGGAAGGCATTGTGGAAGTCTGCGCGCTGGTGCCAGTTTGTCGAGGGCGACAATGGCGTGTTGATGTACCGTAACGTCAACGGCTTTGGTGTGCCCCCCAAGAAATAGAAGGAGACGAGGAGCCGACAGAAGGAGATCTAAATATAGAAGAATAGAGATATACGTGTACGGAATTGACGCGGAGATGTATTTCTGAGTATGCATATGATACACGCTCAACGAACACGCAGGTTCATGTATTTGGCCCGGGAATTTGCGTCTGACCCGGGAATATAGATGGAAGCCGGGGTTGGGGATGGAATTTATATACCCAAGTCACAAGCATTACGATGTTTCAGAGCTATTATGGAATAAAGACGTGCGTTAATCACCCCAAAGATTTATATGATTCGGGATTGTGTATATGATTCAGGATTGTGTACATGGTTCAGATGGGTTTCTCGTCTGGAAGTATGAGTGTGACTCGAGCATAGACGTGCGCCAAAAGTATGTATTTTGTTGGAAGCGTGATTATGATCCAAAGATTATAGTTTATCATGATCAAGATCAGTAACAGCAAAATTATGACTATGATCCAAGCAAGTTTCTACATCAGAATGATGGACATGATTTAAGCATGAATCTAGATCAGAACTATGAACATGATTCAAGAATAAAAGTATCTCATGATAATGATTATCATCCGAGAAATATACGTCAGACTTATATACCCGAAGCATCAACGTAGATCAGGATCATGAACATGCCCCAAGCATCAATGTACATCAGGATTATAAATATTATCCAAGCATTGATGTATATCGGAATCATGATATGATCCTAGCATGAATGTATATAAGGTTTGTGCTTATGATCCGACTAATGTCATCATAATTATGATATGACCCAGCCATCATGTACATCAAATTGTGAACATGACCCCGCATGAATATGCCCCACAAACATGATACGAACCACAAATCCTGGCCCGGGAATCATATGATTCTAAATCAGCTTTACGATTCAGAACCATTACCTGACATACGGATACGTCCCACAGAGATCCGCCAGTCACATCCACATAAGATCTCCTATATTCCCCTGCCACCTATTTGATGAACGGGATCCCCACCGGTGTGCATGCCCTATATTGTACATACTGCTCGCCAAAAAAGTCCACCAAAAACTTCTCCTCGTACTCAATGCGTATCCGGAAGAACAGCTGGAGCTTGATAGCACCCAAAAGAGCCACCACCCAGTTCTGGAGAATGAGCTGCGTGCCCACAAACCACCAGAAATACGCAAAGTAGCTGGGGTGCCGAGAATACTTGTATATGCCTCGCGTGACTAGTGTGTGTTTGGATGCGTGTTCCTGCTGGATGTGGTGGTTGAAAGAGACGCCTGCTGTATACATGGCAAGCGACCGACCGATCTGGCCTAGAGCCGTAAGCACCAAACCAGCATACAAGTACCAGTCGCTGTGAGCAACAAACCGCAGTTTGAGCATGCTTTCCGCCACAGCTGCCACAAACACATGGTGGAGCTGGCGGTCGCCCAATATGAAGGAGTCGTCGTCAACCTCCTCGGTGTTGTAGATGGCAGTGATGAAAAACTCGAGCAAATGAAACACGCACTGGCTCATGGTAAAGAAGCCCACGCGTGCCCATGCGGAATTCCATGACGTCAGAAGTGCAAGCGTGACGATGCACACCGCAAGAACGGCGCCGAGAGCCGATGCCTTGACTGCAACCACGTGCAAACGGACCTTTTCAGGGTTATAAGAAGAAAAAGCTGCCATTGCTGGCCACCAGTATTTGGCACACCGGCCGGCCCGTGCGCTTAAGTATGAGCGGCCCGCAGACCCAGTGTCCAGGCGAGCGCCGCACGCAGGTTTCGAGACGCTCGGCCGCGATTGTGCGCGCCGCATTAGGAAGCTTCATCTCACGAACAGAGGCATGGCGTCAGAGCGTGGTGGCCGCATTGAGTAGACTCCTCTCATGAGCGCCGTATCCATGCAAGTGGCCTTGCTTGTGACCGTGGGCCTAGCCTCGCTATACAGTATTGTTTGGGGCGGCAACTCGCGGCTAGCCAAATACACGCTTGCGTGGGCATGTTTCCATCTGGCCGAGTACGGCTGTACCAAAAGGTACCTGCCTCGCACAGTGACGCCGCATCTGTTTTTGATATGGGGTGCCCGTGGGGCTGTGCCTTTAGCAGCAGTGCATTTGGCCAGCATATGCGAGTACTTGCTCACGCGGAAGTACGGGCGGCACCACGGCCTGCCGGCCTGCGGGGTGCTTTTGGCTGCAGCAGGCATCTTTGTTCGTGGGAAAGCCATACATGACTGCGGCAACTCGTTTTCCCATTACATTGAAACTGAGACGCCGCAGAGGCTCGTCACCTCCGGGATATACGCGTGGTGCCGGCACCCGAGTTACGCCGGGTTCTTGCTATACGTGGTGGGCATGCAGACCATTTTGGGGAACGTGCTCGTGCATGCGCTCAGCTTGGTTGTGCTTGTCCGCTTCTTTGGCCGCAGAATCCAGATCGAGGAGCATTTTCTTGTGGCCCGTTTCTACGGGGCCCGCTACGAGGAGTACCGTGCTCGTGTTTGTGCATTGGTGCCCTACGTGTATTGAGCTTGGGGAGAGGGCTTGGGTTCTATGTGAGAGTACACCTCTGCAAGCTGCTGTTTGTAAAATGAGCTTCTACATGTGCCTGTTCACAAAGTGTCTTCTAGAGGCTCCTGTTCACGAAGCGCCCTCTTCGAACACTGTTCTTTGAGCGCCCTCTTCGAACACTATTCTTTGAGCGCGCCTCTTCGACCTCCTTTTAGAAAAGTGCTCCCCTACAAACTCCTGTTCATGAAGCGCTTTCTGGTGAACGCCAACCAGAACTTGCTGGGCACAGCATCGCTGTCGGCGTAGATTCTCTTCAACAAGCGGTCCGCCAACTCCTGGCGGAACTGCTGCAAATAGCTTCTCAAGAGCTCGGCGTCGTTTTTCGTGGCAGGCGCCTGGTACACCTCGTTCATGGGAAAGCCGATATCACCAGGCAAGGCAAACGAGTCGAGAGCCAAGTTATTTAGTGCCCGCACCGCTTCTTTGTACGAGACTCTCGCGTTCAATTTGGACAAGCAGTCGCTCACAAAGAGGATGCCGTAGATGAGCAAGCGGTCCGCGGGGCCCTTGATGTCGAAATTCTTGAAAAACGAGTTTGCCCGGAACAAGTCGAGCGTTTCCTCGATGATATCGTACTCGCTCGAAGGCGGGTACAGGGGGCCCCGATACTGCGTGTGGATGGGCAACAAAACGATGTTTCCCACGACTCTCTCGGACGCCTCGCCAAGAAAAGTGGAGTGGTATGCTGGCATGGTGTGCGTCGGCTGTTTTTATGTGTTGTGTCGGCGATGTGGTCCTGGGTTCTAAGGGGTTGGGCGTGTTTAGAGTAGCTTTATGGACCTCCAGCAACTGGCGAGCGAGGGCGGAGCCCGGTGCTGTGTGCAGGACGCACAGTTCATTTATTAGTTTTTCGGCGAAGGAAGGGCCCGATAGTTGTGTGAAAGATGAGACGCATTGGGACAGATGGTTTGGTGCTTGTGGGGCCTTGTAGTTTGTCCTTTGGTTCTCGGGCATCTGTGCTGGTAAAGACCAAACCATGTGGTCACGTGACCGGCGTGGCCAAGCTCCAGTGCAGCTGTGTGCTTGGGGTTGAAAGCAAGTACAGACGCAGGCGGCGGTCTCGTAAAGTATGCTTTGTCTCTTACAGAAGGGGTAGTCATGCACGCTTGTACATATAGGATGGTGGAAAAGGTGGGCCTTTGGGCGTGCTCTTCAAACGTGTCTGTGAGCAGGGAAATCAGACAATGTGTGTTTCCCGAACTCTAGCAAGCAGATGGAAGGAGGGCAAAACTTTGTTTATTTCATTCATTAAAGCGACCTGGCCCGGCCAGATTTTATTTCACTTTTCGTTCATCGTGTATATCTATTGCTATTAAGGTTCTGCGCTCACTGAAAACTAATAAAGTGAAGGTGCAGGCAGCATTTTAAGCATTCAAATCAGTTTCCATCAAGCACCAATATGACATCCAAGGACGGGTTAGCCCATGGTAGTTACAAACAAGTCGAAGTCGAAGTTCACTGGTTTTCCCAAGCTGGTAACAGCTGTGGTCACGTGACGAAAAATCTGTTAACGAAAACCTCCGGAATGGCCAGGTAGCCTGCTTTAAAGCGAAATTTGGTTAGCGTGACTAGCTTTGTCGAAATTGATGTCATTTTAGGCTATGTATCTTTCCGAAATTAATTTCGAGAAGTGTATTGTTGTAGTCCCAGAGTCTGTGTTTTGGAGTAAATGTGCTCGAAAATGCGAATAATTAACTATTTGCAAATGTGTATCAATTCATGAATTAGTCAAAAGTCTTAATGCTAAGGGAATTAAATGTTCAATATACATATTCACACGAGATGAGCCAAAAGACATCCAAAGGCAGAACCTACTGAACATCAAGAAAATAGTGCCGCTGGTGAAAACACATGTTGGAAAGCATACTGGAAACAGAAAAAAAACCTTTCGCAATTCAGTGTCACCCTCCAAAAGCAAGAACAATATGAAGCCGGCAGGTCCACGACAAAATATTCATCAAATCAGCGTATCATGTTTTTAAAAAATTAAACTTTCTTGCAATGTTGACTGCCCAAGGCTAATGATCGACGAAACGCACCAAAATGAACTGACCATATCAGGTGCAACAGGGTTAGTATATCCCTCATTCGTCAAACATACTTCTACAGTGCTGAGTGATCGGTGACGCCTCCTAACACGATTATTATTATGGCAGTGCAAATTTCTAATTCTTCCCGCTGGCTTCTTTTGCAGAAACCAAACATCGGTCTTTTTCTGGTGGTTTGGCGAGCGGTTCTGTAGGCAAGGAACCAATCGTTAAGACTTTGCAGTGAAACAAAAAATAATCTTTAATGCTCTTGATCTCTTGACGAGGATCATCATATTAGTACAGTAAGCTACTACGACAAGGCTGGAAAACGATGTGGGCTTCGGACCAGGAAAGAAGTCCCCATATTGTACATGAACCTATGAGAGACAAGTTCAGATCTATTGAAATAATCACAATTAGCGGAATCCAAGCACCGAGAGCTGAGCAATTCATACTCAGTTCAACAAAGCCTGCTTGGGCATACAGAATCGGCAGTCTATTGCAATAAGTGCAATATGTGGATCCCATTGTTGCGAGGCTTTTTCACCAAGCAGACACACAACAACACAAAACTTTCAAAAAACATGCTCTGAATAAAAGCGGCTCTATTCGGAAAGTTGTAAAAGATATATGCTATGCTAGAAACTTTTTCGAGCGACAGATCAATTCAAAGCAAGTACACAAATCGAGGAAGCACATCCTGCGGCATACCAAGACCCTTGTTTAAATTTACGAAAGGTGATACGAGGCCAGCTGACCAATTGATTAGAATGTTTATAGGAGAAGACCAAGATACAATATTCCGCGACTCAGCAAGGTCTTTCTTCATTGGATTGGTCAGGTACAGAATCGATAAAAATAGCCTTGAAGAAGATTTTGATACCGGAGCAAGATTCTTCGAAAGCAATTTGGACTATAGTATTGGCGGAATAATATGATAATGGCTGGACCGAAGATGCTTATGGAAATAGTAAATAAATATTGCGAATGAAACTAAAAATCCTACAAGGGTATTGGAAGAATTGTTGACATTAAAACGTATGATGTTTGCTAGATAACGAAGATAAGATAGCTTGCGGATCTGAAATAAAAAAATAAGATTAATACAGATATTAAGTCTTTTTTATCAGCACATCAGAGACTTAGAAGTATGAGTTCCCGTTTGTCATAACAGAGGCAAACCTAAGAGAGGGATGGAAGTCGAGGAGATTTCCGTGTTTCTATGAAAATTTTGAAGTAAAGTTATGCCATTATTGGAAAAGGTCAGAACTTGGAAGTAATTCGTAGCAAATAACCAGAAAAGGTTGTCGCAAAAAATGAACTTTAAAGTACCACCTGAACAGAGGTATCAACCAAAGCACCTCGAAATTTGACCTGATGCTGAAAATTAATGCAGACCCGCACTCTTATGCAATTCCACAAGAATATAAGGAAATATTCAAGATTACTTCGTGTTAAATGACACCATGGAACTTGTCCGCTAGTACAGCTCTGCACCATGAAGATAGAATAGCAGCCAAACCAATATGCCTTCAAAGAGAAAGGGAAATTTAAGACAGCAGAGGTGATTCAACACAGCCGAGCGCAAATCGTCAAGAGCTGTCAATATCCAAATATACACAGGAGCAAAACATGCATATTGAACGGAGCATAGATATGTAAGAGTCCAGCTTTCAAATTCCGTATCTGTCCATTGATGCAAGTTATATACAGGTAAGGTAAACAGTAGTGTTATGGCATCATTTAATTTCTGTTAGGAACATTCTTTACATCCGCACAACTGGGATATCAAAGAAACAAGCCTGATTGAAGACACAGATGCCGCAAGACAAGCAGCCCATCAAAGACGCAACGGACAGTGTATTTGAAACTGATGTAATAAAGCCCATTTCGAAAAACAGGACACGTTTGGGCTAATACTTCGGCCACATTAGACATTTAACAACAAGAGAGAACCACAGATAATGGACTAGAAATGTTGCTACAACACACATCGGCTGAGAGAGCGGATCATCTGTCAAACGCAGGAGCTTCCATTAATCTGACGCAAAGTGGCAAAACCAATTCCAAAGACCAGCGGAAGAGTCAAGCACACCACCCAGAAATTCGGCCAACACATAAAAGGAGGTTGATATAGGCTGTCTGAGCATGCCATTTAGCACTGGCTATGATCAACGGCACAACTGAAAAATGAAGCATTTAATAGAAAACCTTTAAATAGCGTGGCCCATCAGAAGTGTCACCCAGTGGCATGGCCCATCAAAGGTGCCAAACCGCGGGGCGACGTATAAAGTATTGGATCAGGCCGACTCTAATATGCGAGAGGATTCTGGAGTCACGCCCCAAAATAACAGGCATTGACCCATAAACACAAGATTAGGGCCGATGGTATCTGTAGGCTTTTTTGATGGGCTGCAAAACTTCCTCACTGAAAGAAGAGCAAAAGACCAGCCGGCCTATCCAGCTGCAAAATGGTAGAACTTGTATTGGGCACTAAGTAGCAAGCTACTATGAAATATTATACTGCCCCTCTTGCCCCAAATGTCTTTCATGGAAACTGCGCCATTTGAATCTCTCGTCTATTTGAATCTCTCGTCTATTTGAAGCTTTCATCTTTTTGAATCTCTCATCTCGTCCACATCGACAGCCTGCGGAAAAGCAATGGAGCTTGCAATCAACTTTCGCTTTGATGCAATGTATACCAGGAAAACAACAAATCAGCCTCGTCCAAAAACCAGTATCTACTACATTCAAGTCTATTAAGATAAGTCCATGTCAGCCGCGGCCACGTCTCTCAAATTGCCCGTTGCAGCAGTTGCAAATTGGTGCCCCCTCCTCACCTACCGCAATGAAACACGTGCAACCAGAAACCCTCAACCAAACACAGTCTCACCCTAATAAAAGAAAAATAAACACAGCCAACCTCAATCAAATTTAGCCAACCCCAATCAAATTTAGCCAACCCAATAAACCCAATCAACCCAATCAGCCCCGAACAAACAGTCGGAAATATACCAACCCATAAATAAAAATCCACCACTACCCACTCCATAGTACCGCCCCACATCCAGCACCTCCTACCATATCGCCAGTCCTCACTTGATGCCTCATTTGCTCCACCACCACTTTCCTCCAAGAAGGCCTCAGTTCCGCCTGCCCCACCAAACGCAAACACCCAGACACCCTCACACAAACGCGCAAACACCCGGACACCAGCCGCGCTCCCACCCGTTCTGGTGCCAGCAACAGCCCGCGCTCACTTTCCAAACCGCCTCCGGCTCCTCCACATCCTTTAAAAAACACCCAAAAACACCCAAAACACGCCCGGCGCCCCTGGCATTTCTCCCCTGCTTGAGTGCCTGCACACGTTTTTGTACCTGCCCCTTGGAGAAGCCATGTCGCGCTCCAAAACGCCGGGCCGCCCGGGAGCCGCCGAGCTCAAACTTCCCACACACCTAATACCGCTGGCCATGATGGGCGCTGCCATGGGGCTGCAGCCGGAATCGCCCGAGCGGCGGCACCCCGCCGCTGCTTTTGCGGATGGGGGGCTAGCGGGGGCCAGCGGCGCCTCTCACGTGACACCACACGTGACATCACACGTGACACCACACGTGACACCACACGTGACACCACACGTGACACCACACGGCCGTCCCCACCACCCGGTCCCCCACGCCGGCCGGGTGCTGCCCTACGGCGGCCACCCGACGGCGCTGGCCCTGCAGCCTGCCTTGCCCGCCGGCGCCCGGGCCGCCAGCCCCGCCAGCCCCGTGTTCACGCCCTACCCCGCCGACCGCGGCTCGTCCGCCAGCAGCCTCAGCTACCTGCCCGTGTCGCCGCAGAACCCTGGCTACTGGCCCGAGACCCGTGGCCCTGACCAGGCGCTTGAGGTCCGGCTGCAAGGCTCGGCGCGCGAGGCCCCGCTCTTGCCTCACCATAAGCTGGTGCCGAACTTGCGTCCCGAGCAGCCTGTTCCGGGCCCTCAGCAGGCTTATTTACAGCACCAACAACACCAGCAGCCTTATCAGCAACACCAGCAGCATCAACAGCACCAACAACACCAACAACACCAGCAGCATCAACAACACCAACAACACCAACAACACCAACAACACCAACAACACCAACAATACCAGCAGCACCAGCAGCAGCAACAATACCAGCAACACCAGCAGCACCAGCAAGGTCGCCACAACTACCCGCCCCAGCAGAATCTGCTGCTGCACCCCCACAGCCATCAGCATCGGCCTCCACCGCTTGTGCATGGTCTGGGCCTGGGATTCCACCCGCAACACGCCAGCAACGGCGGCCACGTGCCCAGGTCTGTCCAGGTACAGGCCTCCCAGCAAGACTTCAAGTATAACGCTTCTTCTGAGGCCGACAACCCCAAGACGCAGCCGCTCGCGTTTACCCCCGAGAATCGCCGCGTTGCGACGTCCCCGTCAATCCCAACCTATAATGCCGAGGCCATACAGGTTCAGCGGCTCCGCAAGGAGAAGGACCCGCGCGAAATCCGCACCAAGTCGCTCACAGCGTCCCATCTGGCCAACGGCGCAGGAACACAGCCAGCAGCAGCACCATCACAGGCCCAGCGCTCCGCATCCAGCGGGCAGCCGCACTCGTTCTCGTTCTCCTCCAAATCGCTCAGCTCCTTGGGCAAGCTTTCTTCGCTCTCTACGAAAAAGTTCTCGAGCTCTACTTCATTGCAGAAAGAGCGCACAGCGTCACAGTCGACCTTGGCCACCATGAAGTCCAATCCGGCCTTAGGCCCGCGCAGGCCCGCTGTGTACCCCGCGTTTCTCTCCAGAGTAGCAAAGGCGTTCAAGGAGGGCATGGTCTTGACCATCAACATGAAGGACGGCTTGGAATACCATGACTCGTTCACGGGCAAGGCGGCCATCGACCTCATCTGTAACATCATCCGCACAAACGACCGGAATTTGGCGTTGCTTCTCGGACGGTCCTTGGACGCTCAGAAATACTTCCATGACGCGACTTATAACCACAGATTGAGAGACTCGGTGAATGAGGTATATAACTTTACGCGCGTGTACAGCGATGTGGAATTTTTCGACGAAAGCACCGGGAGCAACAAGACGTCGCAACGAACGTCTGCCGATCCCACCTTGGGAACTACAAACACCGCACCGTACCCAACGACAAACTATCCGCTTGTTCCAGACAGCCCGATCGAGGCTGGTCACGGCAGCTACACTAGTCTTACCAAAGCAAGCACTGAAAGGGAATTCAAAGAGCTGTCAAGAGTTAATGGAGTGTTTACAATTCTTACTGACTGTTACTCGCCCACGTGTAGCCGCAGCAGATTGTGTTACTCGATCGCTTGTCCCCGCCGGCTCGAGCAGCAAGCCAGACTAAACATGAAGCCCCGCGGTGGCTTGCGAAGGGCTGTCTCGAGACTCTCGCTTCACGATTCAGAGGCCACAAAGACCTTGTGGCATGAAACCGTCGATCAGACTGTTTTAGATAAGTTGGACAAGCATGAAAAAATGCGCCAGGAGCTAATTTACGAACTCATTTATACGGAGAGGGACTACGTCAAGGATTTGGAGTTCATGACTGATTTTTACATCATGCCATTGCGCAACCCGGTAAACAATATTATACCAGAGCGCGAGCGCGAGGCGTTTATCAGAACTGTCTTTGGTGGTGTAAGCGATTTGCTAAGGTTGGCGAAGAGCTTGAGCGAAGCCTTGACAATGAGACAACAGTCTCAAAAGCCAGTGGTAGAGTCTGTGGGCGACGTATTGCTTCTGTTTATTGGCAGCTTTGAACCATTCATCAAATATTCAGGAAATAAGGTGTTTGCCAGTTTTGAGCATGAGCGTCAACAGCAAGTCAACTTGAAGTATGCGCGCTTCCTAGAAGCCATTGAGAAAAAGCCCGAGTCTAGAAAACAAGACTTCTCATCGTTCCTCATCAAGGGTGTGCAGAGACCGGCGAGATACCAGTTGTTAGTCAGCGGGATTCTTAAAAACACAAAGGAGGATTCTCCTGATTACAAGAATTTGTTGAAGGCAAAGGAAGAGATTGAGAAGGTTTTGGTTAAAATTAATATTCAGACGGGTGAAGCTACCGATCGTCACAAAATCATGGTTTTGCACAGACTTTTGGGCAGGCAAACCCTAGAAGAGAGGTTCAACTTCAGATTGAACTACAACAACAGAATCATCTACCAGGTGACTTTGAGCAGAAAAAGAGAGAACGAAAAGATCGATCTCTATTTATTTGAACATGCATTACTCATGGTCAAGCATAAGATTCAGAATAAGAGAGAAGTGCATAAGGTGTTCGAAAGACCGGTGTATCTTCAGCTTTTGTTCATGAATAGTGGATACGAGCCTCCGAATTTCAAATCGTTGCTTCCATACAGGGAAAGTGGATCGCTTGTGTCAGACGCAGGCTTAAAGAACAAGACTGAGGCTTCGCCGTACAATCCAGTGTCTTCATCACAGCAGAGGATGCAATTAAACTTTTTTGGATTGGGTAGTAACCCCGTACATGTTTCCTTGTTTGCAGACGATCTCACCAATCAAAACCAAGTTTTGCTGCAGATTCAACAGCAACAAAGAAAGTTGATCGCAAAGCACGATGTGTTCTCGATTTGCAAATATGAGACACGAAGATTTACGGGAAATAACAGAATCAATTGTGCAGTTCCTTGTTATGGTGGTAAGAAATTGATGTATGGCACTGATTCCGGTGTGTGGGTGTCAACAGTACGCTCAATCAGCATGACATCACTCGAAAAGATTTGTTCTGACCCAACGATGGTGATCAGCAAACCTGACGTCACACAATTGGAGGTTTTGGTTGAGTATTCGAAGGTGTTGGTTTTGTCCGACAAAACACTCTATGAGTTTGATTTATCTTGCACGGATTCGTTGGACCATGCAAAAAATACCAGAAGTGGTAAAATAATTTTGACGCACGTGTCGTTCTTCAAGACAGGCGTTTGTGACGGCAAGCTTCTTCTTTGCGCAGTTAAAAGTGGTAATGCTAGAGCCATCAACATTGTTGAGCCTACCAACCCCTTTGACAAGAACAAGAACAAGAACAAAAGACTTGAGGTTCGAGAAATTACGTTTGCCTCGGAGCCTGTTCTGATTTCATTTTTGAAAACGAAATTATGTATTGGATGCACGAAGGGATTCGAGATCTTGTCGCTCAAGGCAGGCCGCAAAGAATCAATTCTTGACGAGGCAGACCCCTCGTTGGACTTTGCCACACAGCGTGAGAGTGTGACGCCCCTTGCAATTCACAGACTTGATAAGAACTTCCTTTTGAGTTATAGTGAGTTTTCCTTTTTCATAAACAGGAACGGTTGGAGAACAAAACACGACTGGGGAATTTTTTGGGAAGGGACGCCGCAAAACATTGCCATGTTCTACCCCTACCTACTTGCATTTGATCCTGGGTTTATTGAAATCCGGGATTTGGAGAGCACGGCATTAATACGCGCGTTGGTGGGAGAAAATATAAGGTATCTTCACTCAAACGAGCACGAGGCTTTATACGCATGTGAGGAGAATGGGTACGATATAATTGTTTCCATTGACTTTTTGAACTTGAAACCAAAACAAGCATCGAAGTAACTTGGGAGAGACTTCTCCGTCTGTTTTGATGAGTGAGACAGAACTTGAGAAGGCGCCGTCAGACTTGGAAAGCCAGCGCATCGATAATGATGAGCACTGGTAATTTTTCTTGAATGAAGCAGGCGGAACTAGCCGTTGATGAAGCACAAAAGACAAATATACAAGAATATAGTTTATCTGACTGATATGGATAGCGGACGCGTTTCTTGGAAGTGCGCTCGGTGTTTAGTTGGGCGAAACGCCACCTCTTGAAGTGATACATACTTCAGTTTGCCATAAAAGCCGTCTCATGCAATACTAGCTTGATGCTGTCAAAAAGAGGAGATCAGCCTGAAAACTGAATGTTTCGATGGAAAGCCTTCGGAAGTTAGAGTGACCATAATTATTCATCAGACCAACATGAAGAGAGTCCCGACTTTTACGACCTGGTTTAAAACCGTGGGTTCTTTCAGTACCCGCCTAAAGGCGGCGAGTAGCCCCTTGGCGTTGTGAATGTGAGGAACGAAGGCGTTTTGAATTTGCACCGGAACAACAGTCAACTTGATTCGTTTTGCAAAGTAGAGGGCAGAACATGGATATACATCCGTGGGAATGTCACGAGATCGAGAAAAGCCGAGGGCGCAATCAACACTACTTCCATGATTGGGATGTGATTAACGACCATTTTCTGGACTCAGATAGAACAGCGATTCGAAGATGAAATGGCTCATGGCATAATAAAAAGGGTTTGACCCGATCTACTGTACTAGCCATTGGGTGGAAATAAGAATATCTGGAGTCTTGAGACATTCGCCTTGGCAGGACAGAGCACGTCTTAGTGGGCAGTGTATTCCAGGAAAAGATTTACCCATACCGTCATGTATTCCTGTTCGTTTAATTTCCTTTTCTTTTGAGTACATGATCTATTATTTACATGATCCTTTGAAATCCTTTGAGATCCTTTGATTACCTGAACTTTTGATTTCCTGAACCTTTGATCGCATGGGCCTTTAATCACACGAGCCTTTAATAACATGATCCTTTAATCACACGAGCCTTTAATTATATGATCCTTTAATTACATGATCTTTCATTTACATGATATTTGAGATCCTTTAATTACATGATCCTTTAATCACATGAGCCTTTAATAACATCATTCTTTAATAACATCATTCTTTAATGACATAATCCTTTATTTTCATGATCCTTTGAGATGTTTTGATTACCTGAACCTTCAATTTCCTGTTCTTTTGATTTCCAGAATATTTGATTCTTTTTCTTTCGCTTTTCTGTTCCTTAATTCCTTTGACATCTTAGAGGAGTGCCAGAGTGAGAAGGCTGAGAGGCCCTGCAGCTGCGTCTCCATACAAAGAGCCGTCAGGGCCAATTTCGTGGTGGATCGAGGCAATAAAACCGTCGAGTCACGTGATCCATGGCCTTGTTTCTATATGACTTGTTTATATATGGCCTTGTTTTTATATGACCTTGTTTGTATATGGCCTTATTTGTATTTGGCCTTATTTTTATATGGCCTTGCTTGTAGATGGACGCGTCGGAATTGGCCCAGCGATCTGGCTTAGAGGTCGCGTCCGACCAGCGATTTGCGGGCACCGGCTGAGAATTGCCGAGGATCCGAGGGACGGCACCTAATTTCAGGCGGCCGGGATTTCAGGCGGCCAAGAGATCAGGGGCATCCAATGAGAGACCCTCCCATCCACTGATTTTCATAGTGGGGAGAACAGAAAAGAAAAGAAAACCCACAAATGAAAAAAGCTGGAAAATGGCCTGTGGCCGGAAATTGCGCCAGCGAACGGCGCCGGAAAGAGCCTTCGCAATAGTCCCAGCACCAGTTCTGGAACACCAGAAAATGAGCACCAGAGAACGAGCACCAAAAACAACGACAAATTAAAAAAAAAAAAAAAAAACACCGACCCACATCACGTGCGACACATGGGCAGAAAAAGAATACGCACCGTGTGTCGGGCCCTTTCCTTCTCTACTCCAAAGATCAGCCGCGTTTTCGAAAATGGACAAAATCCTGCAGTTGTTCTTGAATGAGCCGGTGTTCCAGATCGGATGGCCCTCGGTCGAACGGCCGTTTGGCCTCCACTTGTGGCCGCTTTTTTCGGCCGCTTTTGAAAAGTTCACCGGGTATCCTGCCGAGAACTTCGAGTTCGTTTACAACGACACGTTCTTGGCCAGCGGCCAGCTGGCCCTCGGCATGATAGCCTTGTACTATGTGGTGATTTTTGGGGGCCGCTATGTGACGTCCAAGCTCGGCGTGCCCGTGCTCAAGTTGAACCTCTTGTTCCAGGCTCATAACTTGGGGTTGACGGTGGTTTCCTTGGTGCTCTTGATGTTGGTCCTCGAGCAGTTGGTGCCCATGTTGTACCACCACGGGCTTTTGTACGCCATCTGCCACCGCGACGCGTTCTCGGCGCCCTTGGTCACCTTGTACTACTTGAACTACTTGACCAAGTACTGGGAGTTGCTCGACACGGTGTTTTTGGTGTTGCGCAAAAAGAAGTTGTTGTTCTTGCACGTGTACCACCACGGCGCCACCGCGTTGTTGTGCTTCACACAGTTGATGGGCTCCACGTCCATTGAGTGGGTGCCCATCACGTTGAACTTGGGTGTGCATGTGGTCATGTACTGGTACTACTTCTTGAGCTCGCGGGGCATCCGTGTGTGGTGGAAGGAGTGGGTCACGCGCTTCCAGATCATCCAGTTCGTCTTGGACTTGGGCTTTGTGTACTTTGCCATGTACACCGAGACTGCCCACAGACACTTCGACTGGTTGCCCAACGTGGGCCACTGCCACGGCAGCATGATCTCCGCATACTGCGGCCTTTTGATCTTGTCCAGCTACTTGGTCTTGTTCATCTCGTTCTACATCCACATGTACCGCAAGTCCAGCAAGAAGGCCGCGGAGAAGAAGAGGGCGGATGCTGCAGCGACAGGCAAGGCCTCGGGTGTGGATGCCTCGTCGGGAAAGGCGCGTTCCAGAAAGGCGTAGATGCTTCGTGCCATTTGGATGAGCTCTGAAACTCACGCTTGTTCGGCAGCCTCACGGTGCAGAGTCTGTGGTCCTGGACACAGGCCGGGCCAGGAGAGGGTACATAAGTTCCTGTTTAATTGAGACCAGCGTGATCTAGAATGCTGCGTAATCTTGAACGTAGCTGTAGATGAGTTTCTGTGCTGGTTCATGGCAGTCTTTCCAGGTCACCGGGATGTTGCGCCGGTGGTCCGGGACGAGGGGTTCTTGTGAGCAAAACAGCGTCATTCCTCCCAGCGATTTGTTTGCTTCTGAGGCAATCCAGAAAAACAGGCATTAGTTGACTCGAGATCGGTACAAGCGTCCCGATCTACTGGGTAGAGCTGTTTGTTCGGGTCTACCCAGTAATCCATTCGTGCGGCGCTTCCACCAGCACCTGCAGTCTATGCACAACAGCATCGGCTCTAATAACAGAGATGCCGTCAGCTTCTCGTGCCCCAGAAAGCCTGTAGGCAAGAAACTCAGATGCTTGTTTCGGTCAGTAGATTGCATCCGGAATTCCAAATCAACGGGCGCACGACGACTGAACGCCACATGCATAGATCTTGCGGAACACGCCGTCTGCCCTCCGACATGTTTCAGAAGCGCCTGCCCGGCATATTTCAGAAGCACTTGTCTAGACCAGGGCTGTCGATCCACATCCACCAGCCATACAAGACATCTCCGTCGATTCTTTGATCCCGAGCGCATTTCGCAAAAGGCGGGCCATCCTCTTTTAGACAGCCCCAAACACAACCACCCAAATGAGCCGCAGCGGGACGCGGTGAATCAAAATTTTCGTCCCATCCAAAAGACACAGCCTGATCCCAGCCGTTAGCTTAGAAGCAAGATAAGTATCTGGGACAGCCATTGTAGGACCCTTCGCCGGCAAAGCATTGTGCTCAACACATCTCAATTGAGCGCACGCACGACCATAGAATCCGCGACGCGCAATTTGTGACTTCGTCACGTCGAAGCCACGGCGCCGCGCGGAGCCTGGGTATCATATCTCCATCGGACTTGCGCATTTACCGAACGGCAATATCGTAGATTTCATCTCTTCTCCGGCAGAGGCGGCTGAGAAAACCATAGCCGCTGAGGTTGTTTTGTTTTTCTCGGACCAGTACGCCCCGTAGAGCCCAAAACATTGCGGCCGCGCTTACCCCGGGAATGCGATAGGAGGCTCGATCGAGTTTTCCGTTTTCCGCGCGCTAGCCGTTCCGTGGATCAGTCAAGCCGTGCGGGTGCGACCGTGCGGGTGCGAGTCCTCGCGGCTTGCGCAAAACCGTATAAGCTCTTCTTGGCCGGCGTGCACGGCGCAATCCGTTCGTATATGCAAAAAGAAAGAAAAGACGCTGGCAGAAAACGAGGAGAGGAAAACAGACGAAGACCCATGGAAGCACACATGGCGGATTTCCGAGCTTCGCGCTGCTTTGGTTCCCGCCACGATGAGCGGCCTTCTCCGGAAACGCCTGACAGCTAGAGCCGCCCGCAGCACGCGGTTCCGAAAGTTCCGGTGGCGGCTCGAATAGGGGTCTCCTGCATGCGGAACTGCCGGCCTGACCCAGAGCGCCAAGGGGCGGTACTAGCCGAACCTCCGGAGGGAAAACATTTCGCCATGCCGCCGGCAAGGCGTTGACCGCTCTGCTATTCTGACCGGGGCTGCGTGGCACGGACATGACGTTGGTGGCCAGCGCTGACCCCCGCGCCAAATGCGGCTTTTTCCCCGGGCCGGCGTCGTTGGCTAGGTTGATACCCCTGCACACAGCGCGGCAAGGCTATACCCAGCTCTCATGTCAGCCGTCCCGATCCTGCAGCTGCAGCGGCGGAAGCGTCGGATCATTGCAAAATCTCGCCATGAATATATAGGCCGGTTCTCGCTTATGTCCGCGGAATCGTTCAACTTTTCTCGTTGTTTTTCGATCCTGCTCATTTTCATTTCATTTCTCTCCTTGTTTCATCGGGCAGCAAATAGCCGCTCACTGAATCCCTTACTTTAGTCCACAAACTGCTCCGACCTACTGTATCGGAAGTCATTCTCCACCAAAGCTTTTGCTCGAAAATAGCTGGCACTATCAAACCATCCACGAACTTTGCCTCGAGTCTATTTAGCAACCACAGAACCAGAGAAAGCTCACAAGTACCCACCAAGCATAGAAGGTCAGCAAGCACGAAGTTGTATCCAAGAACGACGGCAAAGGCAAGCGCCGACTCGATCACAAACACAACCACAAACACAACCACAAACACAAACGCAACCACAAACACAACCTCAACCACAACCTCAACCACAAACACAAATTCAAGCACAAACACAAACTCAAACTCAAACACAGCCTAAACTCAATTATACCCCACACAAACTCAAAATGTCAAACAAGATGGAATATAGGCTCCCGCCCATCAACTCCCTTTCTTTGAACTTCCCCCTACTGATTCCGCAGTCATACCACAGCGGCGCACAGCATGTGCATGGCTTGTCGTCACCCCAAATGGCAGCCCACGGATTTCTGCGAGGCAGCTTTTTGCACGCCAATCACGTGTTGCCCCAGGCGCCGCCACTTGCGGGGCCTCCGCGGGCAAGTGCATACGGGGCGCCAAGCTGGCTCCCGCTGACTGTGCCGGCCACGCATATTTCTGGCCAGCCCGCCCGTCCTTCTCCAGCAGGTTTTCCAGTGGGGCTCGCCGAGTACACGCTTTCGCAGCCAAGCGCGGCGCGGGGCGCGGAATGCAGCCCGCCGCAGGTCGCCGCGGTAGGCGTGCCGCCCATGCATGTGGGCTCCAACAGCTTGCCCCTAAAATCCCTGGCACAAGGCGCCGCTCCGTTTTTGCAGCAGCCTTCGCCGTCGTCGACACGCCGGTCGTCGTCGATCTCGCCCTTGGTGCGCTCCGCAGATTCGCCGCAGGAAGGCGCCGAGTCCGACGCCGCGCCGTCCATCTGCGCGAGCGCGGACGCCAGCGGGCAGTCCGACCAGGCCCGCGAACTCAAACGCCGCAAGAAGCGCCAGTGCCCCGAGTGCCGTCTTTTTTTCTCCAACTTGGCCACCCACAAATCCACGCACTTGAACCCGACGGCGCGGCCGCACGTGTGCAATGTTTGCAGCCGTGGGTTTGCGCGGCCCAACGACTTGTCCCGCCACTACAAGTGCCACTGGAAGGAGACGGGGGCAGACAATGGGCAGTTCAAGTGTCCCTTCAAGAACGGGCCCGCGCCTGGCCAGTGCAGTCATACGCTGGGCATTTTCTCGCGGTGCGACACCTACAAAAACCATTTGAAGGCTATTCACTTTGACTACCCGGGCGGCACTCGCAAGAACGAGCGTGCAACCAGCCCGGGCTGCTGCGGCCTGTGCCAGAAGCAGTTTCTGAGTGTGGACGAGTGGCTCGTCACGCACGTGGACACTCAGCTGTGCGAGTCCATGCACTAGAAACGCGCCCGGTATGTATTCGGATTTGATATAGAATAAAGACACGGCTTGGCATCAACCATGAGCACGACCACCATTTTCAATGAGTGCCCTGTTTCTCCGCTACTCGTTCCCGGCCCCCTTTTTTTTGCCACTTGTTTTTCGCTACTTGTTTTTTGCCACTTGTTTTCCGCTACTTGTCTTCCGCCGCCATTCCCCATTCCGCGGTGCACCGGCTGGCCGTGCACGCCGGATCCCGGCTTATCTCCGAAATCATGCTATGCTGAAAAAAACGAGATTTTTGTCTACGGCTGAAATGGATTTGGAGCAAGGCCAAAAATCCACTCTTTGTCCATCAGCACAGTCGTCCCCGGTCATATTGGCTACAAGCAGTTAACTCCGTTTAGGCACTTGCAAGTTCGGTCGGCTCGGCTGGATCCTGGGCCGACTTTACGCTATGTGCAGGTCGCGGGCATCCGTGCCTCCGGGTATCGGCTGGCTCAAGGCCATAGTAGCCGTACCCACGGAAACGGCCCCGGAACCAAACCCGCCAGATTAGGTCTCCTGACGCTTTTGAGCCTCTTATTCTCAAGGCTGCAAATCTGTCAAAAAAATCAGGAAAGATGTTTCGTGCTGCCTTCAAAACCGCGCTTGTGTTGTTTCTAGCTTCCTCATACAAGACGCTTCCTCTAGCGTGGTGCATCCGTTTCTATCTGTACATTTTCAAGCATCTTGTCTTGAAGAAAGCACAATACATCCGCACAAAGAAGAATACGTATGGATTCGGCGAGCGGAAACTCGATGTGTTCCGTGGCGTGGAATACCACACCTACGCGTCGCCATTGGAAATCGACCTGTACTTGCATAAATCGAACTCCACGTACTTGGCCGACTTGGACATTGCCAGAACCCATTTTGTATGCCAGGTGTTTCAGACGCTTTTCCTAAAGTACTGGCAAAACGAGACGGGCGAGTTCCGCGGCAAGTCGCTCCAGAACTGTCCGTACGTGCCGATCGGCACGATCCAATGTGCCTTCAAAAGAGAAATCAAGATGTTTCAACGGTACCTGATAGTGTCCAGCGTATTTGCTTGGGACCACAAATGGCTCTACGTGCTTCTGAAATTCCAGTTCTCGGACGGCAAGCTTGCAGCCGTGGCAATCACAAAGTACGTGTTTAAAAAGAAGGGCCGGATCACCATGAAGCCGCGTGACTTCTTGGCCGAGTCCGGCCTTTATAACAGCGACGTGGAGCTGATCAATGCCGAAAACTACAAGTTGGTCTCCTCACTCGAGACTTCCGAAGGCTTGGAGAAATGGGCCGCCACCATGGAAATATAGACAACTCAGACATGTAAACACAGGCAAATGGTCATGTCCATTGGTATACATAATTATAATTTATTGCTAGCATACAAAAATATTTGTGGTCACGCGTATCTCCGACCTTGAACCCACTCATGCCAACTGGAATCCTTCGTGGCCCTCGGAAAGAGCTAGCAACAACGACCCACGTAGAGTCTCGTAAGACTCGTACACTGGTAAGTCGATCTGATTGAAGCACGTGTGCGACGACGGCAAGCGGTCCTTGGCTCCGTAGTCACGGTGGATGCTGAATTTGCACACGCCATTGGCTCCCCTCAAGTCTTTAAACCCATTCAAGGGTACCTTCGACGTGCCTGTGGAAAACTGCAATAATTTTGCTCTCTCTTCGTTGTCAAAGGACTTGACTGCCCTCCAAAACCATTGGATCTGTTCTGACGACGCGGAGTAGTTGTGATAGTTTGTATTGTTTTGCCAGTCCTGGACATCGATGTCCGGTAATCCACTGATCAACAACTCAAGTTCTTGCTCGTCGAAGATGGCCACCAAATCGCGAGGAATTATCTCGTGAAATCCGGTGATGAAATTCTGCATCTGCTCATTGACCGATGTCTGCAATCTGTACTCGACAACAAGTCGCACATATTCATGTTTATTGCTCTCATCCACAGGTATGTTTCTTCCGTCCGGCACAAGATCGATGACCTTGTGTTCTCCGTAATCATCCGTCTCCACCGAAAAGTCTTCTGTAATAATGTCCGTGATGTCATTCTCGAGCATCCACATCAAGGATTTGAAATATTCCAAATCCAAATTCTCCATGTCTTTGAGAGACACTGAACGATCTAAGATCTTCTTGTAGACAGCTCTGCTGAAATGACAGTCCAAAAAGCATCCATCGTATATAGCCTTTCCAATTGTGCGCCCAATGAACTTGAAAAATGATAAATGTTCCGGATTGATATAAGACGTTCTGTTGGGATGATATGTGTTTTCATCGCTAGCGACTGGTGTAAACAAGGCATAGTCGGGATTGAACATCTGGCGTGACAAGACCTGGTACCATTCTCGGGTGACACCACCAGCATCAATTCCGGCTTCTCCCTTGAAGTTGATTTCCAAATGAGCTTTTTTGAAGTCTTGGACAGACTTGAAAAAAAGCGCTCTGTAAGAGTCAAGAAACACTTGATCACGCCGAATGCTGACACCCATCTTTGCACTGGGTTCTTTCTCATCATGTAATTGTCTGTTAAAGTAGTTTCTTTTGTTGTCGAACTCCAATACCCTTGAATTTCTCACCAACATACTGAATGGACCACTCATGAGGTTTGGGTTCGATCTTACCATCTGATTAAGAATCTTCTTGTGCTCATCCGTAAAGGAGAAAAACAAGCTTTCAATAGGCTCTTTTGTGAAATCTATCTTCTTCACCTCGTACTTCATCACATCCTTGATTGGAAGCTCCTTTACCTTACTATGTTTGCATACAACCATGAGTGCCTCTATCAATGGGAGCAAAGCGGTAGCAACGTGTGAAAGATCGGAATTGTCTTCCAAAATTCTTAAACAGTCACTGAGAGCTTTCCATAATTTTCCAAGCTGAAGGTGCTTGTAGAGACCAGACAACAATTCATCATCATTTGAGCTTTCAGATCCATGCTCCCTCTTTTGACTCTCATACATATAGTCCAAGGCAGTTAATATTCTGAGAAGTTTAGCCTGGTCTGAACTTGATGCAGTGAATTTACTTACCATCTTGTTTTCTTGTGTTTCGGCTTTCGGCTCCTTTGGCAACTCACTCGTTAAAACATCAAGGTCTTCGATAATAAGATCTCCAAACTCAGTAGCACGTTCAGAAAGCTCCTTCGAAAACACGTTTTGAGTATTGATCAACAAGGAAAGATGATGCATGCAACTGATTGTGCTTCTGAACGTCGAGTTAACACACTCATTCGAAGCCAAAATTTTGACCAATAAACGCAAGTTCTTCTCGGGAATGAAACTCGTGGAGAATGATGCGGGCAAGGCCTTTTCTTTATCACGCATCATCAACAACGGCCGCGTCGCGTAATTCAACACATTTGAAAGCAAATCAATGAAGAGGTGGTCTTCGCTGAGAAGCGGGTTTTCCAAAAGTCTGAAGAGCAAATTAATTGGATATCTGTCCTCAAAGTATGAAGCTTTCTTGAGTCTGAACTTTTTCAAGTGCTTCTTGGTGAGGAAACTGTTCTCATGCTCGGTGAGCAAATATAGTCTCATGGCCGGAATCTTCTCCAATAAGAAGAGAAGGGCTTCAATCACTTGTACACCAATAGAATTAGGCAGGCAGCCAATAGGAAAGCTGTATGACACGCTAAGATGTTCGCCCTTTTTAGATTTTAGGGCGATTTGACTGAACATCTTTTCCAAGGCCTTTTGACTGCGCAAACCATCGTGCAAAATGGCTATTAAAATGCTGACAACGTCTGATCTTGTCTGCTTATTATTGCACATCAGCACAAGTGTTTGATAAATGTGTTCCCTCTGATTGATAGGTTTGGGAAGAAACAACAACTTAACCAAGCTGGCTACCCCAGCCCGATCAATCAATGGCACAGTGAATGACTTCTTTTTCATCTTCGAGACTTCGTCGTGGTCACTCTCAACATTTTCGGTACCTTCTGTGCGTGGCTCTCCCAAAGAGACACCAAGATCGTCATCCATTTCTAGCTCATCTCCCATTTCAGAGTCCATGTCACTTTCGTCAGGAAATAATCCAAATCCGTCACTGTTGAAGCTTCGAGACATCGACTCTTGCTGCAAAATCTCGGCTCGTATTTGATCTGGAAGTGCTTGAAGAAAGTCTGGATCAATTTCACGAACCTCGCCTCCAGCAGTATTAGCGTTTGCTCTTCTCTCTCTGATATGCTGCGTAAAAACCTCTTCCCTTATGTCTTCGGGCAAGGCTTCGAAATATTCAGGATCGATATCCGTCCCACTTATGTCCACCTCCCGGTTACCAATCCAAATCATAAGTGGCTCTCTGGTAGAAATTTCGGTGGCAACTTGAGCAGCCTCACGTTCCCTGGCTTCTCCTTCGCGCTTGATCCTAGCCTCCTCCCTTTTTTTGTCTAGCGCCTCTTGTCTTCTCTTGCGCAATTTCTCTCTCTCTTCAGCCTTTTTCTTGAAGATTTCAAGACTCTCAGTGCTGATCGACTGTTTGAGATGAGAGCGCGCTGTATCCAAAAATGCTGTTTCGAAGCGACGAAAATAACAAGTAAAAGCACCCGCCCATCTTTCTACGCTTGATCTGATAAGCATGTGGTCGATGGAGTTTTTCAGGTGTTCCGTATTAAGAAGAGCTTGGAAAGCGGCGTCTAGTTGTGGAAACGCAGTTTCATTGGATCTAGTCGATCCAATTTGTATTGTTCCTGCAAGAATTCCGGATGGATTCAAGGATAAGATTGGCTGACCCATGGGACGAATGGCATTAAACAATGAGGCAACAGACTCGCGGGTGGTTCTCGCATGATTGCGCATGGCATTCGGGCTCGCCTCGTCATCTAATTCTGAGTCGCTGTTTGCCTCCGAATCAAAGTCAAAACGAGTTGCCTCGTCATCTTCGTCTCCAGTCGAATCGCCAAATCTTGTCCGCTCATTCGAGTCTGTCAGTCCAGGAAAGTCAGCGAAGGCCTCTTCCCAGTCATCAAGCTCAGCCTCTGTGTAATCCATTTCTTCATCATCGAAAAAATCTTCATCTTCATTGAATTCATCATCTTCTTCGTGGTCTTCGCCTTCGTCTCCGGAGATGTCCACATCACTATCAAATCCATTGAAATCGGAGGCCTCTGCATTATCGAGATCAGATCCATCTGCGGAGTGAATATCTAAGTCACCAATATAGGTGATGTGATTTTCGTTGTCACCATCGTCACTGTCAAACCCTTCGTATCCCCTTGGTCTGTCGTCATCTCCATCCTCTTCAACAATTTCTTCGTCCATGCCAGAGTCCATATCGGAATAGCTCATCTCATCACTGATATCGGAGTCATCTTCTGAGATGTCTGACCCTGACATCGGCACGAGAGACTGGTCTTGGTAAAATTCGTCTTCTTCTTCACTCTCAACATCAAGATCGTACATTCCGAGCGTTGAGTTACGGAACAAATCTGGTGTCTCGTCCCTGTCCTCATCCTCATCAATATCTTCATCTTCCTTCTCACCCGGCAATAATGTTTCAAACAAGTCCACATTGGCTAACTTGATCTTTGCGAGGCCCGCAAGCGCCTTCAAACCGACATTGAGGACCTTATGCACATCAGGGAAGTTGAGATCAATATTTGACATAACCGAAGTGATTTGGTTAGCCAAATGTGAATCAATGAAAGCGGATGCCACATAAAATTGATCGCATTTTGTAGCAGACTTGCTTAGCAAAGGGTAACATAATTCTCTGAACTTTGCCGAAAGCAAACAAGAACACAAGTCAAAAATATCATAAATCTTGGAGTACACCCTGGTGACATTGGTTGACTCGACAATTGTTTCTTTGAGTATCTTCGAGATGATATCCACCATGAGCTTTCGAACAATGGCCATATCTGCATCTTCTTTTCTTGGGTCCGGCTCGGCATCATTTTCTTGAATCGTAGTGGACACAAGGGCCAAAAGAGTAAGTTTGGCGAGGGACGAAATTGCTTCACGTCTGTGAAACTCTGGACCACTCAGAGACACAAGCAGTTGACTCGGGATCAATTGATGAATGAAGAAATTAAGACTTGTCAAGCGAGGCTTATTTATCTCTTCATTCTTGGCTTTCTTGGAAAATGTGATAAACTCCAATTTTGCACCATTATACGAGCCTACCAACTCACAAAGACTTTGAAGAAGAAAACACATGTAACCAAACTTCTTATTCTCCATAAGGAAATCGAATTCCAGCTCATCCTTTTTCTTCTCGGGCTTTTTGGAAACTTCGTCCTTGTTATCTGTCTCCGGTGATGAATACCAATCTTCCTTAGCAACACTCATTAACTGGGTTAATAAGATATAAACTAATCCCAGTGGGTTAATGGCGACTTCCGTTTCCTTGGAAACCTTTATTTCCACTTCGGAATGAGGGGATTCAATTTTCTTCTTATCCAGGTCTTTGTCAGATACCAAGTAAACTTTTTCCCCCGATGAAGGTCGGCCGTCATAATTTTCCAAGCGGACCATATCGGAGGCCACTTCCAAGAAATATTCTGGATCTCTGCCGATTAGAGGACGTGAGTCGTGAATCACCTGGGTTAACTCACGTTTTCTGCCTGCATTCTTCTTCATGCTTTTGGTAATTTCTGCTGTGAAAACGTTCCGGAGAAGACTTTTGTTTTCAAAACAGGTTCTGATCACTAAGATCAAACTGTCTTGGAGTACCTTGTGATTATCTTTGTCAGTGAACTCTAGAAAATTTTTGGTACCTTTGATGAGACAAGCTAACAATGGAGACTCGATAACCTTTTGTTTGTAATCTTCCTGCTTCGCTAGCAAATACATGTATCTGCCAAGCAATGTGGCAGACTTAACATTTTTAACTGGTTGTAATCGGAGGATTGCATCAGAAATGGAGTCTTTCAAAGCTTTCGGTGCCTTCAAGTCAGGAAAGTGAGGTCTAAGCTCTTGGTATATAGTTGGCCAGGTCTGACTCAAAATAGGCAACATGAAGGAAAGGCCCGCTGCAAAAAAGTCTGTATCAGCGATTTCAGGCTTATTTTTCACATCAATCAAGAACTTATCCAAAAACTTCTCAAATGTAGCTTGATAGGCGTAATGCTTTTCACTCGCCTTACTCTCCACCACATAGGGCTCACAGCAAATAAGAATCTCGAGCAAGAAAATCAAGTTTGTAGCCTGTTTATTTTCAAGGTCCTCAGTTTTCTGCGATACAGCTTCGATCACTTCAAACACGCTCTTCACGATTTTCGAATCGATTCCTCTCTTCTGATACGCTGATGCGACTGTTTTCTCGAGACCCTTTGTAAACGAAGAAAGCTGGATGAGAGCAACAGAATATATCTGAAACTCCTCTCTCTGCCTTGCTTCAGAGATTATGCGAACGCTGTCAGTGGGGACCGGCTCATACTTGAATAACTCATCAAAGTTAAGCCTTTTGAGCTTCTCTCTAGAACTGGTCCAGTTTGGGAGGTCTAAATTTGAAGCCTTTTCAGAGAGAGAGTCAATATTCCTGATAGACCCAGAATGAGCGAGTAGCAGACAGGCAACTTCAGTGCTCATGTCTAAAAACTGTTCGAGAAATTTCACTTCAGAGAAAGCTGTTGCCATCCAGTCTTCTCTCAAAGGGTAAAATCCCTCAAAAGGATCAAAAGCCCAAGCTAGCCGAGCAATGTTGACAAGCATGTCGGGGATTTTAGCTGGAAACGCGGAAATAAGCGAGTAATCATTCTGTTTGCAAAATGTGGACTCAGTTCCCAAAATTTGAGTGAGAAGACGTATCGCTTGAACCCCCGATTGCGTTATACAACCATTCACCACGTGATTCTCATTAGAGCAGTACTCTTTATTGAAGAAATAATTTCCCATGGGACATTTGTTTAGGTGAGTGTATGAAACGAGCCTTGAGATGAAGGACAATAATAAGTTCAAAGCATTGAACCCAATTGAAGCTGGAGTGTTTTGGATAAACAAGAGTTCCTGAGCGTCTTTCAATGTATGCACGGGTAAAGTGCAAAGAGACTCGAATACTGAGACAGCGTTGTCAAAAACTTGCATCCCCAAGTCTGTGGTGTGGTAAAAGAACAGCACAAAAGACGTGGAGAGGGTCTCCTTCCCCCGATCTTTGTACGTACTAATGAATGAGATGACATGAACCACGCGAAGAATGTATTCGAGGTAGTTTTCCGTGGCGAGTCCCCGTCTGTCTTTCAAAATATTGCTCAAGTTACTAGCCAATTGTCTGGTTGCAACAACACTGGTTCTTCTCCAAGCGTCGGTGAAAAAATCCTGCCTTCTATGCATACAGCTTCGGGAAATACAAGAAAGCGTGACACATGCATTGTTCAGAAGCAGATCCATCAAGAATCTAAGCTGGAGTGTGTTCTTGAACTTAGCACTGGTGCAGTCGTCGATATTCTGGTTTTCAGAGGGTGGTTCACGAGGAAGAATTCGGACCGCGGTGGTTTTGATGGAATAGAATATTGAAGGGCTGGTCTTCTCCATCACTTCATCCGGCAAAGCCGAACGGATATTGGTCTCCTCCAAGATAGCGGCTTGCAACACGGAAACGAGTTTTTCCACAAAGCCCGAATCTTTTTGTAGAAAGTCAAGCATGACCAGGTAAGTCTCGTTGGAAATCAGGTTTGGGTTCAAATATATTTCTGTCAAAACAAAAAGTAGGTTGTTGACGATGTTCAACTCCTTCACCAACATTGTGGCTTCTTCGGGGTGGTTCCCAAGATCGAGGAAGTAAGACTTGGTCTCCCTGTTTTGAAGGAACTGAGTCATTCTTTGCGAGGATAGTCTTTGCGAGAGGGACTCGAGAACTTGCAAGAAGCCATACGATGGGACCTCGTCGTCTAGGTACTTGAGGACAGCGATCAAGTTGAGCACACCATTTGACACAGTGAAGTCGAAAGGCGTGCTGGGCATGGTGAAGAAAGACTCCCAGCAGGAAAAGGGGATTTCCCTGATGACGTCCTTCCCCCATTGGCCCGTGTCTTGGAGGAGCCCGTTGAGAAAGCCAGAGACGTTGTCGATGAGATTGGTGGCCGCCATGCCTTCCCAGCTCTCGATTTCCTGCTGGCCGTCTTCCTGAAGCGCCACGTTTTCAGTGGGCAGCTGGTACATGTGGCCCGAATCGGAGGCGTAGAACTGGATGGACAGGAGCTCGCCGTTGGCGTACGCCGCGAAGTCGGAGACCAACGCCCTGATTTCCTTCATGATCAAGGGCCTTAAGGGCGGGTTGTGTCTGCCCAACTCGTCCATCGAGCAGCCGATGTTGGTGCACACGTCCGCGCGCATGGAGTCCTTTGCCAACTCTAGGTCGTAAAACGACCGGAAGAAGATGTGGAGCACGTCGGACTCGAAGATCTTGGTCATGCCCTCCTTGTTGAGGGAGATGGCGCCCAAGACCTCCAAAAGAGGCGCGAGCAAGTCGCCGCAGGGCATGAAGAGCGAGTCGTAGTTGTCCAAGATGGCGGAGACGAGCCCGGCCTCGTTCAAGATGGAGAATGCGGTGGGCTCGTTGTGGATGATCTGCGAGACGTCGTCGACGGTGGCGGCGAGGACGGCGGGCCCGAACACGCGCGGGTGGGCGATGATCTTGGCGAAGCCCGCGAGGAGCGGCGAGTCGAAGAGGTTGCGCAAGCGGTCGCCCGCGTCGGACTGGACCAAGGTGGCCACGAAGTCGAGCAAGCCGCGCAAGTACTTGACCTGGGGCAAGCTGATGGAGTGGAGCACGGGCACGTGCCTGGGCGCGCCGCCCGCGTGGCCCGGGTGCGCGATGGCGAAGTCGACCTCGTGGTTGAGCGCGGCGACGACCAAGGCGAAGCCGTTGCAGTCGGCGAAGGCCGGCACGAGCTCCGGCAGCGCGGCGAGGAGCGCGGTGAGGACGTGCACGGCCGCGGCCGGGGCCCAGCGGTTGTCGCCGCGCACGGCCAAGAAGGCCGCCAACTCGGGCAACAAGCCGCCGGCCACGAGGCGCGGCGCGAGCGTCTTCAGCTCGACCAAGTCGCCCACGGCGGCGAGGAAGACGCGGTGGCCGGCGGCGTGCGCGGGCTCGGCCGGCAGGCGCGCCAGGCGGACGATGTGGCGGAGCACCTCGTAGAGCAAGCCGTGGCTGGCGCTGCCGCCGAGGTGGCGCACGAGCTCGCTGCCCCACACGCGCTTCATGGAGATGGCGCGGAGCGTCTGCAGCGCCGCGAGCAAGAGGTCGCCGGGCACGAGCGCCGCGTGGCGCGGCGCCACCACGTCCATCAAGAAGCCCAACGTGTAGGGCTCGAGCTCGAACAACTGGCACGCGGTGAAGTCCGCGCTGCAGAAGCACGCCACGCACGCGATCGCCAAGCACTTGGCGCGGAGGAGCTTGCGCCGCAACTGCATGGCATCGTGCGTCTGGGAGTTGAACGCCTTGGCCGCGAGCGCCGCGGCCAGCAAGCGGAACCACGCGCTGGGCGGCACGCTCTCGGCGCCGCGGTCGTACATCTGCTGCACGGACATCTTGCGCACGTGCTCCTCGGAGAGCGCAAACACCGCGACGCCGTCGCCCGGCGCCGCGCCCGCGGGCAGGCGGAAGTACTCGAGGCGGAGCGCCTTCCACAGGGCCGGGTACTCCTGCGCGGGGTCGAGCGCGTCGGCCCAGCCGTAGTGGTCGGCCTTGGCGTGCGCGGCGGCGCGCGGCGCCCGCTGTGCCGCGTGCTCCCGGCGCTCCCGGAGGAAGCTGGCGGGCACCGCGGGCGGGAACAGGCGCGCGGCCTCGAGGAGGCGGAGCCGCACGGGCCGCGGCGCCATGAACTTCTTGTGCTGGCTGCCGTGCACGTAGCGCTCGCCGAGGCACACGGCCACGTCCAAGGCCGCGATCCGCACGTCGAGGTCCGGGCAGCACACGAGCTGGAACACGCGCTCCAGGCTGGCGTAGACGCTGCGGTTGGTGCAGTGGTCCAAGAGCATCTTGGAGAAGCGCAAGCACGCCACCACGAGCGCCGCGGCGTCGGGCGGCGCCTGCTGCAAGCGCGGCGCCGCGCCGGCCCAGCCCTGCGCCGCGATCTGCGTCTCCAAGATGTCGTCAAAGAGGTTCAACACGCGCACCCAGTGCAACAAATTGCCTGGCGGGAGCTCCCACGTCGAGTGCGCCGCGAGCGTGTGCGCCAACTGCGCGGGCTCGCTGCCGCAGATCTCGTCGATGAGCGGCAGGAGGTGTTTCTCCTGCTCCACTTTGTGCAAGTGCGAGCGCTTGGAGATGATCATGTTTGCTATGGGGGGAGGGGGGGTAGGGGGTTCAAATACGCGCCGGGGTCTGTGCTGGCGGCCGTTTTTTCTCGCGGTTTCGGGGGCGGCCGGGGGAGGGGCTGCCGCGGGGGTTGGAGGTGGGCACGGGTCGCTGCTGCACTTGGGTGGGGGGTCAAGTGTGGGGGACCAGGGCGGGATGGGAGGAAAAGTGAGGAGGAAGAGTGAGGAGGAGGTTTGGCAACGAGGGCATTTTCGCGCCTGGCCCTGGGGCCGCGCGGCGCGGCAGGGCCGAGTGGCCTGCCAGAGCGGACGCCGGGGGCGTTCCAGGGCCAGGCGCGCGCGTGTTCAGGGCAGGGCACAGGGCCGGGCACAGGGCCGCGCGGGGCAGGCCGGGGGTCTGTTTGGGGCGACGGCCGCCTACTTCCAGAGTGCCCTATATGATGACGAAGGGTATATTTTCACGCGTGGGTTGGTTTTTATAATAGTTTTGTAGCAGAACCAGACGGAGCTGAACCTTTGGGATCACCTGCGGGGGATGGCTCGAGCTTTAAAACGTGCCGCTTCATGGAGAACAGAATCCGCTGGGCAGCTTCAAGGTGGAGCCTTGTACTGTCACTAGCAGAGTTGTCAGTTTGAGTTGTTTTGTGGAGTGAGTGCTTTCAATCTAGTAGCGCCTTCGGGGCTGCTTATTACACCATTCCCGGGCACAATATAAGCCCGTGGGTCACGAAATAGCGAATGCTCATGTTTTACATGCATTCGCATCCAAGGCAAGTAGAAGGCCAGGGCCTCTTTTCTTTGTTGCACTGCCGGGTATGTACAATGACTAAACATCAAAACCACTAAGAGGGGTAATATCCATCAACTAGGAACCATAAGGTGATTTTGCAATTGGATACATAAATCATGTGTGTCAAAAAAATAGGAATTATAGAATCGAAACGAATCAGTTAAAGTCATAGCAGTGTTAGTAGTTGCCATTTGACGAGACGCACACATCCAATATATATTTGTGCTGTACCATTATTAACATCCATAGGTGATAAAGTATGCTTTTTGAGAATTCTGATCGATTAGTTGTATCTTCGTTATTTATATGGGACTAAACTTCCACAATGCTCAGTACTACTTATAATAATCACCCCGCGTGAACTCTCCATTTATATGCTTATTATTTAGTTTCATTCTAATGGTGCCTTGTTTGCTACGGTTTGTCTTACTGCCTGTCCTCGACTACTGAACTCTTTATGTGAATAATTCATGGGGGTAAGCGTATAAATAATCCCGGCCATCCCCGGCGTAATGAACCTTTAAAGGTCCTCAATGTATTAGTATAGTTCAGTAGTCTGCCGTGATATAATAACTTACCTTAGTTTATGACCTATATTGGTAACTTTGAGTTGTCGGTACATGTATTTGATTCGAAAAAGAAATTCTAAAAAATATCAGAATGATTCAAAAAAATGATTCAAAGGAAAACTCGAGCTATATATACTCAATAGCAACATAAATTTACCAGGTTTTCAATTTTATCTCTACATAATTAAATAGCATCGGTGATTTTAAAATATATTTATCATGCCTATCTATGAATTGAAGACGTTTCCTCAATGGAACATACCTATTAAATTGTTTGTATCATTTTGAGCATAAGGAATAAAAAGGAACGGAATGTTTGATTAATAAAATCGAATGACTCCGAATATAAAAAAGAAACATACTTCAAGTAACATTGATATAATGAATATATACTAGATATGTATGCGGGCGTTCTGGGCAGGATTTTGGGGAGATTGGTTGGAATGTTTATTGAATTCGGCTGGTATTCATAATGACTCGAGCTGATATTTAGGGAGAGCTGAGCTGGTACTCTAGTGAATTGGATATATTTTTTTCTTGACTAGAACTGATGAGTTTGGTGAGCTTGGCTGGTTTTGGTAATTTTTGGGTGATCTTTATGGTAAATTGAGCTGGTGTTCTTGGTCAATTGGGCTAGTACTTTTGGTGAGTTTGGCTAGTCATTTTGGTGACATGGACTGATATTTTTAGTGAAGTGAGCTGATATTTTTAGTGGATTGGGTTCGTGGTTTTGGTGATTATGGTGGGTGTTCTTGGCGATTATGGTGGGTGTTTTTGGCAAAGTGAGCCGGTGTTTTTTGGTAATTCGAGCTGATGTTTTGGTGAGTTTTGCTGATGGTTTCGATGAGCTGGGCTGGAATACATCTTGATTCGGGCTGATACTTTTGATGAGCTTGGCTGGTATTTTTGGTCAATTGGTCTGGTATTCTTGGTGAGTTTGGCGGTCTTCTTGGTGAGTTGGGCTGGTGTGTTTACTAAATTGGGCTGGTTTTTTCAATATATTGGGCTGGTATTTTTGGTCAGTTTGTGGGAAACTTGGTGAGTTGGGTTGATGTTTCTGGTGTGTTTGGCGGGTGATTCTGGGGATTTTGGCTGGTGATTTGGTGTTTAAGGCGCTGAGGCATTGCAATGGTGCATCATGTGCTGATCTAGCTTGATGATACATGATATTGGGATATTATATTGATGTATTGGATGATGTTTGGATGGAGGTATCTATGTATTGATTTAGGGTATGATGTATGCACTGGTGTACTGTTTCGTAATTTTAGGCTATCATGTGTTGATTTATCTTGATACTTCATGGTATTGACGAGTCGTATGGTACGGTATGGTATGTTGTATGGATGTATAGTATGATGATTAAGGGTATGATGTATTGATGTAGGGTATTATTATGAGCACTGATGTGTTTTATCTTGTGATTTCATGCTACCATTTGTTGAGTTTATTTGCTACACCCATGTATTTGCATACCTTGATGATTCGTGGTATTGATGTTTGGTGTTGATCTATGTTGACGTATGGTATGAACATTGCACTGGTGAATTTTTTCATGTTATCATGTGCTGGTTTAATTTTGATGACATCACGTCGTGATTAAATTGATGTTATCATGTGTTGATTTAACTTGATGATAAACGATATTATTGAATTGTATGGTGTGGTATTGCTGCGATGTAGGCTACCATGTACTGATGTATGTATGGGATTGATGTACTGCGATAGTGTATTTTTTTGTGTAGATTTGATGTTATCATTTGCTGACTGATTTTGATATATGGTATTGACGTGTTGTATTGATGTTTGGTATTGATGCATGGATGTATGGTATATTGTATTGTATTGCATTTAAGTCATGTATAGTACTGCTGGATTGTAGGGATGTGTATTTTGACTGTACAGATGTGCTAAACTGTTGACTTGATGAGATGATGTGTTGATCTGATGTGTTGGCATTTCTATCAGTGACGATTAAAATTGTGGATTTGATGTGTTGATCTGATGTGTAGATTCAATGTATTGATGTATGCACTGGTGAATTTTTTCGGTTAATTTGATGATATGTGGTATTCATGAATTGTATCAATGTATAGAATGGTGAATTGTATCGATGTATGGTACTGATGTCTTGCGCCGATGTTTTCTTTTGATGTGTCGATTAAATGTCATTATGTACTGTATCAAGGCATTACGTTGATGTATTGAACTGATGTACTGTACCGTTGATATAGTGTGACGTTGTGTTGATTTGATGTCTAAGCATTTTTATTTCTTGATGTGTTGATTTAATGTGTTGATCAATTATGCTGATTATAATTGCTAATGTGTAGATTCAATGTGTTAATCTGATGTGTAGATTCAATGTATTGATGTATGCACTGGTAAATTTTTTCCGTTAATTTGATGTATGGTATTGATGAATTGTATTGATGTATGGAAGATGTATTGATGTATGGTAGATGTATTGCACTGGTGTATTTTTTCTGTCATTCTCATGTTATCACGCGCTTATTTAATTTGATGATACATGGTATGGATGTATTCTACAGATGTATTGCGCTGATGTTTTCTTTTAGTGTATTGATGTATGGTATCAATGTATTGTATCGTTGATTTAGTGTGATAATGTGTTGACATTTAAATCATGTGATGTGTTGATCTGATGTATTGATCAAATTCTTTCATTTAGCTTGTTGATCTGTAGACTCAATTTGTTGATCTGTTGTCTTGATTTAATGTTTTAATGTATGGTCCTTATGCATTGTATTAATGTATTGTACTGATGTATGGTATAGATGTGTAATATTCATGAATCGACTGATGTATCATACTGGTGTTTATAATTGAAGTATTGATGTAGGATGTATTACAGAGGTTTTGATCTCTTCAGTTTATTGCTGTGTGCTGTGCGTATCCCCTTATATTGATCTTCCGGCTCGATGTGGCATTGCGTGTTTTAACGTCTGACGGTTGAAGCCAGTTGTGTTTACGGCCGTTTTGGCGTATTACTCTTGGTCTTCCTTTGGGCATTTTCACGGCTTCTATAGTGAATATTTGCGTGCCCTTGCTGTCTATAGTATGGTGGCTTCATGATTTTGCACCGGAGGAGTCGCACTAAATTCCTATGTTTGGTCGCTCGGGGCCTTTGGCAGAACAATGGACGGCAGCAAAAACCACCAAAAACCACCTCAAGAAATTACAAAATACAGAATTCTAAATATTGGAAAAAATACTTATAATATCTCCACACCCAGCAAATGCAGGAAGAGACCTTCTATTTTGGTCCTACCAATATATGGCGGGCAAGCTGCAAGATCACTATGGCAAGGTGCGCTGTGAAGCCTGACTTTGGCTGGCGTGATTTTTTAGCCCAACAAATGCGAAGAGCCAGGCATACTGGCCCTGCCCATTCAGCACGGTTGCCCGCGATTTCTGAGAATCGCCTTGCCATACCTCAGCATAGTAAATTCGTAGGGCCATTTTTATAGAAGCACACCATAATAGGAAACTCTGGCAGGTGTGAAAACGTCAAGTGCATACACCAGGCACCCAGGCCACAAAAAGTCCTGTACCAGATTGCACTGTTCTCAATGTGAAACTGTCATAATCCAATCTTAACTTGCAACTTCCTCGCAATTTACTTGCAACGTTGATTTGCCATTTTATAATTTGCTCTTGCGAGGTACAACTGCCATTTCACGATGCAAGGCTACATCAGGGCCCAAGCGCCTGGGCCCATTCAAATCCCCAAAGATGTGTTTCTCAAGGAATCCCCAACAAAATCTTATCGGCAGCTTGTATCGTGGCATTATGAGCAGCAATTAATAATCGCATGTTTCGCACGGGCGCAATCATCCTTCTACCGCAAAGAGCCCAAACATGTATACTCCTTCTCTCTGTAAGAACATTCCTCCCAGCTGAGGGATCGCAGACCACTAAATGTGCACGCAATTTTGAGACCGATCGGCTATGAGCCATTGGTATACACCAACACTCAGAGATATGAAGCTTATTGTATAAGGGCTCAAAACCATGTCAAGGGGGAGTGCTTCAAAACAGAATTGCAGTTTCCTGCCGTTCCTGCTTCCGAAACTCTCCAATAGTTTCTCCAGCCTTTTGTCTTCCTGGTGCCCGGATAGAGTTTAAAGAACCCGGGCATTGGTGGAGGCGCTTCTTGTCTCTTGCTGGAAGAAAAGCTATGGTTATCGTGTCTTCTCCTTAATGTGTAGCGTACGGGGTATACCCCAGGAGACACAGACACGAGATTTGTTTCTCAACGAAAAATAGAGTCTCCTTACATTGGACTCGCACCTCTCGGTTCACCAAGCGTTCATGCAAAGCATTCACTGAACTTCAGTACAAATATTGACTGTATTCGTAGGAACGCTCAAACCAGCCCGGCCTGGCATAACCATATACCTGGTTGAACTCCCCCTGTTTGGTCAAATAATGTCTCCGCGTGATATTGATTTCATGTTCCAGCAGTTTCGCAGAGTCCCGCGTCAAAGGCCCCGAAGCATCCCCTCTATGGCCTGTAAATTTATCTATTCAATCCACCCCCACAATTTCTACCCGCCCTCTGATCCGATTATTTCTCGACCTGCGTAATTCCGTTATATATTGTCTTAGCCAAACTAGACGTGCAGTCTGGCCGAGGCGGATCCCAGGGCGGTCAGCCTCTTCAAACTATACATGCGCAGCGGTGTTGAATAAAACAGAAAAATACTCGACATTCACGCTGGACATCTACGTCATAGGAGAGCCCGATTCGAAACATCCGGCCGACTACTTCCACACACGTGTACTGGTGGCAATCACGCTCGCACTCCAGGCCTACAAAACGATTTCAGCGCAGCCGGGCGTCTGTTAAATAATGGATATCTACGCAAAACAGCTTAGTTCCAGGCTCAGGCCCAAGACGCCGGCATTATTCCGCCAGCATACTGTCTCGCAACTTGGGCATGGCTACTATCAACTGTTCAACCGGCATATACATAGACCCATGGGCCATGTCTACTTTTCGCACCAGACCGCCTGTTCCATGCAGAGACAGCCGGACCAAAGACCCAGAGCACCTGGACTGGATATCACCGGACACTACGACCGAAGCGCCAAAACAAGGCCCGCACATATTTCCCTTTGCTGCAGATCCGAACTCTATTTTTAAGACCACCTCCAGGCCGTTTTTTATATAGCTCACCTCCAACTAAGACAGACCCACGTTCACCTCCAACTAAGACAGACCCCCAGATCTCCATACCATGTCTACCGTGAAAAGCAAGCAGGCCGTGCTCCCGCCCATCAACTTGATTTTCAAGTACTTACAGCAGCAGTCGCTCGTGACGATCTGGCTCTATGAGCAGACGCAGCTGAGAATACAAGGCAAGGTGCGAGGATTCGATGAGTTCATGAACATAGTGATTGACGATGCCGTCGAGATCTCCACGGCCTCCGGCGCCAAGGAGACCTTGGGCCGCATTCTCTTGAAGGGCGACAACATCACGTTGATCTCGTCTTTGGATGTATAGGCTGTGGGCTTCCGGCCGCACCACCACTTATATAAATGTATTAATACAACGGATCCCAGGCCGGCTGCGGCCCGCCGATTGAGGCTGTAGAGCATGTGTTGGCCTTTGCAGAAGCGGCGGGCCAACCGGCCAGTGTCCACAAATAAGAAAAATGGGCCTAGGGCTTGCTCCCAAATCTCCGTAAGTTGTCTAGCGAAGAGCAGGTTTTCCGTGGCGCCATCGACTCACATGCGTCTCAGATGTATTCTCTGGGTGCTGCGTCTTAGGTAAATTCTCTGGGTGGTGCATCTGAGATATATTTTGGGTGGTCCATCACCGATCTCTGGATACATCATCAGTATGGTCTCTGGGTGGTGCATCTCATATTACCTGGGCGGTTTACCACCCATCTGTTCTCTGGATGAAACATCTCAGATATATTACGTAAATGCTTCACCACCAATATAGCCTCTTGCTGCTGCATCTCAAAATATTTCTGGGTGAACCATCTGGGTTGTCCATCTTAGATCTAGTTTCTAGATGCAACCTTAGATTACCTGGGTGGTCCATCTGGGATTTCCGTCTTAAATATAGTCTCTGGGTGCTTCACCGCTAATACAGCCTTTGGGTGCTGCATCTCAATGAATTCTCTGGGTATCTTAGATATATTCTCTAGATTTTCCACCATTCTCTGCATGCAACATCTCAGATATATTCTCGAAGTGGTTTACCACCAATATAGCCTCTGGCCGCTGCATCTCCAATATATTTCTGGTTGGTCCGTCTGGGATTTCCGTCTGAAATATTATCTCTGGTTGGATCTCAGATTTCTCTGGATGCTGCACCTGAGACCTATTCTCTAAGTGATCCACCTGGGCTGTCCATCGCCAGTATAGTCTCTGGGTGGCCCACCAACAATGTAGCCTCTGGGCGCTGCATCGCATATGAAATTGCTGGGTGCAACATCTCAGATATATTCTCTAAGTCTTTCACCATCAATAAAGCCCCTGGCTGCAACATTCCAGATGATTCTCGGGGTGGTCCTTCTGGGTTGCCCATATCAGATACTTCTCTGGGTTGTCCATATCAGATACTTCTCTGGGTTGTCCATCTCAGATACTTTGGGTGCATCTCAGATATTTCTCTGAATGCAGCCGGAGATATATTCCCTGGGTGGTCCCGGCAAGCCGCACACCCGCCCAGCTACTTCGCCCCTCGCTTCTGCAGCACCAGGGCCATTTCCCGGCCCGGGGCCTGTAGGTTGAAGTTGACTTTCTTCCGTTTTTTCGGAGAGCCTTCAAGCGGCTCCAGGACCGCCGCGAGTTTGGCCGTGTTTTCGGGCCCCTTGCCGTGCCGGCGCCGGCTTCGCTGCGCCCGTGCCTCTTTCAGCATGGCAGCCTTGTACGAGCTGATTTGCTGTTGTCGGAACATACGATTGTGGTCCTTCTGGGCCGCGGTTTTGCGCCGTGCGGCCACTTCTTTGGAGGCGTCCGGGGTTTCCAGGTCCGCCATGGCTCAGAACATACCAGAACGGCCCGCCTGCTGAAGCACGAAGTGAAGATTTGGGGCCGGGCCGAAAGAAAATGGCCAAGTTGTGCGAGGCTAGAGAGGCCCGGCATGCGCGCCTGGCGACTTGGGGCCAGGGAGTCCAGTTAGTGAAAGGCAGAGGGGAAGGCCGGGGGAATATCCGGCGATGGGGTGTCTGCCGATTTGGGTCTAGGGTCACCTGGGATTTTTTTTCTGTATATCTATAATTATACATGTATATGATATACGTATATACAATTGATTATATGCCGATTTGAGAGTATGCTAGTCACGGGCAGTATGCGACGGGCACCTGGAAATATTTCTGTGTATCTATGATCATACATCTAGACATTTGTGTGTATGCCGATTTGAGGGTATGCTAGGGCCACGGTCAATATGCGATGGGACCCCTTGGCTATTTCTCTGTTTATCCATTAATATTGGTATATATAATATACATGTATATACTTCTGTATATGTACATGGGCAGCTAGCACCACTGGACCCAACATTAACCCCGGCACGGCGGGCGCGAGTCACTGCTGAATTCAGGCTGCGGTCCGAATCAAGTGTGTTTTTGAAAGCCTGAAAAAAAAAATTGGTTTGGCGCCATACTGTGGCCAATAGAATTTTGAGAGACCCGAGATCTCGAGGATGGGTGCGCACCAGCATGGCCAAATACTGCTGGCTCAATTAAGCTGGCATTCACGAGAAACCCGCCATCATGGGCTGCAGCTGTCTATTTTGGCAGGGAAGTATTTTGCTTCGTGCTGGGCTAGCTTACTTTGAATTAGAGCTGGGAACAAGAGGTTGATGGCAATTCGCGGTATTCTAATTTTCCATTGCGGAGCCAAAGTATGAGAAAGCCGAGTTTGGCCGTGAGAACATATTCTAAAATCAAACAGCATGAGATTTGTGATTTTTAGGTTAAGATTTCCGGTATTGATAATGACTAATGCTGGATTTAGTGCCCAGAAATACATTGTTCAACCCAGCATTTCCAACGGCAAACAAAAATATCTTCCCTCACAATTGCCCCGCTCTCGCCCTGCCTCACTAGTAATATCAGAGAATATGTTATTCATGAAGTGTAACACTATAATCGGTAAACCCATGCAGAATTCCTGATATGTCAAAAGGTAGCAATGAAAAAACTGAAGACCAAATCGACGGATTGAATGTCACCGCTTAGCCGGAGTGGTGAACTTTTATAAACTAGCTTCAGCAGGTAAATAGGTTTTTCCCAGGTGCGCACTTATAATATTCAGATATCATAAGATCGTTAGCATTGGTGTGACTCAGAAATTTTCTGGTGTCGATCTGAGAATAAGCGTTTTCAAAACAATCACATGATTCTGGACCTTATAGGTCACCAAAACTTCTCAAATATCTACTGATTTTTTTTAATTGTCAGAACGGGTGTGCAGGGAGGTATAGAAGACGCTGTATTAATAAGCCTCATCAACTTATCGATTACTGTATTTCTGAAAAGAAAAGGAATAGGCGTATACTAGACTTAATACCAAAACATCCCAAAGCAAACCATGGCGAAGTTGGATAATGATAAAACATCTCAAAGCTCGTTAAATCTGAGTAATAAATACCCGGCTTCGCTGAATCATATCACCCTGCGCAGCAGGGTTAAGATATTGTCTAAGAGTGGAGAGGATACACAGAGATGATATTTAAGGCCTCTCACGCCAATTCCCTCTCAGCAAAATTCAATAAACACCTGGAAGGATACAATGATAATTCAGAAACGAGAATAGCGTAAAAACTCCTGAAGTGACCACGCTGCCCCTAGATCATTATCAATTATTAACCGTAAATCTTTATTGATTGATATTTTAGTTGTAAACCCTATGATAAAAACTAAATATTTTTTTCTAATGATGCATCGCCCGCTTTTACCCATAGAGCCATAATTAAAGTATTAAGCGTTCTGAAAATTTAGTAATAGAAATAAGTAATAATCATCATATTAAAAAGGTGACATTATTTGTTAGTGATATTAATGTATCATTTATGATTTAAATTTCATGGGTGTTAAACTTGAGGTTAAGTTTAAGTTTAAAATTAGCCACGATGCTATATATTATAGAGTATGGGTGAAAATTTATATTTTTAGTTTTTAGTCACAGTAAACTTTTATTCAATTTTCCTTACTTGAATGTAAAATTTAATATAAGGGAGCTTCACTTTCTTATATCGATCCTAATTATTAGTCAAACTCCCTCCACTTTTCATGAAAGTAACCTAGGCCAGGTTCTCTTGCGCCAAAAGGGGCAAGGGAGTGGTCATTGAAAAATTGGATAAAATTATAAGATATAATTAAGCTTCAAATGATCCCTGAAACAAAAAAACAGATTTCAACGCCGAGAAAATTCCCACCTGTGCCTGTGCCTGTGCTATGGGGGTAAATACATATACGAAGTGCGTGTATTAATCGGTATAGCCTAAAGATCCAGTAAATATGTATAAAAGTGAAATATGTAAGGGTAATTTGTCGTCCTGATATATAATAATTTGAACCTTGATTGTGGGCATCCGCCTGCAATCTCATAGTTTTCAAGCTATTAATTTGAAAGCCTAAAGGGGGAGCTATAAAAATTTACAAGATAGGTTAATTACATATTCAAATTATAATCAATATGTCTTATTTAAAAAAAGTATCCCATACCAGAATAGGTGGTGATGATATTATTACTAAAGACGCATCGGTTATTTGAGTGAATGATGATAAAACTGATATTATAAAATTAATGAATAAATTTTCTTTTCGTCTTATGGGGGAAGAATATTAATGTTGATTATCTAGAAACATGTTTTTCTTAATAGAAAGAATACTAATAGCTCGCTTGTAAATTATGATCTATATAATTTAGAATGTGGTTTTACATGATAGTTAAATGCAAGGAATATTGGACTTGTGATTGAAACTTCTGGTCGTATTTCCGTCATACGTATATATTCATATAATTAAACCGCATTTAATGATTTGAGAAATATTTCAGTAAATCTAGACTATCCAATCATATAAGCTCCGTCGGATCTGACAAAGACATGATAGTGCTATTTTATATAATGAATTAGCACATATGGGTAGTTTAAAGCAAATCATGATATTGAGTAGGCACCTTGAAGATTGTGGTGACAAACTAATTCTAATTAGTTTGGAAGATCTGGGATCTTGCCATCATATCTCTGCCTTCTTTGTTCTGGTAGAATTTTTTAATCGAGGGAGGTAGAATACAGAATTGTACATAAAACAGCTTAGCGGATCTCGGATACCTACCCAGCGTCAAACCTCAGCCCGTCTCCTTGTTCGACAATGATTTCGCACATATATGGTGACATGCCGAAAACAACGTTATCAATTCCTAGAAATTGTCTTCTGTTACTTTCTGTTTTGTAAATTCATCTAATCAAGAGCAAAACTATATAAATAACATACACAAAGACCTTAAGCGGCTACAAGATATTGTGTATCTCGCACAAGGTGACCCCCGTATCCTTCTCATTACGATGACTAATAGCCCCTATTAAATAATTCAGACACACAGATGTGCCAGCCTCGTGTCTATAAAGAATTCCTGTTTTTGTAAAGATATTCAGGATTAAACGTATGAAACATTTAGACTATATATTGATTTCGGTTGCGGCCATACCATGCAGGAAGCACTGTTTCCCGTCCGATCAACGTTAGTTAAGCTGCATAGGGCCACACTGAGTAGTGTAGTGGGAGACCATATGCGAAATTGTGGTGCTGCAATCTTTTTTTGCCGGTAATAGCTTTTTGCGTACTTTTAAAATTCTTACAGTGCTCTATGATTTGATGATGCAAAAAATTGTAGAGCTTTTATTCTGTTTAAGAGAACTGCCATGTAAATGGAGGCCGTTGGTATGGGTATTTATATTTTGTCAGACATACCATATTATGATATATATTTTACGATACCCGCACCGCGGGTTGGCTTTTTATTTGTCCATGTTTCTTAGAAGGATCAAATATACCTTAATTAGAATTGGCATGATAGTTACTGTTGGTTAAGTAATCTTATGATTTTTATCAAGCTGAAAGTAAGCTTTTTCCCTTTTTTCTTCTAATTTTAATTATAATCTATGCCTCAATCCGAAATATTGTTAATTAAATCAAATCAACTATGATAAAGTGATATGGTAGGTTTAGCCTTAATGTAGCAGTCTTCTGAATAGATATAATTTGCTTTGAGAATACATGAATACATAAATACAAAATAATATTCTTAAAAGATAATTTTGTGTAGGTTCATCTGATTAAAGGAGCAAAACTATATAAATATATATAAAAAACCTTTAAACAGCTCCAAGCTACGTACCAAGTGTCGGAACTCGGCCCGCCCTCTTCCGTTAGTCACGGCCTGGACGGTCCTCATGGACCTTATATGTTTACGTATTGAATATTACGTCATCGAATCCTAAGATAGGTCTCCTGTAGTAGTCGCTTCAACTCAGATGGTTGTAGCGGACTTAAGGAGCCCACTTCCTGCGACTCGCCAAGCCTTCTGGTGTAGACCTTGAAAATAGTGGCGACAAACCAATTTAATTTTGTTAAGTTCTCCAAATAGTTGCCGGTTGGGGCCCACATTGAGTTCAAGCTCATGGGCTTGGAAAACTTTAGCTCTTGCACCACTATTTGGATGCTTCGCAGTTGCTGTAGATTTGGCCTAGGAAAGCGTCTGTGGCGTCTCCGTTGTTGTGAATTTGGTTTGTGCAAAGATGACATTAGGAATCCGATGTGTCGCGTGATAGTTGAAATTTATGAAAAGAAGTCTCAAATAGTATAGTTAGTCATATCAATAAACAGCCATTGTTGGAGAAAAAATATTATCCTTTATAGATTTTTGATTTACTATTAGTAATGCCGCTGTGAGAATTAGAAAAAAACACCCGACAGTACATCCCCCTAGCCATTGGCCAGGATAGGACGTGCTGTCCACCATGTTATATGATGATACGACGGGAATGAGGTGTACCCACTCTTTAAATAGGGAAAAAGATGTTGTATTCTTGAAAATATGAATTTAGAGAAAATTTCATCTGCTAGATTTTTTATTGCTAACGGTGGAACCTTACAAAACTCAAAAGTTTAAAATCAATCCCAGAATATAGGACAATACCGTGGATTATATATTTTTCATCTTTTTCTTTAGATTTGTTTTAGCTTACGTTAAGCTTGATATTTTAGGTCTAAACCCCCGTGATATATCATAAAGGGTTGAATCATATATAGCCTCCAGTACTAATCCTGTAACTTTTTGAACTAGTTTATCTATTGGCCCAAGATTTAGTGGGCTTTCTCCTCCATTAGCTTTATGCATTTTAATACGTTTAGCTGGTGCATGCTAAAATGTGCCAGATCTTAATTCCTCAATTAAATTCTTCATGTGACATACCATCTAAAGTAGTTGGATTAAACCTGGTGTCATCATACCTGGTTTATTTCTTGAATTACCATAGGCTATCAAATATAACTCTTTTCTTAAAATAAAGTTGTTATATAATTTCCGATAATTCTTTTTGGATTAGATTCACTAATTCATATAAACCATTGAGTCTTTCAAGTACCTTGAGATTCTTTCCTGAACCAGTACTATAAGATCTAATGCTATTCATAGCTAATACACTTTTCTGTATACTTTTCTAATATGTATTCCTTGATTTATTGAAGTCATTATATTCCATTCCTGGAACAGAGTTATTCGTACTTTTTCCCACTAAGACATTGGTATCCTTAGTGGATAAGGTAGTCTCTCTAGTGTTGAAGATAATCATCTCATTTGGTTCTTCACTCATTTTCCTCATCTTAATATCATTAATACATCTCATTTCATTGTTCTGACCGGTCGTGCATTCCCATCCCATTAGAAAAATTAGCTCCATTGCAATCAAACCATGAGTCTCTAGCTTGTGACAATTGGAAATTGAACTTTCAGCAGTATATGTTTAACCATGGATTAGAGATTTCATCTGATGATTACAGCATATACAGCACCTTTTCCCGGCATGCTATGTTCAGCTTCTGATTTCTCATAATAACAAGGCTGGGTGTTTTATTGAATATACAAAATAATATCTGGCCTCAAACAGAATAGCACAGGAGCCCTTATGGCGCACATGCATAGCTACAGATATTTCACAAGCCACTTGTATCACTAAAAGTGAACGTAATAAGTGTAGTCAGCTTATACAATCAATATTGTATATTATACGATATTTGCTGCCACCCTAACCGTACGTGATAGTTTCCCATCATGCGGCTTTCCCTAAGGGAGGTATGTACTACCTTATATATTTCATCCTTTTTGATGTGAAACACATTTGACAATACGGCTCCCTAAGAATATGGTACGTAGTACCTTAGTTAAAGTATATACATTTCATCCTATTTAATGTGAAACACATTTATCATTGTTAAAGAGTATAGTTAAAATTATAAATAGACATATAAACATATGACTGGAGGCCATATCTTTGGGAAATATACTGCTTATAATCCATTGACATCTGAGAACATTATGAAAAGATCTTTGACATCATTTCTTTGAGATAATTATCCCCACCATATATAGGTGGTCTAAATCAATTTTTGTTCATGAATTCTACAAAATCACTGGCATAATTCCCCAGCATGCAGTCGTTGATGATGGTCTGAACATAGTGGGCTTTGAGCAGCTCCTGTTCACATTGCATACGACGAGACCTGTGCTCATTTTAAATCCAAGACCAGCTACTTAATAATGCACGTTTAGATTTTATTTTGAGCCACAAAAAACATGTTTCATAAATGCAGAATGAGTAAGCTTTTTGGATCAAGTAATACAATAATGCAGTAAATCAATAGATTGATCTGATCATGACTAAGATCACGTTTGACCAAGAGTATTGGGTAAATAAGACCACATCCAGGTTCGGGAACGGTTCTTTTTTGCCGAATCTTATCTACATTTAACTGAGGACGCTTCATATTTAGAGGCCAAAGCACAGGCACAAGAGCTTCGAGAGATCAAACAATTCTCCTGGTCTGCTCGAATCAGTTGCAAATGAATAATATATAACAAAGCGGCACAGCGCGGCCGCTGAAGTTCCAGGGCCCCGGCACCGCGCTCCACCAGGCCCCAGACGGCGCCCCTCTACATCTCCAACCCCAACCGAAAAACACCAGCGCCACTCCCTGTGGCTGCAAAAAACCACCACTTATAGCCCTCCAGCTCAGCAGCACGCCCTCGGCGCCAAAAACCGCCGCCGGGCCCCGGCCGCCGGAATCACCGGCCCAAGCCAGGCGGTCACGTGACCCAGGCCCCGGCCCCAGGGCCCTCACTGGGCGCGCCGCGACGCGTGCTCTGGTCCATACTCCTCCAAACGGCCCCGCCAGCTTCTTCTCCACGGCACTTGCACACCACCCACCACCAGATATCGTCGTTTTTGTGCCCCCCTTCGAATCTCGCCCCGCCAATGAACCCCCCGCCCAATTCTGCGCGGCCACGGCCGCAGGGCGCGCCCGCCACGCCGGGCACCAGCGGCAGCCGCGTGCCGCCACAAACGCTCCACCAGGCGGCGGCCAAAACACCCCCCCTACCGGCGGCAGGCACGCCGTACACAGCCGAGGAGGCGCGGCGGATCCAGACGCAGCTCAACCGCGTGTTGGGCCCCGAGTACGTGAGCTGCCGGCCCGGCGGCGGCGGACAGAACGTGTCGTACATCGAGGGCTGGAAGGCGCTCAACTTGGCCAACGAGATCTTCGGTTTCAACGGCTGGAGCTCGCAGTTGGTCAGCGTGCAGGTGGACTACTTGGACTCGCACGGCGGCGGGCGCGTGTCGCTCGGGCTCTCGGTGGTGGTGCGCATCACCATCCGCGACGGCACGTTCCACGAAGACTTTGGCTACGGCAACATCGACAACGCCAAGAACAAGGCCATGGCCTTCGAGAAGTGCAAGAAGGAGGCGTTCACGGACGCGTTGAAGCGGTGCCTCCGCTGCTTCGGCAACGTGTTGGGCAACTGTCTCTACGACAAGGGCATCGTGGCCAAGATGCAGAAGGTCCGGCTCCCGCCGCTCGAGTTGGCCTGGGACGACTTCCACCGCGACCCGCTCGTGGTCAAGCGCGAGGCCGCGCGGGCGGCCCGCGCCGCCGGCCCGACCGGCGCGCCGGAGACGGGCCCGCCACAGCCTACATTATCCTCGGGCGGCCCGGCCCTTCCTGCGCCGAGCCCGGCCCCCGCCCCCGCGGCCAAGCCGGCGCCTGCCAGCGGCACCGCGGACCGCCCCGCTGCCCCGGCCTTGCCGCCGGCATTGGCGCACGAGTACGCCCTAGACGACTTCGACGATCTGTTCATGTTCAGCGACGAGATCGGCCCTGCCGACGGCGAGACCACGGGCACTACCATGGACGCCGAGGCGGCGCCCGCCACGCCCGAGCCCGGCGCGAGCGCGCCGGGCCTGGTGTTTTTCACCAGCTCGAAAAAGGCCTTGGACGTGCAGAAGGCGTCCTGCCAGGCCGACATCCCCGTGTACGACCACAAGTTCATTGCGCGCAGCGTCAAGCGCACGGTGGACCCGTCGCGGTCCACGAAGATCCGCCGGGCCGACCTTCCGCCCGCGCACTCGCCCAGCCAGCCCAGCGCCAGCCCGGCCCCGTCCCCCATGGCCGTGCCAGCCGCAGCGCCAGGCAAGCGCCCGCTAGGCATGCCCCCGTCCCAGCGGCCGTCCTCCAAGAGGCTCCACAGGGCCGTGGCGGAGCCCGGCGAGCAGGAAAACGACATGCGCGTGTCGTAGGCTGGGCGGGCGCCTGGCGCCTTGGGGAAGCCGATCTTGGGCTCCCGGCAGGGGCTGGGTGACACGGTTATAGAATCTGGATAGTACGGATATGGTGGCAGAAGCTGGATAGTTATGCTGGCAGAATCTGGATAGTACGGATATGGTGGCAGAAGCTGGATAGCACGGATACCGATATGTTGGCAGAATCCGGGTGACATGGGTATGCTGGCAGAAGCTGGATAGTACGGATATGAGGGTAGAGGCTGAAATCACGGATACAGAATCTGGATAACTCGGATAGATGGCACAATCTGGATGACACGGATAGGATGGAAAAATCTGGATAACACGGATAGGTGGCACAATTTGGATGACACGGATAGATGGCACAATCTAGATAACACGCATCTGCTGGCAGAATCTGAATAGCATGGATGTGCTAGCACAATCGACATAACACGGATATGTCCTCGGAAGCCGTCACCGCCTTCATGGGGTTACCAGGGGTGGATTGTATTGGGAACATCACGCGTCCCAGAGGACCTGGGCAGCTCGGCGAGACTGCATTCTTTTTATTACACCCACCAGAAACGTTCCGTGAGTGTTGGAAACTCTTTCAATAGGAGATTCATGTTCAGAGCTATGACATCGCGACATCGATTGCGGGCTGCAATCTTAGCTTATGGGTGTTGGATGAAGAACAGACTGTATTCGAATATGCTGCGCCAAAGCGAATTAAGAGTCTCTATCATGCTAGCCTGAGAGATATCTCGTTGACGTGGAAGGCGAAAATTGTCCGTGTTCTGCATGGGTTCACGGCCTCACCATTATGTGAATAAATACAACTACATGAAAAATTATACATCACACGGAACTAAGACTTTGGCAGAGACAATCATCAAAGAAGATTGCCGAAAATGCCAAAGTCAAAGCCACTTGAGAGCCGGACACTAACTAAACTGAGTGCTAAGATGTAAAAAGACGCATAGCCGGACTACGTACGTTTTGTACCATGTCGTTCATGTCGAAATCTATTGATTAACTGCAGTGACGCGAGATTCGGGTCTCGGCAAGTATGTTTCTCATACCTGAGACGTATGTTGCCCGGTGATCAGCAAAAGGGCCATACATCAAATATACTTGTTTTGGTTGCACAACATTTTTATAAGATTAGGGTCAGATAGTCTGTCCCCTTGATCTTTCACACTGACGGCACTCAACCGGGCGTTTGGGTTTGACATTCAATCTCACCAAATCACGTAGCTAGACTTGCTTCCGGGCTTTATATGTTCAGTTTAAGGATGAAATTTTCGTCCTCCATCTCCCAACTTTCAAGTCATTGTGCTTTGAGGCAATACGAGGTATCAGCGAGCCTGGTCTCACGAGACTAAGCATTCTCATATCCTTGGCTTGTTGAGAAATATTCCTGGTTGTAAGGTATGACTATTTGTAAGGTATGACTAGTTAAAGACAGCTTTTCGCTGATTCAAGCATTGTGAAGTCAAAATTCACTTCTTGATATTTCAATCAGATGAGGCAAGATTAGGTGATGCTCTTTTGTGTAATCAATCAGAGATGGTTTGAGGCTTCTTCTTGTATTTGCTATTTGAGAATAAAAAAGTTTTTTTACGAATGTTAGGGAGCTGGGATCCTTCTGGCTGCGTGATATTTGCTTCCTTCGAAGTAGCATTTGTATATGTATGTCGTGAATAAGACACGAAGCAAGAACATGCCCTGTTTAAAATGCTACCATTTTTAGAATTATTAAGAATTTACTACATTCACTTGCCTACCTACTCGTGATATTTGTTGACCAAAGTGGTACAACAAGACTCGTTCAGGTGAGCATTCTTGAAAATGGTCAATATTCAGCACCTATTGATCCAATGGACCTTTTATGAAAACTGTAGGGGAAAATATTTTGGGTGTAAAACTATTACATGCTTTTGGATGTTACTACTGACGTTGTTTCAGAACTACGAGAGCCATTTTGTTGACCTAATAACTTAGTGTTTTTAAACCTTGCCTCTTGCAAGTTTGGGCCCGGGACTCTTGATGCTTGCTGGCCCGGGGTTGCAACTCATGTGAAAGCCAAAAATAAATACTGTATTGCCAGACTAAAAAATGTGAACCACGATCAATGAGACATGTATCTCTGGAATCGGTTTGGACATAGGCCCTCAGGTGTTTCTGAATAGATTCAATGGCTCAAGCTCTGCGGTATCATAAATACTGTCGGCATTGGCTATACAGCGATGCCTATTATATGAGAGGTGGATTTAGAATTGTATTTATGCGAACTAGGCATTCACAACAATCTTCTCGAAGTGCAATCTCAACCCATTACAGGCAGAAGACACTAATCACTTCATGGTAAGTGAGAAACAAGCAAGTTAATCTGATTGTATTCCTTCTTAGTGTCAATATGCGGCTTCGTACCCTCGTGCTTGTCTGCAAAATCATGACTTCGAGTTGTTATCAGTGGCGTGATGTACTTAAGGTTAAAGTAGACAACATCCAGCACCAACACAGACAAATATACCTGTAGCAGCCAGGTTTTATGCTTTTGCTTTATTCTAAGAGTCCAAAAAGTATTGGGGCACTCGGACCCGCCCAACTATGCTGAGGATTCACTAGTGACGCCCCTTGTTATATGAGCTTTACAGCCTTCACGACTTCTGTCCTAAGTGGATTGGTAAATCTCAGCAGTCATACCATATTGTCAAGCAAACCGACAGGCACTAGTATAAGAGATATATATAATTAGACTTCGAACGACTTGTTCACCAGTATGGAATTTTAGTGCCTCCGGAATTGAGACATGACTGGCGAGTCTGAATCTGGATGCATTCAAATTTAACCACAAATGGCTGTTTGAAAGGGATATCCACAGTCTCGGATATATTGCCTTGGGCCGACGAAGCTTCCTGTACTTCTGCCCCGCTTACTCTGTGAGAGGAAGGAGACCAGCTTGGTCGGGGATACAAAAGTTCTCCACTTTGCAGAAACTTATTTCTCAGCACCAAAAAAGGGTCCACTAGTTCATAGCCGGATGTATGATTAGGTATAACCAGAACCGTCTGTAAAGAGGCCTCGAAACGGAAGCTTTGGGATTGTGGGAGGCCTTCATGTGGATGAAACAAGGCGCTCTCATTATGAATCACGTTCCTGAGAAGTAAGATTCCGATATAAATTTAAAAGCACGGTTGTTGTGCTGGTTTGTCGAGAAAATGCCGTCGAATATGGCCCGATTCACCAACAGCGTCTGCACTGGAACCAACAACAGAATGAGGGATCGAGACTGTTTGGCATTATATCAGCACACAGATGAGTCGAACAGGGATCTTAGCATTATAAACCGTCACCCAACAATAGAACCGCTCAGTGTCAAAATGTGGACACGAGGAACTGGCTAGATGGGAGGACTGGAATACACGCTGGAATACAGAATGCTCCCGGAGCTAGAGCCATGTTTTGCGAGAACAAAAGGAGAATATAGGAAAATAGGATTAACAAGACGGTAGCAGAGTAGGGAGACGTATCAGAGGGACAGGTGGGTCAGAGAAGGAAAATATATCAGAGAGACGAGTGTATCAGATCAGGGAGACGTATCAGAGGGACAGGTGGGTCAGAGTAGGAAGATATATCAGAGTGACGAGTGATACCAGAGTAGGAAAATACATCAGAGTGACAAGTGGTGTCAGAGTAGGAAGATATATCAGAGTGACAAGACGGCATCAGGCGTCACCAGGCAGCAATAACGAAAGGCACGAGACCCCAAACACAAAGCCAATTATAACAGTCTATCGAGCGCCGGGTTTGCTCTGGTGTGCACTGACTCTTCACAATTTAGTACCTACAGACTTTGCATTCATGCACCTACACTTTGATTCCCAAGGCTTACGTATTCAGTTCTAGCGTTCTGTCCAGTACTCGGGCTGCCGAGACCGGGCCCTGGTAAATTTAAAAAGTCACACCGCCCGCTGCTGCTTCATGGAAACCAAAGCACTGTACCCAATAACGAAAGCTACGGGGAATGTGACTTGCTGGCCACTCGCAGGTATATTACTTAGCTAATTAGTGTGCTCCATCAGAGGCCTCCAGATATCCATGGAGGCACAGCCCAGGGCCACACAATTGCCGACGTAACCCGAAGCTCTGGTTGAAATGGCCAACACCCAATATACCTACACAAACGCCGTTTTTTATTACGCCTGGCTCCGGTTTTTCATCGACCTGAATAATTGGCGCGGCCCGAACCAACCCATCCAGCCAACCCGAACAAAAACCAAAACCAAAACAAAACAAAACAAAACGGAGCAAGAACACCAACCCGAAAACAAAAAAACCCAAAAAAAAACCCAAAAAAAAACTAAAAAACAAACCCGAAACAAAAGCAGAAAAGGAAACAGAACCCGACCCAAATACCCCGGCCCGCGTCACGTGACCGCGGCGCGCCGCCCGAAAACCACCCCAAACCCGCCTTAGCTCCCCCAAACCACTTCTTCTTCCACGCCAAACCGCCCCCACCGGCGCCCAAAGCACACCATACGCCCGGCCCCCGCAGCGCCACGCCCAAAACGCCCAAAAACCCATACCTCCGCGCCATGCCGCGCGGCTTGTCGTCAATCACGCCGCTCCTCGCGCGGGCCGGCCCCTTCAACGAAGTGCCCCTGGAATACCGCTTCGACACGGCACAAAAAGCGTTGCGCACCGCGCGCGTGCTCGTGATCGGCGCCGGCGGGCTCGGCTGCGAGATCCTCAAGAACTTGGCGCTCTGCGGGCTCATGCACATCGACGTCGTGGACATGGACACGGTCGACTTGAGCAACCTCAACCGGCAGTTTCTCTTCCGCAAACACGACGTCGGGCGCCCCAAGGCGCAGGTGGCCGCGGAGCGCGTGCGGCGGCGCGGCGGCGCGCACGTGACGCCGCATTGCTGCCGCATCCAGGACCTAGCGCCGGACTTCTACCGCCAGTTCGACGTGGTGGTGTGCGGGCTCGACGACGTGGAGGCCCGGCGCTGGATCAACGCGCTCTTGGCGGGCTTTGTGGCCGCAGACCTCCGCGGGCTCGTGCCCTTGGTGGACGGCGGCAGCGAGGGCTTCCGCGGCCAGGCGCGCGTGATCTTGCCCACGCTCACGTCGTGCTTCGAGTGCTCGTTGGACTTGCTCTCGCCCCGAACGTCGTACCCGGTGTGCACCATTGCGCACACGCCGCGGCTCCCGGAGCACTGCGTGGAGTGGGCGTGCCAGCTCGAGTGGCCGCGCCGCTTCCCGGAGACGCCGTTCGACGCGGACGTGCCGGAACACGTGGACCGCATGCACCGCATGCTGGCGGCCCGGGCGGCGCGCTTCGGCATCGCCAACGTGACGCGCAGCCTCGCCTTGGGCGTGGCCAAGCACATCGTGCCGGCCGTCGCGTCCACCAACGCGGTGATTGCCGCCGCGTGCCTGAACGAGGTCTTCAAGCTCGTCACCAGCTGCAACCCGGTCTTGGACAACTACATGATGTACCTGGGCGACGACGCCATCTTCACGTACACGTACGCGCACTCGAAGAAGGCCACGTGCGCTGTGTGCGGCTCGGACGCGCGGCGGCTCGCGGCCAAGCGCTGGTGGACCGTGCGGGACTTGCTCGACGAGCTCCGCGAGCGCCCGGAGTTCCTGCTCCGCGCGCCGTCCGTGGCCACGGCGCGCCGCAGCATCTACATGGCGCTGCCGGCGGCCTTGCGCGCGCAGACGGCGCCCAACTTGGCGCGCCGCTTGGCGTCCTTGGTGGACGCGGGCGAGGAGATGGTGGTGACGGACCTGGCGCTCCCCATCTGCATGCGGCTCGTGGTCTCGGCGTACACGGGCGGCGACGCGGAGCCGCGCGGCCTGCTGGGCCCGTGAACGCGGCCGGGCCATGTTGGCGCGATGGCTGGATTGGCTACATTGGCTATATCGGCTGTATTGGTTCGATCGGCTGGATCGCTGGATTGGATGTACTGGCTATATGTGCTGTATTGGCTATATTGGCAGGAATGCAGGATGGTTGGATTGGATGGACTGGCTGTATTGGCTATATCGGCTGGATGGCTGGATGGCTTTACTGGCTGTATCGGCTGTATCGGCTGTATCGGCTGTATCGGCTGTATCGGCTGTATCGGCTGTATCGGCTGTATCGGCTGTATCGGCTGTATCGGCTGTATCGGCTATCTTGGCAGGATGTCACGACCTCCGATTGAAAGTACAAAAATAAGGACACAGCGTTGGTGGAAATAGGCGACGCCGCATTTGAGTTTCCGAATGTGGATAGCACTGCAGCTATCAACAAGCCAAGTCCAGCCACACATGCCGTGAGCCATTCGATGGCCGTTCGCGATACTGTTTTGCCGCTGGAAAACGAGCTCTGGAGACACGACAAAAGCTCTCCGGTCACACGATCGTCTGTACTTTCCCACGGCGTCGATGTCCGGCACGCTATATGCAATTCCTGGAACTTGCAGTACAGCTCAGAGATATACTCGATGAACTCGATCTGCATGGTTCCAAGGTAGATCGGGCAGAACTGAGTCCAAGTCACACATGTCGATGTACTTGTCAATGATGACAAATAGGCGTGTATTTGCACGTGCGCAGTGACGTTGGCAGACGTTTCGGTGACCAAGTCAAGCGAGTACTTGAACGATCTGTCGTCCGGGTTGAAAGTCACATCGAAATATGATGGTGAACTCTGCGAGCTGTTCATGCATGTGACCAACGAGGTGGCCGAAAGCGACCGCTTGGCCATGGTTGGCATGAGAAGCGCAAGCAAAAGCAAAAAAAGAGCGTTCATATTGGCTATATCGACTAGATTGGACGGACTGGCTATATTGGCTATATTGGCGATAATGGCGATAATGGCGATATTGGCAGGGTTGCAGGATTGCAGGATTGGCTAGATTGGCATGATTGATGGATTGCTCGATTGCCCATATTGCCTATGTTGCCTATCGCCTATGTTGCCTATCGCCTATATTGCCTGGTTTACTGGCTTTTGTTGGATCCGCTGGATTTGCAGGCTTTGCAGGCTTTGGTTGGTGGCCGGTCACCATTTCAAATGCCGTGGTTATGTCCCCTTGCTTGGCATCTTGCGTTGGTCCGTATCCTCCGGTGTTGAATTCCCGCGGGCTTCAACATATGCGTTGCCTCTATTCATCTTGGGGCTGCCACCCAACATGGCACGATCTGCATGGAGCTTCTGGCCGTCGTATACACAATCGAGCAGTTTCATCCGCCCCGTCTGTACTCCCCGTGGACCTGGCCCGAGGCTATCCACCAGGTGCTGGGGTACGTTCCTCGCCTTGGCGGCCGTGCCGCGCCACTTGTGGTTGACAAGCTGTCGTTCTATTCTTTGCAGTGCTCCAGTCATTTTACTAGAGACTCGTCCGACCGTTCCAGCATTAAAGGAAACCGGTCTCCAGTCTACCTCTAGACATGCGAATTCCAGCGTCTTGCAGGAGATGCGAGTGGCTGAGACCTGGAGTGAGACAAACAAGTGAAGCCTCACGTTGCAAACATTTCCGTCACAAGTACGTTTGTAGGCTCAATGTACTGTTCCGTTGTCGAGTCGATGATGCTTCTGGTTTGAAAAGTGATTGTCTGTTGAAACAGCCTGGCTGTCGAAAAGATTTGTTTGAACTCGAAAAAGATGTTTCTTGGGAGAAAGAACAGCTTCCAGTTTGAGAGTCTCGTTCAGCATTGAAAAACTTGCTGTGTTGCTTCGACTTTTGGGAGACCGCTCTCGTTCAAAGCACTCGCTGCGTCGAAAACATTGTTTCTTATTTCGAAAAGATCTTCTGCTCTCGAAAACGTTCATGGTTCCAAAAGACCTGCTTCTACGTCTGACGGAGATATCTTGCAAAGAGATGCTTCTTACTTTTAGATGCTTCCACTACTAAGGGATTGCGTTTCCGAAGAGATGCTCCCGGCCTTGGAGACTTGCCTCTGTGAGCGTTGCTCCTGTTCTTGAACCGGCGCCGAAAGTTGCCAGTGATTTCGAAAACTTGCTTGCCCCAAAGACTCCAGTTGTAAGCCCCTCGCTGCTCTCCACCAGGACGGATACACAGACAATCGCCACAGCGCACGCGCCACTCCAACCATCACAATTTGCATTTTCAGGTCGTTCCAGCCCACGTTTCTTTCTTGACCTGGCCAGCGCCCTTCCTTGACTTGATCCTTCACCTGGCCCAGCCCCAGCCTGGAGCGTGCCACGTGGCGGCTCAAAAGTTCCGCATCTGGCGGAGCACCAACTCGTTGAACTCCGCAGGGTTGTCGAGGTACACGTGGTGCCCCGCATTGTCAATCTCGCAGGTGGTGCTCTTCACCGCGCTGCCGGCACGGCGGTTGATCAAGGCCGAGCAGAGCTCGCCGCCGGCCTTGTCCATCCAGTCGTCCTTGCCATAGCACCAGAGAACGTCGCACGCGAGCTTCTCGATGCCCCGCGACACGAGCGGATGCCGCGCGTCGGCGCCGGGGGCCAAGAGGAAGTTGAGCATGTACTCGCCGGAACCGGGGCTCTGGAAGATGCCGTACGCGTACCGGTGGAGCAACCGCGCCTCGGCCGGGGGGAGCCGCGCAAACCGCCGCGACGACCACATGCTCACGAGCTTGGACCCCAAGGGCCCGGCGTTCCTGACCAACGAGAACGGCGAGATGTTGCGCTCCCAGAGCCGCGCAAAGTACGGCGGCACCACGACCGCGCGCCGGTGCTTGATCACCGCGCCCGGCGACACCATCACGAGCTTGGCGCAGAAGTCGCGCTGCTTCTGGATCCCGTACGTGGCCATGAGATACGCGCCCATGGAGTGCGCCACGACCATGTTCTGCTGCGGGCGCTCGGCCAAGCCGCGTGCGCGGAGCCACTCCCCGAACGAGTCATGGAAGAACCGCTCGACCGCCGCCAACGACTGCGCCGTGAACGCGGGCCGCGACGAGCACCCGTAGCCTAGCAAGTCGACCGCGTGCACCACCCAGTCGTCGAGCGCCAGAAGCGCCTCGAAATTCTTGAGATAGAAGCCGAGCCCGGCGCCGTACCCGTGCACCATGATGAGGTGCTTCACGCTGCGGCACGCCCTGCTGCCGGGCGCCACGTGCTGCCCGGCCCGGCTCGCCGGGTAGATGACAAACTCGTTGATGCGCTCGCCCGACAGGAGCCTGGTCTGCACGACTTCGCCGCGCCGGCCCCGGCCGTCGGGCCCGGGGAAGAACGGGAGCGCCAGCAACAAGTCGTGCTGCAACCGGAGCGGGTTGTCCCGCATGGCATAGTCCTCCACCAGCTGTCTGAGCGAAAGCGGAAACTGCGACGAGAAGAGCTTGTGGAGCGGCACGGCCGTCGGGTGGCCCGGCCGCTTGTACTTGTGCCGTGACAGTGGCTGCCGCGCAGTGCCGTGGTTCTCGATTCGGAACCCGGCCTGGCCGCTGGACGCCAGCCTAAGGAAGTTGGTGCTGGGCCTCGGCCAGCCTGAAAAAAAACGTACCTGGACCGCGGAGCTCATGGCTTGCTGAGTGCCATGCGCGCGTGTCTGCTGTCGTGGCGAAAAACTGCTCCTCGAAAGACGGCTGTCTGGTCTTGCGTTCAGTAGCAACCGACGGGGCAGACGTGGCAGACGTGGGGGGTGGGTTTTGGGGCAGAGCATGGCAGAAACGGCAGTGGCTCCAATGTCGAGCCTGCACACACGCCGCGCCGCGGAGCAGAGGATGCAAACTGGTGAGCATGGAGCTGGTGCTGCGTGGCCACGGATGGAAAGACGCCGGGTGTCCGGCGTTGATTCGGCGGGGTTTCAGAAGGCCAACGGACGGTTTTGCCAGGCTGTGCAGCACTGCTTCTGACGGGCTGCTGTTACTGTGGCCTTGTCTGCAGTCAGCACCAACGTCAAAATTGGGTTCTTCTTTGTATTGTAGACAGGTGATTAGATCAAGCTGCCGTTCCTGAGGAGCTGCAGCAGAAGCCTTGGAAAGAAGATGAAGATTTTCCTCCGCATTTGTTGGAAGGACGCGTGCAGACGGTAGACCAGACTACTGAGAACTTGAAGACCCGACTACTAGTAAATTGAAGAACTGACTACTAGTAAACTGAAGACCCGACTACTAAGAACTTGTTAACAACTTGAAGACCTGACTACTAAGAACTCGAAGACCTGACTTATAACAATTTGAAGACCCGACTACTAGTAAATTGAAGACCCGACTACTGAGAACTTGAAGACCCGACTACTAGTAAATTGAAGAACTGACTACTAGTATATTGAAGACCCGACTACTAAGAACTTGACTATCAATTCGAAGACCTGACTACTAGTAAATTGAAGAACTGACTACTAGTAAACTGAAGACCCGACTACTAAGAACTTGTTAACAACTTGAAGACCTGACTACTAAGAACTCGAAGACCTGACTACTAAGAACTTAAAGACCCGACTACTAAAAACTTGACTAACAACTCGTAGACCTGACTACTAACAACTTGAGCAGTCTGGAAACGAAGCCTATCGACACCAGTCCGACTCCCAACGGCAGGAGAAAATCGCGGCTCCATCAATCTCACCCCAAAAAAGAAACATTGGCGGTTCGGTTCGTGTCCTGGCTCTTCCATTGTATCTCCAGATATCTAATTGGCCCAAAAAACCCGTACGTCGCAACCTCCGTCACTGGCCGATGCCAAACCTCGAGCAACCGCGGCAGATCGGAAAACGGCGCTGAAAAACCAGTACACATTTGGCTTCGTAAAGCCGGACCGCCACCAGTCGACAGCGTGCTGAAACACGCGAGACCATGGGCCAATGATCGGCGTCCATCTCCACCACATGGAAACAAATCTTACAAGATTCGGGCATATACTGGGGCGGAGAGCCGTGCCACGTGACCGCGCACGCTGTATCTGCAGACGCTGCATGGTGCATTTCTTGGCGCAGCGGCGGCACAAAAGCTTGTTGGAGACTCCCACAGCAGTACAAGAGAGGATGACTTTTCATCTGTGAATGGTGGCTAGCATGCGACTCGGGCGCATCTAAAAAAACACCCTTCACATGCGCAAAGCAAAACCTGGTCCACCTCGAATCCGGCTTGCTATCACCAACACACTCTGATTGATCTTTCGCTCCTGACTCCGGCCCTCCCTGCACGACCTGCGCATCTCACTGAAAAAAATCAGACGGCTGCATGGATGGCCTGCATCTGCCGACTATCAAAAAAATCGCCCCAGAGATCAGCGGAGCGAGAAAACTGGCGATATACGAAGCTAACTCACCGGCACGGCGAAAAAAAAAAACACGCCTCTTTTCACACCACTCATTTTTTTTGGTCCGAGCCCCTCATTGGCAACTGTTGCGAAAGCCCCTCGAAAAACCTTCTGTCAGGTCATCGGAGTGAGCGTTATGAACGATTTGAGTGATTTTTAAACGATCCACGGGAAGTGCGAGACCAAGGGCAGGGCTCGTGGTCTGCAGATGATGCTTTTGATTACTGGCGAGGCTCGACGCATCCTTGCCATCGACGTGCACACAGTCCTCACGGGAAGCGCCCATTGGCCCCTTGAAGGCTCCGACCTGCAGACACATGATTGTCAATGCAGAGCCTGCATGCGTGGGGCTACCATTGGCTGCGCGTGCCGAAGCTCGGGCCCCGAAGCCAGAAAATTATTTCGCCTTGCCCCGGCATGCTGTGCCAGTATTTAAGTCGGGCAGGCCCGTGAGCTATTTAGATTTCCCTTTTCTCTTTTTTTTCTCAGCCTGTTCTTCGCATTTCCAAAGGGGGGAATCCATTAGTCTATCTACAGAACTAGTTGCAGGACTTCGGAGCATGAGAGCATTTTCCGTCCTCCTCTTCTCTTTGCTTGCAAGCTTTGCTGCTGCTGCTAATGAAACCGTCCACACCTGGTACTTCGAAACAACGTGGGTGGACGCCAACCCAGATGGATGCTTTGAGCGTCCAGTGATTGGCTTCAACAATTCTTGGCCCTTGCCTATCTTGCGCGTCAATAAGGGCGACAGGGTCAATCTCTACTTGACCAACGGCTTCACGGACAGAAACACCACGTTGCATTTCCATGGAATGTTCCAGAACGGAACCTCGCAAATGGACGGTCCCGAGATGGTGACGCAGTGCCCCATTGCGCCCGGGGACACCATGTTGTACAACTTCACGGTGGCCGACCAGGTCGGTACTTTCTGGTACCACTCGCATACCACCGGCCAATACGGAGACGGCATGAGAGGTGTGTTTGTGATTGACGAGACCGACGACTATCCCTTTGATTTCGACGAGGAGGTCGTGCTTTCGGTTGGAGAGTGGTACCACGATGATGCAGACACGTTGATTCCGGAATTCTTGAACTTGTACAACCCGACCGGAGCCGAGCCCATTCCCAAGAATCTCTTGTTCAACGACACCAGAAACAACTCGTGGGTGGTGGAGCCCGACACCACGTACTTGATGAGAATCGTCAATGTTGGAGGCTTCGTGTCGCAGTACTTGTACATGGAAGACCACGAGTTCACCGTTGTTGCCGTGGACGGAATTTACGTGCAACCAAATACCACGGAAATGATCTACATCACGGCCGCGCAGCGGTACGATGTGTTGATCACGACCAAGAACGACACCAGCAAGAACTACGCGTTCATGAGCAAGTTTGACGAAACCATGTTGGACTTGATTCCCGACGACTTGCTTTTGAACTCCACCAACTACATCATATACGACGAGAGCTTGGACAAGCCCGACCAGTACTACGTGGATTCCATCGACGACTACTTGGACGACTTCTACTTGGTTCCAGAGAGCGGCGAGGAGTTGTTGGACGACTCGGACCACTTGGTCACGCTCGACGTGATGATGAACAACTTGATGGACGGTGTCAACTATGCGTTTTTCAACAACATCACCTACACGGTGCCCAAAGTGCCCATTCTCGCCACCGCCATCAGCGCCGGCGAGTTTGCCACCAACTCGTACATCTACGGTAACGTGCATCCGATCGTGTTGGCCAAGGACGAAATCGTCGACATTGTGATCAACAACGAGGACACCGGAAAACACCCCTTCCACTTGCACGGACACGTGTTCCAGCTCATTGCCAGAGGCGAAGGTGTGGACGATGACCAGGACCCTGTGGCCTACGACCCAGACAACCATGACCCTTTCCCCGAGTACCCCATGATTAGAGACACGGTTTACGTGAACCCCCAGTCGTACATTGTGTTGAGATTCAAGGCCGACAACCCCGGTGTGTGGTTCTTCCACTGTCACATCGAATGGCACTTGGACCAGGGCTTGGCCGTGGCTTTCATTGAGGCCCCCACCGAGCTCCAGGAGAAGGAGGAGTTCACGGAGAACTGGAAGGCTGTCTGTGACAACAGCAACGTGCCTTACGACGGAAACGCTGCCGCCAACTCCGTGGACTTCATGGACTTGACGGGAGCCAACGTGCAGGCCGCCGACTTGCCTGCCGGCTTCACGGCCAGAGGCATTGTTGCCTTGGTGTTTTCGTGTGTCGCTGGTTTCCTCGGTATGGCAGCCATTGCGTTCTACGGTATGTCCGAGAGCAACCTTGATCTTGACGAGCAGGTGATTCGTGACTTGGACGTCAAGCTCCCTGAAGAAGACGAGATTGAGCTTGAGGTCGAGGCCGAGTCTTATGAGAACGCTCATAAGGTCGGCAGCAGCAGTTCTTAGATGACTGGCAGAACGTGACCATTGGAAGGGCTTGGCCAAGGCAAGACAATTAAACCCGGGGCCTATTTTTATTAAGTGTGTGTGTTTGCTGAACGCGCCCCGCCTGTCTTTGCCGTATGCTATGAGTAGCTGGGTCTTCCTTTGGGCACGTTCGTCTTTCATTGTGTTTTCTCCTGATTGTATTTTGAGAAGAACGGCTCGACCACCATTTTTTTACTTTACCCCGCCCCCACCCCCTTTATATAGTCAATTTTTCAACCCTTGAGTCCTGTTGTAGATGCTCGGCTGAGTGCTTCTTTAGGTGCGTCTGGTGATGGTCGACGTGGCCAGAAGTTCTGGTGTCTTTTGGCCGCTGGGAACTTGAGTATATGAAACTGCGTAGTCATGTTTGCAAAAAAATGAGAACTTAATAAAGAAAGCTCTCATGACCATCCATCAGGATTTCTTGATTGTTTTCCTCATTGACGCAGTCGACTAATATATCGTCGGCGAGCTCTAAGAGTCTTCCCAAGAAAGCATGATTCTACGTTTCAGCTATTTTGAATGAAAGACCTTATAAATACTATAATGTGAATGCTCCCGGCAGCCCACAAAGTTGCATCACTTAAACTGCCCAGGATCTTCACAATACTGTGGAAAAGACTACTCTGGACAACCTTCTCTCATGAGAATGAAAACAACTCGTATCGATGATCACTTCAAAAAGCTCCGAGTCCACTTTCAAACTTGATTTATTTTGGAGCGCTCCTGGATTCCTATGTCGTATTTTGCACATCAAGTTAAACGCAGAGGCTCAGGGTTGTGGTCTGGTTGGACCTACTGCCAAGCAAGTATCGGCTCATAACACCCATGACAGATTTCAATCGGACAACCTGCACTCGGATCATACGAACTAAAAAGGCTTGGGACAAATTCCCATCAGACATTGAATCTAATCAACAGTAGCGTATTCTGATGTTAAGTATGTGTGTATGGCTTGCTACACTAAGCACTGGGCTGGTGTATTCTTCATGTCTAAAGTGATAGGGGGTTGGTGGACATTTGGCAAACTCGAAGCCAAATTATCACTCATGACGAAAGTTTGAGTTATGCATTGTATACGAGTACATTCCAGACATCAAACAAAGCGGAAATCACACGCACTTAGAGCTCGTTCCAATCTCGCTTACAACTCGAATCAGATACAACACGTCACATCACGTCCATCAAACTGATGTTTCAACTTTTTCTCGGAAATCCCGGGGATGGCATCTGTTTCGACACACCAATAAAAAAAGCGGTATCTATGAATCTGTGCGGTCCTTAGATTCCCAACCAGTCGGAGGCAAATGGGATCATTCCACAAAATCAGCCGTTATTAGCGAAATTTAATCACCGTGTGATTGTTTCAAGAACAGAAAACCCAAAATCTTGAGCTCGGTATGAACAATAGTTGGCACGCCCAAACAACATGTAATTAGACAGCGCCAAGATCTCGCGAGAGAGACACCTGACATTCGCCCAGCAAATTGTCAAATCACCAGAGCTGGTAAACCATGATAATAGCCTAAAATATTATTTAATGCCATGAACTAGCCTTTTCAATGGAAAACCCATTATTGGCCAAGGCCATGTATTAGATTGGCCCGTGTCTCTACAGGCCACGCAAATCACGCTGACAACACATCTGGCGAATTTCCTCTCGACTGCGGCGCTGAGCATATTTTCGGGCTTAGGTCAAGTATATTACCAATATATATATAAAAAAAGCTATTTCACGACCAAATCAATCTGAAAGCTCGGGTTCCATGTTGGGGCCTCACATGGAGTGCTCTGCATATTGGGACGTGTCTGGCATATAGTCTCTCCTCATCTCATCAAATCTCTTCACCTAGGTCTAGAGAACCCCACGAACTCGGCTCCAAACAACCATACACGTGTTTTGGTATAATATTATATATTACTTTACATCTGTGTCGGCCACATATATCGCACAGCTCCAAACCCTCCCACATAACAGCAGCAGCAGCCCGCACTCAGCATGGTCAGGCAGCTCAAACACCACGAGCAGAAATTGCTCAAAAAAGTCGACTTCCTCAACTGGAAACAGGACCAGGGCCACCGGGACACCCAGGTGATGTCCACGTACCACATTCAAAACAGAGAGGACTACCATAAATACAACAAGATCTGCGGAGAAATCCGCCAACTTGCACACAAACTCTCGTTGCTACAACCCACGGACCCCTTTCGGATCAAGCACGAGCAGCTTCTCTTGGAAAAACTATACAACATGGGCATTTTGGCCACCAAGTCGAAGATCTCGGACTTGGAAAACAAGATATCTGTCAGTGCGTTCTGCAGACGGCGCATTGGCGTGGTGATGTGCCGCATGAGAATGGCTCAAAACATCAAGGACGCCAACACTTTTGTGGAGCAGGGCCACGTGCGCGTGGGGCCCAATGTGATCACTGACTCGGCGTACTTGGTGACTAGAAACTTGGAGGACTACTTGACCTGGGTGGACTCGTCCAAGATCAAGAGAAACGTGCTCAAGTACAAGAACAAGATCGACGACTACGACCTTGCCTAGGCACATGGCAGTGCCAAACCTCATCGGATATCTGCTTCCATCTATGTCTTGCACCAAGTTTTAAGCTTGGCCTTATCTTCGTCTTGGGGGCTTTCTGTGCAGTTTTATGTGGGCCTGATTTTCGTCTAGAATCGGATCTTCGGGTGTGGATAGCGAGAATAATAAGCGGCCATGCGGCTTCGGCGTGGAGACTACCGTCGAGAGCCGAATTTGGGGCCGCAATGCAGATTCTTCTGCTTGGCAGCAATACGGCGTGGGCCCACTCAGTTGGCCGTCTCTCCAGAAACTAAGTCCAATACATTTGTAGTAGTGCATCCAACCCATATAGCAAATGCCAATCCTGGCCCCACCGGCACATGTACAAGAAAGGAGCGTCCTCCAACTTCTCAGGCCCATGGCGATACGAGAAGATCGTGTAGAACACTAACGGCCCCTTTACTGCGATGCGCCCTTGCGGTCCTCGGTGTCCAAATGTTCACGCTTGTTAAATATGTACCCCGAAAGATATGTGTAGAGACGGGGCGTCAGGGGTGCTCCCAGCACTCCGCCAGCCGCACGGCCTTCGGCGCCGTGGGTTTGGCGTCCGGTTCCGCCTCGCAAATCCAATGGAAACGCGCGTCGAAACGGGACCCGGTCGAGCCAGCCGGCGCAGCGAGCTCCGGCGCACCTAGAAGTTCAGGTTCATCATCCGGCGCACCGCGCTCTTCCTGTTTTCCGCGACTAGGTCGTCCACCGTGGAAAGCTCGTCGCTGGAGTGGCTGCGGGGAGCCACCATGCCCGACGGCAAGGAGCCTGCCGGCTTGAACGTGCGCAGCGACGTGATCTCGCTGACCGGGTTCAACATCACCACGGACTTCCGCGACAACTGCGACGGCGACGGCGCGGAGCCGGGATTCTGGCCGCTGCTGGCATCGCGGAGCATAGGCGGGAGCTCACCAAAGTACGGCGACCGCGGCAGGCCGCTGGTGGCGAACGACGCCTGTGAGCCCATGTGCAGCGACGCGAGGGGGGCGTCGAAGTAGCCCTGCTGGTGGCGCATGGACGGCGACGCCACCTTCGTCGTGGGCTCGTAAAGCGTATATGTCTCGATGGTGGAGTTGCGGATGTCGGACGCGTTCGGCAACGCCTTCAAGGGCAAGTAGTCTGCCGGCGACGGCACGTGCTCCGGGTCGGGGCCGGCGCTCCGTGGCTGGTCCGCCTGCGCGCCCTGTGCATCCATGTATCCCAGGCTGGCCGCTAGGAACTGCTGGTGCGGGTGGAGCGCCTGGCCGTCGGCGGGCTCGTGCATGCCGTCCGCGTAGATCGAGGACGTGGCGGTGCGGCGGCGGTCGTAGGCCGTGTCGCCCTTGAGCTCGGCGTTGATGGGCAAGTGGTCCATGTCCAACGGCGGCAACGGCGCCAGCGAGTCGGGCTCGAACGCGGCGGGCGGCGCGTCGCGGTGCGAGGCCACGGACGCGGGCCGGTCGAAGTACACGTTGTACACGGACTTCATGCGCGCCAACTGCTCCTCCTGCTCGGCGGACATGGCCTGGGGCTCGGCGGACACGGCCGCGGGCTCGCCGTCGTCGCTGGCGTTGTGCAACATGTCGAACTGCGACATGCGCGGTGCCCTCAGCACGGCCAGCGCCGGCGTCACGTGCGGCGTCATGTCCGGCTCGGGGAGCGGCTCGGCGGCCAACACGTGCCGGTCCCCGAACGGCGACCGCAAGGGGGGCCCAGGCGCGGCCTCTCTGTCGGCCCCGAGGTCGCTGTCGGCCCCGGGTTCGCTGTCGAACTTGAGATTTCTGTCCACCTTGAGATTTCTGTCGGCCCCGGCTTCTCTGTCGGAATGTACTCCTCTGTTGCCCTCGAGTTCACCGCTGCCCCCCAGTTCTCTGCCGCCCCCAAGCTCCCCGTCGGAGTCGGCCACGCTCTCCAAGTCGGAATCTGCGTGCGCCGCGCCGTTGCGGCCCCGGCGCGAGCCCGGCAGGCTGGTGCCCTCCGTGGACTTCAGCTCGCCCTCGTACTGCACGCCAAACAGCCCGCTGGACCCGGACAGCGTCGAGCCGGCCGCGCCGCCGCCCGGCGACGCGTCATGGTACGTGTCGGGCCCGGCACCGCCGCGGTCCAGGCGCAGCACGGAGCCCGGACGCGTCGGGTGAGGGGAGCCGCGGGCCGGCGCCGGCGCCGCAAGACTCAGGTATCCCGAGCCGCGCTGGTACGTGCGCAAGTCCGCCAGGCTGCGCGCAAACTCGTGCAAGGACGTCTTGGACCCGAGCTGCGTCTGGTACGGCAACACAAACGCGTCCACGGGCGCGGCCTTCTCGGGGTCCACGGACAGCGGGCCGGAGGCTGCGGTGGAGCCTGGTTTGCTGGGCACGTGCGCGAACGGGTAGCCGCCGGACGGGCCCAACACGTCCACGGCCGCGTGGCTGCCGAACGGGTCCTCCTTGGAGAACGCCGGGAAGTCCGGCAACGCGGTGGCGTCGCCGTTCTCGTCGAAGTCCGGGTCGTGCGACATGGCCTCCTTCTTCTCCTTGCGGTAGTTCTTGAGCACGAAGAAGCCGAGCACGCAGGCAATCACAAACACGGGGATGCCCACGCCCAAGCCGATCTCGAGCGCGGTGCCGGGCGACGGCTTCTCGCAGCGCGAGTCCAACGAGTTGCTGCCGGAGCACAGGAAGGACGACGAGGCGGACGCCTGCGACGACGTGCTGGACGTGGCGCGCGCTTGGAGCGTCGGCGTCACTGCGGGCATTCTGCGTGTGTGCCTTTTTTTGCTGTATGTGCCTTTTGTGGCTGTTGGTGCCGTTATTGGCTGTTGACGCCTGATTTGGCTGTTCCCGTCTTTTTGGCTTGTGCCGTGGTGCCTACGGGTGCCTTTCTGACGTCGGCGGCTGGCGGCTAGCGAGATTTGCGAGGCGGCCTCAAAAGTGCAGCGGCTGCGTTTTGGTCGCGTAGTGGCGGCACGCAACCACAGATATAGAGATGTAAGCGAGTGTGTGGGCGGCGGCGGTGGCCCTGGTCCCAGATCGTTGGGTGTGTGGCGGAAAGTCGGGTTGGTTTCCAGAGATGCACCTCGTCTTTTTCCTCCTGGGCCTATGGTATCAGTCCGGACGTGAGAGAATAGGCGGGGCACACGGCGGCGCGTCGCTGCAGATAAGACAAGAAAACGAACGTTGTTCTTCGGCTCCCGGCGGTGAGAGGGGAAGACTGGTGTGCTTGGAGCAGATCGGTAGTACAGATTGGACAGAGCCGATCTGGATTGGGGCAGGGTGATCGCCCGCGCCTGCAGGCAGCACGCCCGGCCGCGCGCCTCAATGCGTTTTTTCGTTTATCTTCTCTTCATCTCTCGCTGCGCAGAGGCGCGTCGCGGTCCGGGGGCTTAGCGCAGGCTCGGGCCCGCGTGCTGATTCCGGCCTATGCTGGGTTTCGTTATTTGTATGTCGGTGCTCGGGGGTGTGGCCTGGCGCGTCTGGGCGGCTAGTTGCCGCCGGGCTTTTTTTTCTTTTGCAAACGCCGTGGATTCTGGCGCAGTGCTCAGGGCGAGACGCCCATGTCGCTTAGTTCGGAGCGCGGGCTGATGCAGGCTGCGCTGCAGAAATCTACTGGGGCGGGCCTCCGCCCGCCACTACGAGAAGCCTGAGAGCCCTTGAGATTCGCCGGATCCGGCAACTCGTCGCGCTAGCGTGGGCGACATGTTTTGAAGGGTCCTTTGCATAGAGGGCCAGATCGAACCACTGCTATAACACTTGTCCAGTCTACCGTAAATGTACCACTTGTCCAGTCTTTACCGTAAAGTTAACATTTGTCCTGTCCCTACTGTAAATATAACATTTGACCAGTCCCTACCGTATATATAACGCTTGCCCAGCCCTATCGTAAATGTATTACTTGTCCAGTCTCTACCGTAGATATAACGCTTGTCCATTCTCTACCGTAAATATAACATTTGACCAGTCCCTACCGTAGATATAAAGCTTGTCCATTCTCTACCATAAACGTAACACTTGTCCAGTCTACTGTAAATATAACGCTTGTCCAGCCTCTACCAAACGTAACACTTGTCCAGTCTCTACTGTAAATATAACATTTGACCAGTCCCTACTCTAAATATAACGCTTGTCCAGTCTCTACCGTAGATATAACGCTTGTCCAGTCCGCCGTAAATTTAACATTTGTCCAGTCTCTACCATAAACATAACACTTGTCCAGCCCACTGTAAATATAACACTTGTCCAGCTTCTACCCTAGACCCTGGCAACTGGGTTTGGCTGACGCCCCGTGTAAGTGGCGTGCTCAGCTCCCAAGAAAATCAAGATAGAGTTCTGGGGGAGGTATGGAACCACGTTCGGCCCGACATATCCTCAATCCTAACGATACCTCTGGCTCTGCGTGCCAAACCACCAGCCGGAGATATCAGCATCTTGTAAGTCTGGCTCCTCAGCAGCAAGCATTATGAGACGAGACGAAGTTCGCATCCATTACCCGAGACTAAGGGACGATTGTGCACGTAGCACCTGGAACCCGGGCATTGATCATGCCCCAGACCCCTCGTCGGCTCACCAATTGACAACTGTGATGACCCATTCTAGTATCTCGCCTAACTCGAACAATACCAGGCAGTCTCGAAAGACGAGACTAATATACCGGTGATGCTTGATGAAAATACAACGACCACCGGACAAATAGAAATCTAGCAGGCGGGGGAAAAGGCTTGGGTTCTTTTGTGCAAGGCTTAAGGGCGGGAAACCACCCCACGCAACAGTGGCTCTTGAATACTCCAGAAGATTAACTATGGTTTGCCGACGGGCTCTTGAAATGCACAACCTCGAATGAACAGTTTAGAGCAATTCCTTGGTTTCTCAGGCAGCTGCCCTAGCCAAGCAATTACAACGGGCTCAACCGGCTCGAGTTTGTTCTGGAAGCATCTCACTGCAATATCTCGGGGCAGGTTAAGCATCGTGAGAGACATCACCGTTTCCTTCAACAATGCGTCGGGTGTTGAGGCCTGACACTTTGCTGTAGTCGCCAGCTCCAATTAGGGTTCCCACTATTTTTTACATACATCCTTCACTGAGCTGAGCCCGATGGAGTCAGATTCTACAGGTTGCCTTAATGAGATGACTGCACTGTGGTCAGCTGGCACTTTGAGAAGGAACACCTTTATGAAACTCAGTCCATGTATTCAAGGTCAAAACCAGAAGAGAGCATCCTGCGTCTGAGCCGATATCTTCCATCTCGGTCAAGTGACCAAGAAACCAGGGCTTGCACGCACATGTTGGAATAAGAGTCCAATAGTATGTAGGCGCTAGTCTTCGCCAATGCCTATTGGGTCAGTCGTAATGTCTGGCACCCGCATCTTTTTTCACTCATATTCTTAAAATGCAATAAATAGTCTATAAAATTCTCACCAGGTTTGCATCTCGTCGTAGAAATCCACGCGTTTGCCATTCTACAAGTTCTCCACAACGGCTTTTCTTGATTGGTCCACAAAGGAGTCGTGGCCACATGCAACAAAGGCCGTGGCGCCAGCAGACTCGGCAATATCGTGCTTCACCAAAGCATTGATATCCGGCCGACCGGCTCTGAACTCAATGTGAGGCAAGTTCGCCATGATACGCTCTGCGTTCTCCATGTTGATCTCTTTTTCCGCCTCGGAACCCTTCTCGGAATTCTTGCCGTCCACCAGAGACTCGTCCTCACTCTTGAATCTCTCCAAGAAGCACTCGTCCAATGGTGTGTTGAACTGCGTCACGTAGACAATGGGCTGTACCTTGGTGCCCTTCAAGCTTCTCAATTCCTCGTAGAACCACTCGATGGATTTCCAGTGGCGGATCACCCAGTAAAGCTTCAATTTCTGGGTGCTGTTTTTCTTGGCAAGAGACACAGCACTGGCAAAGGGGCCTGGAACACCCGTGGTACCGGTGAGGTAGGAAACCGTGTCGTAATGCTGCAAAGATGCGCCGGGGCCATATGGGCCTTCCACACAAACCTTGATCATGGCTCTCTGGTCAACTTGCTTGGACAAGTACTGGTAGAGCGAGTTGGACATGCCGCCCTTGACTTTGATGTAGAAAGAAATCACATTTTCTTCAACCACAGAGTCGACAACCGTGAATGGATGAGATTGCCAGAAACAGGAAGGACGGAAAAAGTAGACAAAAGAGTAGCACAACGGGTATGGCTTCCAGTAGGAGGGTCTTGGCACCTTAACTCTCAAGGTTTCGTCGGCAATTAACTGCACGTCGGCCGTTCTGACGCCAAACCATGCCATTCTCACGATCCTGAGAAATTTGTCAAAACACCACACTGCAGAAGCGGCATACATGGTAGATTCGAATCCAGCATCAGAAACATGAATCCAAACACCAGCGACAAAAAAGACACCCAAAATGTTGTGGGCTAAAACAAACATTTCGTAGTGCTTTTTCCTGAACATCTGCAAAGAGTGGAAACACATGATTGCTGCGCAGATAAGAGCCACATATCCCCACCGCACATAAGGCTTGGCATTACGCGAGTCGAACTTACCCAACCCAAAGCTGCTGACCGTCATGGAGATTGCGTGAACAAACATCAAAATAAAGGCGATTCTACCCATCCAGTGGTGGATGATGTTGAACCGGGCATACTTCCAGCCCGAGATCCACTCAAAGAAGTTGTTTCTTCCTGCAAAAAGAACCAACTGGGGAATAATATACAATACCATAATTCCGCTTCGATCGGCAATTTTTCGGCCCATTTCAGTAGCCTCATCACTCCAAATGACGTTGTTACTCTGGTGGTGGAAGTTCGCGGTATTGAAAGCCAAGACCAACGCAAAATAAATTACAAGGTGGATCGTCTCCATTCTCGTGGGGATGATAAACTCGAAAAACTTGAAAAGCTTTCCGTGCTGCACTTTCTTCTCTTTGCCGAGGGCAGGCATTGTGATATAACTCTTGTAGGTATTGGAGATCTTTCCATTGAACGATTGCACCGTCTTGGGTGTCATGGCCGAGACTATTCTGAGAAAACCAGAGAAAAGAACCAAGGCAAACCAGTATAACATAAGCGCCCATCCGTAATAGTTAGATCTGTTGTAGTTGTATCTGCGATCCACAGTGGAAGCATATGCCCCGTAAAGCTTGTCCTCATCAAGCTCCACAGGAAGGTAAAATGTTTCGTCAATATCAAAGCCAAGATATGAGGTCACGTTAACCAAATACTGAGTTGCGTTGTCATAAGACTCGTTGAATTCTTCCAATGTCAAGTTAGAATCAGAACAGGACTCAATGAATGCGTTGACACCAATATCAGTGGGTAACCTCTTCAAGCAATGGGCCATCGAGCCCAACGCCTGCTGGATGTTGGTGTTGCAATAGTCTTCATCGTCATCAGAGTCAAAGAAGAGGGCAGTCTTGCCCAAAAGTTTTTCGCATGCATCGACTGAAAGATCAGCTTTGTGATAAATAAAGATAGCCTGGTCGGCCAGAGCGGCGGCCGCAAACGCCAAACAAGCAATCTTGCTGACGGACACCATTGTGAATATAGCGTTGAATCGAAGAGATGAAAAAGCTGCCCCACTAGCATTGCTGGGCAGAATCACCGCCCTCTTTAATATTCCATCGATCTAAGCTGATCCGTTCCACACTGCAGGAAAGATCCAATAAACCGCCCGCATTGCCGTACTGCAGTCGACGTGAAAACTTTTTGCAGGAAAGCGTGGATCGATGAGATAAGATACGGTGCGTATTTGCATGGTGTCGACGAGAACAAGCCTGACCCCAGTCGTTGAATTTGGATAACACCAGCTAATCCACGACCACAAAATATATCGCCTTTGTCTAATATCCACCAGTCTTCTGAGTTCAATTGTTTAAATTTGTCTGGCTGACATTGGCTGGATGCACAGAGTTATCTTATGCATCAGGAAACCTTATATTTCAGACCGGCATGATCGCGCCAGGAGACGGCTGTTTGATTGGTTAAAAATTTTCGTGCCGTCCAAATCCATGGAGGAATACCTTTTGAAAACTGTTCGCACGTAAGCCCGCGTTTCCTTAAACGCTTAGGCTTTCGCATAAAGCAACGTGGCCTCTTTGACGAAATTTATTAAGCATACAATGGATCTAACGCACTCGTATACATACGGGGTCTTACAGGAAGGGGAGTTGGAGCCACAGATTACACTTTGAAAGGCCGGTTCAATTTTTTTGGGAGATATACGAAGTATTCGTAACTCATTGTTTTCTCCAGAGACAGTCCTTGGGTTCATGCAGCTGATGGGAGATCGAAATTTTTTCATGCATGCCGCGCTCCTAGACTCAATGCGTTCCCTGTCCAAAGGTTCTTTTACTCCATCATTTCTATGCTCAGGAAGTGTCATCAACTACTGAAATAGCCTTTCCAAGGCACCACTGATGAAATGTAAACCAAGTATAATCGGGGGAATCGGAAAAGCATTGTGGGTGTCTTCCAGGCGTCGCAATTTATCAAAATAATCAACACGCAAGCCGTAACTATGCGCAGGTCCTTATGCAAGCAAATTCAAGTACTTTTCTTGGCGAGCTTTCGTGCAGACTTCAATTTGCAATCTGAGCGTCTTACTTGAGAACGGGAAGGCAATCCGCGAGAGCCATCCCTCCTTGGGTTGCGTACAGTATTTCATTTAAGCGCTTGGCGCATAAAGTCTGCAAAGCAAGCCAGACCATCAGCGAATAAGGCGTCCCCCTCTGGCGACAGGCCCGACAAACCTGACTTGAGACCGCCCGTTTATTTGCCAAGCAAAAGGGGCGGTCAAAGCGCTCTCGATATTTTCAAGAGGTATCGATATGTGACACTTCACGGATTCCTCAGCGAGAAGTGGACACGTCTAGCATGTCTGCCAAAGGAGCCGTTCCCCCGGGTGAATTTCTCCAAATCCAATACCCCATAGATCAAGCACTGAAACACATGATCAAATAAGCTTTTTAGGAGTGAAGGAAATGCACTGGGTGTAATTGCCTATTCTGTGCATCCCAGGGACTTGGAAATTAGTCTGCGGATGTAGAGTTCCGGGGCCGCACCAAAAGAGACAGTTCTTACTGAATGTGTATTCGAGTACTCCGAGGTGCGGCTTGCTCGTGATGCGGCTTTTTGGTTGTGATTGGCTCTTTGACTATGAAACTGTTCTGACACGGTTTTGTCGATTTTTTCGCCGTTGAATGTATTTTTGGGTATTTGCTCAATCTTCATGTCATATGCAAGGGAGCCGCTCGCTTAAATCTTGGCAAAACGTCAGATTCTTATTAGGTAGCATCACAGCTAGAGAGATGACAGTCCTCAATCACCCTAGTAATATTAAGTACGCTGAGCGTTATATCTGGCTCTAATAAGAGCAAAGTTGTGACTGAAATTTTTGTCGCTTCGTGGGGCAATTTTTGAATACTTTCATATATCGGGGATCAGTTGATTTCAATTCTACTCCTGCAAGCGAGAGAGCTTCCACATCCAATAAAGTTATTTCTTTCTCAAGCTGCCGGTGTGCCGCAAACTAGACATTCACACTCATGATCATCGGGAACGTCAAAGCACCATTTGTCCACTCAAAGTGTTGGTATCGAGTTTCCATGTCCAATCTGCCATGACTTCGATCACACAACCACAATTTACCATGATTTATTTTATTTTTTACAGCTACAATGAAGGTGATTTATTCCGGCATTCCATGACTATTTATAAGCACACATACTCGTGAAACCAAGGCACCAAGTTAAACAATACTTCGCCACCAAGAAGTCCAGCTCTTCGATGGGTGCGACAGAAACAGCGCGTCATTGTTTTGGGTATTCTCGAGGCACACGTCCAAACGAGTCACCTGGCCCATCCATCTTATTTGATTTAATTCTCATCAGGTGTCTGCATGTGACCCTTCGCTCGAACTCAAGAACCTTTAGACCTGGTGCCCATCAATAATCTGAAATAGACTCTCGCGAACAGAACTTCTTACAACTGCAAATCTCCAAACCGCGCCTCCAACTCCATTTCCTCTGCAGCCAAGAGATCCTCGAGTTCTTCTTCAAATTCAGACAAATGCCTCGTATTCTCCGAAACAGCAACAGAGGGCGCCAGCGCCCTGCACGTGATCTGTGTCCCATTATTTTTGCCGCTTGTTTCTTCACACGTTTCGATTTCCTCCTGGAGAAGCAAATCCAAGTCGATTTCAAGCAGTTCTGCTTGCTCCTGAAGCAATTTGAGACGTGCACGGACATCTTCATCATGCACAGTTTTCTCTCTACTGAGCTCTTTCCGCTCTTCACGGAGATCATCACGCATTTGCCGCATTTTCTCCCGCAATTTGTGCTTTTGGCTAGTTTGAGAGGCGTTTTTTGTAGGCGACAGCATCGGCTGATAAAGCATATCCGCACGTGTTCGTTGTCTCTGTTCGATCTGCTCGTAGCTGGTCAAATCTCGCGTTGGCGAGCTGTGCCACTGTCTCATTATGCTCATTGAATCCCTGTGATGTGCTCCGTAAGTGAAGAAAAAGAACTATCACACAAACTTCGGATTTTGTAGGTGGTTTCCGTAGACATCTGTGGTGCATGTTGCCCTGATGCGTCTTCAACCAGCTCACGTGTCACGTGCACGGCAACGCGTCTGATGAATCTGGAGTGATAATTCTAGGAATCTTCATGGCCTTCGGAATGTCGTAAAATGGGCGAGGCGAAGATAAAAAAGCAAAACCACAGTGAGAGTTGAATTACTCCAATTTATTAAGCTTTATTCTTCTCCACAAACTATCAAATTTAGAAACACGTGATGTCAACGCCAGGGTCCTAACACATAATACCGCCCAATCCGCCAGCAAAGATAGATGTTGTCCCGACTTCTTTTTTTTTCTCTCCTTTGTGGGTACTTGGCGGGAAATCAATGCGGGATCTACTTCAACGCTTCACTTGTATGTTCCAACTCTAATCGCTATGCGGCTTTGCGACATTGCACACACGAAACGCGGTTACAAGCATCTCTGATTCAATACTGTTTCAAAGATTGTTATCTAGTTTCAGCGCTCAAAAAATACTTGCAGTTTTCACGCAATGAGTGACATTGAAGAATTCAACGAATGCAATGAGGCTTTCATGAACTCAATAGGACATGCCATGTCACTTCTTGTCCCACTGGTTTTCCCCAATCTGCTAGAAATTCTAGGCAAAACAAACACGTTGCATTGTGCAGATGTAAACTCATTGGATACCTCCAAAGTTGAGCGGTTTTTGGGGATAGTCAAGAAGTGTTTGGGCAATTTCTATTCCAAGCATAAGGGTCCATATTGGGAAGCCGATAAGCTCGATGAAATGGAAGAGCCAGGTTTGGTGTATATTTGGTACGAACACGAGGGAGCCATTTCTTGTTTCCTATCTGTGATGATGGTCCTCGAGCCTTTGGGAAAGACCCTTTACTTGTATGAAATTCACGTCTTGCCCGAATTCCAGGGTCACCAACTAGGAACAAAGCTCATGACACATTTTCATGATTTTGGAGCACTCCTCAATTCGAAATCACAAGAATCATCTAGTCTACGTCGTCATTTCGCCTCGGTTGCAACGGGATTAACGGTGTTTTCAGACAATAAAAGGGCATTCAAATGGTATGTAAAATTCGGCTATAAATTCGCGGTGGACTCTCCTTTGGATAAGCCCCTTAGGAACGGTAAGATTCTTAAGCCTACTGTCTATGTCCTCTCCAGACCATTGAACGATACTGCACCAGTGAGTATCTAGGGGTCTTCACAGACGTAATTGTGTATATCTAGTCATACTCTTATCTTTTGACCGAATTATCTAGGTTGCTTGCTTTGTCTCCATGACATTGACGTAACGTCTCTTTCCTCTTCTTCCAGATGCTGGTGCTGGTCCCGCGCCCAGAGAACTCAAGTTGAGAAGGTCATCTAGTCCCGCGTTTGCCAAGTTTGGTCTTGGCGCAGCAGGCTCAGCCGCGGCCTTATTAGGCGTTTTGGTGACAGATGACCTTTGTCCACTAATGGAAGCAACAGCAGGGCCTCTCATTGATATTGGAGCAGCAATCGCCGGAGCTTCACTGAGAGGCTTGTCAACTTGTGTTTTCTTCTTCGGAGGTGGCGGGGGTGCCGCCTCCTTGAGTTGTTCTTCCAAGGGACGGCTGGTGTCGATCCATCTCTTATGCTTTTCATCATACTTGAAGGTATTGGCCTTACCCAATTTGGCTCGAATGGGCTTTGGTTTGTCATCGTTTTTCTTATTTCCGAGCCAGCCTTTGAACCATCCACTTTCCGCATTTTGTCCCCCACCTCTTCTGCTCATTTCTTCCTGTATTTTCTGCTTCGCATCAGCCATATCCTTCTTTCTGGTTTCACTTTTCATACTTTTGCTTGCAGACTCGTCTTCCTCATTCTCCTCAGGAACAGGTATGTAATCGAGAACAGTATCATCCTTCACCTCGTATTGTTGATACAATGCGGATTGTTGAGATTGTGACAACCTACTAGAGTATAGCCCTGTGTGCCCAATAACAGAATTAGCTCTGGTCGTGTACTCTGGGGACCCAGGAATTGGAAACTCGTCGAAGCCATTTTGGATGGGCAATTCGGTGCTTGGTTTCTTACTTTCCTGGTACGGATTCACAAAGCCTTGCTTGAGAGTCATTGGGGAGGGAGCCGTTCCATTTAAAAGCAAGTCTGCCCGTGGCTCATCAGCCCGATCATCTGTATCTTCTTGCGCTTCTGGATCAAAGCTGACATCGACGTTTGTTTCAACATTGGCAGGTGGAGCATACGGATTGCGCTTCTGTCTGGCGCTCACACTCCCTTGTTTGTTTGCAGTCATTGTCCTAGTAGCTCTGTTTGCATTGAACAATGGTGGGGGACGAGCCTCAGAGAGACTTTTTGAAACATGATTCTCAGATTCAAGTTCCTTTGAATCATTTTGGTGGTCTTCATCTTCTCGGTCCACAACCTCATCTGTTGTAGATTCAGCTGGGTTACTGGCTCGTTCCGGTGTGACAGGCTCCAAAGATTGTGAAAACGGCGAGCCATTGCTCGCTCCGGTGAGATTCACTGCTGCTGACTTGGGCTCAAACTTGTACCTGTTGCTAGAAGCTGTAGCGGCACCAGGTCCATACCTATTACTTCCCTTAACCTGTTTTGCTCCACCTGGCGCATATGGATTTGTTTTCTTCGGGGCTTCTTGTGCCTGTAACACAGTTGGCGGTGGGGGTACTTGGACGGGCGCTGGCATCTCAGAATTGGTTTCAAGCTCCACTGCCGCGGCGTTTTCGTCGGGATAATCATTTGGTTCCAAGACTCCTTGGCTCCCCTCAACTCCGCTTGACACACTTCCAGCCTCTACGCCTTGAATTTCAACATCCTCTTGCGCTGCATTGAACTGTTCTGCAGAAGGCGACGGGATCTCTGGTTCTTCAGAAATGCTGAGCTTCCGCTCATGGACTCTCTGCCGAGTTGGCGATCTAGATGGATCGGGAAAACTGCCTTGATGAGAAGACGTCCTTGAATGTGCAGTCTCAGACTTTGATGGACGGGCAAATTCTTGGTCTTGATCATTTCGTCTCATATTTGATACAGTCAGCCTTGCCGGTGACGTAATACCTGGGCCTGCGTTAGATACAGCCGCGTTTTGAGATACAATCGACAGTGACGATAATTGAGAGGCACGATTGGCATAAATTTGATTTCTCATATTCTGTGGGTGTTGATGACCCGCGGACAAGATATCCTGTAGCCCGTCAAGTTTCTTATGGTTGCTCAGTTCCAACAAGTTCACGCTGCTCAGTGAGCCGTTTTGGGGATGATATCTTCCCACTGGCGCAGCACTCATGTTCTGGTTCCCGCTCAGAGAGACTTGCGACTTAGCCAATAGTGGCTGCGGCATGGTGAGAGATTGCATTGAGATTCCTGAATGTAACTTCTGTGGCATTCCAGGGCGTCTTTGTCTTTGAGAGGGACTCGAAAAATCATTGGGTGACGCGTTCACAAGTTGAGAAGGAGCAATAAAACTATCGGTCCTTTGTAGCTCCTTTGAAGACAATTCTAACATTGAGCTTTTTCTCGACAACGTAGGGCTAAACTTGCTGAACACACCCTTGTCCCCGGTCTTCGCACCAGAGTCCTCTCCACCAATAAATTTATCCAACAGACCCCACACCTTGTCTAAGTTCACTTTGCTAAGTTTTCCGCCAAGCCAACCCGATTCGGTCGAAGAACAGTCCGATAATCTCATTAACAAATGTTTGAAGTCTGCAGAGGCATTTTCTGGCACAAATGGGGACTTTCCAAGGGTTCTCATCACATTTCCAATTTGGTCGCAATACTTTCTCGAGGCAGTAAAGTGACCCATGTCCGCCAAGGTTTGAGCTCGTTTGATTTTCAAAAGCAACAAATCAGGAAGCCCCGTCTGGGGAATTGATGCTGAGCTAACCGAAGACATCGAAAGAACATACTCGTAAGTTTCACTGTACACTGAAGTCAGTGTGAATGAGCCAATATTAGAAAATACCGCCCCAGTCTGTAACGGTAATCTTGACAAAATCAAGCCTGCCAACATGAGGCAGATCTCGCTAGCACACGCGAGGCCAGACCTGCTTAAAAACCTCCCAAATTCGACCAAGAAATCGGTTCTGACACCGTTAATTATAGCAGCGGATATGATTTCGCGATAATGGGTTTTTGCAAACTCAGCTTCGCTTGGAACATTCATGAAGTCTTCGATAACACTTTTTGGGTTGCCAACAAAAAGTTTCAACAAAAGAGGCATCAAGTGGTGAACCCTCGTATTCTGATTAGTCAGGAAGGGGAACGATACTCTGGCATAGTCTGAACACACCTTGCTGAATGTCTCCTGTCCTAGAGATTGAGCAATAATGAATGCAAATGCCCAATCCTGTTTAGAGATGGCAAAATTCAAAGCACCCTCTCTGTTTCCTGCCTGTACTAGAGCCCATACTGTGTTGATTCCAGCATTATCGAGCTTAAACGCATTTGCAGATATTCCTGGGCCGGCTCTGGATCCAAATCCAGAGTTTAGGTCTTGGCTGAATTGGAAATTGACATTAGGGGCCAAAATGGCAGCCCAAATTTTGTGTAGTGCCGCAGAGGCAAAATCTCCGTCGTTTTGAACCAAAGCGTAGAGGAGTTCGTTAATGAGTAACTCGTCCATTTTCATGTTATCGCTTTTCAATTTGGCGATATTCTTCTCAAACCATGCTTCAAGATCTTTTTTCTTCGACTTGGACCGTGACAAAGGCCCAGGAAAGTCAGCGTACACTTCAACGGAAGGTGCAATTTCCGAAAGTTTTGCCACTTTAATCACCTTTTGTGGTATCTCAAACCCATTCCCCGGCTGTAACTTGAACACCACGGCCTGATCTGACGAACCCCAGCTGAAAATTGGGAATTGCCGGCGAAGGAGGGTTTCAGGGTTCTCAATCCTTTCAGGAAGCAGGTCTATGGTAGGCAAACCTGATTTCACACTCGACTTTGCACGCCTCCGGAAGCCTTGATTCATTGGCGTCATTACGTTATTTGGAGAGGCACTGTTCATTGCGCCCTGTGGAGCTGGGGCATACGGGTTCCCCACTCTCGCATTTCCACCAATGATTGAGTTTGTCCTCGAGTGTGTACGGGCAGATGGGCCGTACGGACCAGTGTTTGGAACGTATGGACTCAATGAGCTGCTTTTCTCAGTTGTCTTTGCCAGAGAATTGTTAATTTTTGGTGCTCTCATGGTAGTGTGCGCAAGAGGCTCTTGCATGGGAGCAACCTGGGACCCAGTTACAACGTGGGGTTTAGAAAGTGGCACCCCCGGGCCTGGTGGTACGTTTGGCATTTGAGGATGTTGCTGTTGCAAAGGCATTTGGGTGAACTGATTTCCTGGCAGCATACCTGGAGAATACTGGTTTCCTTGTGCTTGAGGATACTGATTTCCTGGTGCTTGAGAATACTGAGTTCCTGGCGCTTGTGGATACTGAGTTCCTGGCGCTCGACTAGCTTGGGCCGCGGGAAATGGGACTGGTGCATACTGGTTTGGTGGAGCACTAGGCACACTGTTTAGGGTTTGAGCTCCGCCCAAAGCATGAGGTTGTGGAATGTTCACTCCTGGAGGCGGAACAACGCCAGGTTTTATGATTGGCGTGGTGCTCTGTTGATGGGGCCTGGCCATCGGAGCGCCTGCTGGCTGGTACTTGGATACCTTTTCGTTGCGATCGCCTGAAGCTTGTGGCTGCTGGGCGGACAAGCCCACCTTTGGGGCCAATACTGCGTATGGGTTCTGGGATGGCTTCTTTGGCAAAACACTGGCAGGGTCCAGTGGGAGCGACGGCGGCTGTGGGATCTGAGGGCTTGCGCTCACGGCAGCTAATGCAGCCCGCTTGGGCTTGTTCGAAGGCTTAGGTAAAGCCACAGGTAAGTCTTCAAAAAACGGCTTGTTGTTTGTGCGTGTGCTTTCGCTGGCGGCCCCTGAAGGCGTAGTGTTTGAGCCTAGGCCTTGCACTGAGCCAGACGCGGCATGGCGAGGAAGCACGCTTGCCAGTGAGGCTCTTGATGCAGGCTTCGCCTTCAGGATCGGGAACTCGGTGGGGAAATCGTAGGCGTCATTCTTTTTTGCTTGTGTTGCAGTAGGCAAGTCCTGTTTCTGTACAACGTTGCTGGGAATGACATTGCTGGGAATGACATTGCTGGGAATGACATTGCTGGGACGCGGAGGTACATAGGAGTTCCCGGGGAGCGCAGCCAGCGGCGCGTATTTGGCGGCGGTGTTCGGAGCTTGGGCAGGTTTCGAGTACTTGCTAGCAAACGTCGTTCTTGGTGCTTGCTCGGGCACGATTTCTTGCTGCTGGGCGGGAGCTGCGGGAGGGAGTTCCGGCTCGTCGTCCAAAAAGTCGTCGTCCAACAAAAGATCATCGTCCATGTCCAAAAGCTCCAACGCTTTTGCTCTTTTGTGGACAGATGCAGGTTCGTGGAGAGCCGTCTGAGAAAGGTCGTACGGCGTGACGTCTGAGTCGCTGAAAAGCGCGTCCAAGCCCCGATCATGCTCGTGCGCACACTCCTCTCCGTGTGGTGCTACGTACTCCTGTGGTGCATCATACTCTTTGGGTGCTTCGTACTCCTGTGGTGCATTGAGCCCCTGTGGTGCATCATAGTCCCGAGATGCATCATACTCGTTGGGTGCATCATACTCCTGTGGTGCATCATAATCCTGAGATTCATCAACTTCCTGTGGTGCATCATAGTCCTGAGATGCATTGAGCCCCTGTGGTGCATCATAGTCCCGAGATACATCATACTCGTTGGGTGCATCATACTCCTGTGGTGCATTATACTCCTGAGATGCACCATATTCCTGCGGTGCTTCATACTCGAGGTTTGCCAGTGTTTGCAACTCCGGGCTCTCGTTCTGAAGAGCCGGGCCTGGGTTCTCGTGCATTGAGGGCCATGGCGTCTGCACAAACGCTTCCGGGTCCGCAGAGGGCGCTTCTATGCTCTGACTCTGCGCCGCAGACTCAGGCACATGCGTGTCAGGGTCCTCCTCACGTGGCCCATTGTTCTCGTGTGCACAATCCGAGGCTGGCCCCGCAGACTCGTCGTTTTCTCCTGACATCAAGTCCACTGCGGTGAACAGGGAGGCGTCGCCCGAGACCGCTGGATGCGGCGTTTCCTGGGCCAGCGAAATACAGTCCGGCGCAGGCGCCGTGGGACCGTCAGCCGCATGCTCGCTGCTGCTGCGCTCCTGGCTCGGGTTGGCGAAACGCATGCCGGTCTCCAGAGGATGGTCCGACTCCTGGAACGTCAAGGTCTGTGGCTGCTCCTCGTCGAGAAGCGACCGGTGCGAACGGTAAGACGCGGTGGTGTCGCGGTCCCACGGAAGCCCGGCGCCACGTGACTCGGCCGCCTCGTCCCTGTCGGCGTGCAGCGCCATACTGTGGGTCTGATGTTGGGTTTCCCCGAAGTTGCTGTATGATGCCTCCCTGTCGGCGCCGGGGCGGGCCTCCCACAAACGGTCCAGCTGGTTATACTGCGCGGCTGCCTCGTCAAAATAGGGCCAGTGGTTTTGGGGGTGGGAAGCGCCCGAAACATGGCTCTTCAAGCTATACCGCGACGCCGTGTCGTCCCTTTCATGGGCATGTCCAGCCGGCTCGTCGCCCCACCAATCCTCTTGATGATTTGCTGCGCGGGCGGGACTTTCAGCGCGCTCCCACGGCAAGGGCCCGGTTTCGGGGTCCAGACCCGTGGCGGTCTGTTCCATTTCGTGCTCCAGAGCCGCGTTTAGGGCCGAGGTTTGGCGCGGTGGCATGTCGCCAAAGGGCACGGGACGCGTTTTGTGCTCGGGGGGGACGCTGGTGTTTTCGGGCACATATGGGGCGGCGGGCTGCTCGGAAGCGTGCTGGTTATGAGCGTCCTGGTCCCACGGCTCGTCGCCACGCGCCTGAGGCAGCTCATTGTCCCACGGCATATCCGGCAGGTCGCCTTTGTCCAATTCTGGTGTTCTTCTGTGGCCAGCGGCCATCAGTTCAGCGGGGTCTGCACACGGCAGGCCAGAGTGGCCATGAAGCGCCGTTTGTGGCGCCGCAGGCGGCTCCTGCAGCGGCTCCGGCGCACCTTCGTCCTCCCACGAAATGTCGCCAATCTCCTCGTCCCACGGATCACGCTGGTCGTCAATTTTCGGCTCGTTCAGGGGCACGCTGACGGCGGCAAATGGCGGGACGCTCGGATCACGTGACAGCCCCGCCAAACCGGCGCCCGGAAGCTGCGGGGCACCGCTGGTGGCGGGCCCGGGATTTGCCGGGTCTGTGCCATCAGATCCCTGTGGAAAACTGGCCTGAAAAACGGCATTTGGCCGCGGTATGGTGGCCAACGGCGGGGCCAATAGTGAAGGTGGGGCCCGGCTTCCCGAAGCGGGCAATTCCGGGCCGCCGGCACCGCCGCCCGTGCTGTACTGCTGCACGTGACCTCGTCTTTTGGGCTTTGCTTTTGTACTCATGGTGCAAACAGGCTTTCCTCACACTGGGAAGAAAGATGGCGAGAAAACAGGCTGGTCGTTGAGCGTTCAAGTTAGGCACGGGCCTTGGAGACGGTTGGCCCGCGTGTGGCTTGTGTGCAGGCACTCGGTATATGGAAGGGCGGCCCGCTGGGCACGGCTGGAAAATTGGCCGTAAAAGGAGAGGGCTGTGGGAGCATAGTGGGTAAGGTTTTGGGGTGGATTTTTTTTTGCATTTTTGATGTCGTTTTGGGACGTTGTGCTGGATCTGGAGGCAGCCGGCCAGGAGCCCCGCCTGTGTGCAGGACCACGGTCTCTGTTCTCTTTTCGGGCCCAAGTTCGACGGTTTCCCTAGCTTGTGGGTGTAATTGTGCATATTGCGTTCCTCATTGCTCTGGCCTTGGCGGGGTCCGGCCATCGCCGGCGTTTTGTGTGGACAAGGCCCGCCGTACCCCGGTCACGTGCACACGCCTCGTTCTGGAGGTGCGACCGTGTCCATTTCGCTAATACTTTCCTGGGGCTCGGGGCTAGATTTGCAAAGTCTGAGAGCACCAGCTGGAAATACCAGATCTGGGTTCTAGATCCTCGGGGCAACAAGCTTGTGGTGTGCCATTTTGTTTGTTTTTTCATGATTGGGTGATGTTCCTTAATTTGAATTTCCGCTCCACAGTCTGCAATTTGTCGAACCTTGCCTCGGCTTTTCTAATTCTCAGAAACCGCGGGAATGAACAGGCTCAATTGGCGATGAAGGCGGGCTTCATGCGGCGGACTAGATGCGTTTTGACTGCAAGTGTTTCAAGACGCCTGGTTTTTGGAACTTTCTGTCTTTTTTTTTATTTGTGAAGTATCACACCACGAAGTGGCCATATTGAATCCTCGAATGCGGCCTTGCAAGTCGTCGCTATGAATAGTGGGTGATCCCAATTTCGCCAGCACGCCATGAAATGCTTATTCAGTAGTTACCACTCACCAATAAAGTTGTGCACTTCGTGGCTGTAATTCACCAGCTCAAAAAGAATCCTTTTGGGGCGTTTCAGGCGAAGCCTCCGGGTTTCAATACAAACCTAATTCGCAGGTCATAATATGATGACACGCTTGGACACTCGGCCCCGGCCAGCCAGCTCCTCAATTCGGGAAATTACTGCTGAAGCTAATGTTTAAAATAAATTGGACATGACAGAAATCCGCCAAACCATATGAATGTCCCCTCCACCGACATGCCAGTCACTTTGTAAGTGCACATACAACTTTCAGCCTTTTTATTTGGCAGGGCATATGTGGACAGGCACTCGTCTCCCAATTTCTCCTCGACAATTCAGGGAGTAGAAATGAGTGTCAAAAGTCGGGAATGGAAAACCCGCATGTCATAATGGACGTCTGATGACACCAAGACCCATTTACTTTGCCATTTTTGGTTTCATAAATCGCAAGTTCCTGTTATCAACAAAGCTCTCTACGTACCATCAATCTGTTTTTGGGGCTTTCCCCTGATTTCCCTCTGCAAATGATACACTTTTATGTCACTCAAGCCATGTTCTGGTTTACACTATAGACCCATACCACAAGCAGTGGGCGGGCCCGAAAAAGTTACGAGGTTTCCAAAACAAACAGAAGTTCAAAAATTGAACGAGTCATGAACCCTTTCTATACTATCCCTGGGTACAACTTTACAGATGGGTGCGTTTTGAGCTGTTTCGAAATTAACCAGATGTCCTCTACTTCTAATGGTCTGAGGACAATTGCATAGCGGCATAGCCTCATACTTAATCTTGAAGTTGACCACCGCAAAAACATACGTGTTCGTCACCACTGAGTCGAACCTATATCCTGGCTTTTATTTCCCATCACAAAAAACGCAGAATGTCAAAATTCATACCGTTGTTCCAGACATCATATGGCCTTTCTTTGGGTGCGTGTCCCCACCACTACAGTGTCGGACATTTGCAGTCGCGATTTCCATCGCACAATCGATACGGCCATTTCCCAAAATAAACAGGGGGTGGCTCAGAACACAAAAGCACCAATGCTCGTAAAAAAGAAGTATAAATATCCCGCGTCTCCCACTTAAGTGCCCGGCGCCTCTGCCTTTTTTCTGCCTTTTCCTTCTTGTGTGATCCCCGCTTTTGCTCTCTGCTTCTGTATTCCTGCGTTTTTTCTCCTCCTTTTTTCCCCGCGGTTAGCTTCGCTCTTGTCAACGCATGACGTATAACGCAGTGCTGTTTGCAGCCACGCAGTAGCCACAGCGAGTAAGGCAAGCCCGCCCCATGACAAAAGCACACCCAAATTTTAGGTCCAAAAGAGCTCAATCATAGCCGAGAATAGAAAGCGGCGCCACCATCCCACCAGATTGATGCGTCTGAATCTACTTTGTCCATCGCTACCTTTGGCTGCAGTGGCTTTGTTCGCTTCCATGGCTATGTGCACACCGCGCTCCACCCCAAAGAAAAAAACACTCCATCGCTGCCGCATGTCTATTTTTAACCTCAAAGGTGATTAACCAATAGGTAGACTACACCAGCCAGACTGCCTGCCCCAAAACGCGAGTTTCTCTGCGCCCAATTCGCAAAAGCCTCTGTCGAAAAACGGCACATCAAGCATCACCGAACCAGTCTGGTCCAAGCGCCACAAACAGTTGTGTCCACGTGCATCTGCTCTTGGCACTATATTTCGCCAATCTCAGCGGTATTAGCTCTTCGACACACTCGAAAACACAGAAACCAACTTCTGCATTTCGAGCAGACAAAGACACGCAAATTTTTGCAACAGCACCGCCGCCCCCTACGTGCTCACCATGGGAAGAAGAAAGATCGAGATCGAGCCCTTGGGCGATGACCGCACTCGAACCGTGACTTTCGTCAAGCGCAAAGCTGGCTTGTTCAAGAAAGCGTACGAGCTTTCTGTGCTCTGTGACGTTGATATGGCAGTAATAATCGTGGGCAACGATCGCGTCTACGAGTACCTGTCCGTCGACACAAAGGAATTGCTAAAGTATTACAAGCACCAGAGCCCGTATGAGCTGAAGCTGCCGGAGGATTACGGGCAGTTCAAGAAACGTCATGCGCTCAAGGCGGGAATAAGGCCTGCGTTCGAAGGTGACGACACGACCGAAAGGAATGCAGAATCGGACTGCGAATCCTTCTCTCCAGAACCCAAGCGCCAGAGAACAAGCTCGTCTCCTCAGAATATATACACGAAAACCCCGCCGGTCAACTCGCAATTCGTGCAGCTGGCAGCCCCACCCAAGCAGATGCAGAGACCGCTGGCGGACGTCCCGCTGCAGAGGCCCGTGCTCCGCGTGCAGATCCCATCTGACGCCAAATCCCAGGGAGGGGCCACCGAATCCGTGACTCCAATAGAGGGGATACTCGGTAAGAAGGACAATCAGCCGGGCTCTGCAGACGGCCTGTCGCTGCAACCGCCGCCGTTGAATACGGTGCGAACTTCTTTCAATTCAAAGTTCCGGAGCCCGGAATCAAGGAAGCAAATGCCGCAGCTTCACGTTCCCATGGGCAAGCTGCAGACCCTGAGCCCCTCTACGGGGGCTATGCCGCAACTCCCGATCAACGGGTCTGCGAACTTCTTTTCGTCCTTGCCACCACCGTCGCCCTCGGGCCAGTACCCGCCGTCAATCTTGCCCACGCCCGTCTTTAATCAAGTATTCAACCAGCACTACATGAATCAAATGGCCGGCATGCCGGGCTTGGGCGTGGGCAACACCACCCCAGGTTTGGGCCCTACGAATGCGACATCCAACATGCCCCAGATGCTGAATCTGCTGCCCACGGGAGATTCAGGAGGCGGACACGTGGGAGCGAGCAATGAGCCTGATGCCAGCAAGCTCAAACCACCGTTGCAACACCTATTCACAAACGGGGAACAGACGCCAGTCTCTGGATTGCCCTCGCGTTACCTAAACGAGATTTTCCCATCGCCGTCGAACATGTACCCGTCGCAAGAATGGCCCACAGGCTTGACTCCGTACACGTCAACAATGTCACATTTCTTCACTGGGATGCCTCCGAGTGCCAATGGTGCCACGCCACATTCCCTAAGCGCACCATTCGTTCACAATCAGCGAACATCCCTACTGGTCGCAGGTCAGCGGGCCCTACCTGTGCGAGCGGCGCTGTCGCTGAATGTGCATGCGCCAACAATCCAGGAAGATCAACAAACGCATCCGTCGGCGAACACGCTCCCAAACTTGCCCAGCTCCGAGTTCATGGGTCAGTTTTACAAGAAAGAAGACTGATTATAGACGTTGTTGTGGTCACAACAGCTTTAATTACAGACCCGGCTGATTTGGGGGATACTTGTCTCAATCTGCGCTTCCATATCGTGCCTTGGATGGCGTCCTACGACAAACAATTGCACAATCAACGAACAATAGCTCATGTACCATAGTGTGAAGTATAGAAGAGGCAACAATGTAAATTCAACAGTGTTTGAAGGGCACCAGCACGGCCTGCCGCGACTGGGTCAACCCACCAGTCCATGTTTCCGTAGGCTGTTCTTCAGAAAGCGGCAATGTCGACGTCTACATCTACACCCCCTGTGACGCAATGCACACAATGCATAACCGGCAAGGGCGGACTACGTTGATGAAGTCCCCAAAACTAAAATACTATGCATTGATCAACTTCTCCATCAATGCTTGCAACCTTAAGTCAATACACTCGTACGTGATACCCGCCCTTATCACGCTAAAGTATGGGGCTCGCCTACACCCGCAGCACCATGGGCTACTTATACAAAATTTGCCGAAACCAGTGGCCACATAAAACTGATGACTGAATCATGTTTGATTGCCAAATTCAGCCGGCCTGGTAGTGATCTGGCATCCTGAAAGATGTATTAGACAGACCAACGCTACAATAAGAAACATGCAGTGCAAGCATTCCATGCAGGGCACTCTGGTCCTGCACGCGGTCCTGCCGCGTGTGCCGCGGCGCACGAGACCAGGGCTGGAGCCCTGGGCGCACGTGACCCGCTCCTCCCCGCAACGCAGCACGCTGCCCGCGCCAGGCGCCACACCCGTACCGCCCACCAAGCGGAGTCACGTGCTGCCCGCGCAGGTGGCCCGCGAGTCTGGAGCCGAAAAAAAAAAGTCCCTGCGAAAGCTGGAAAATTTTTCTTTTCTCCTACATCAGGCTTACCAGTTCATCATGAAGGTATGTCAATCCGACAACATGTGTGTGGTTTAGGCTGCAAATCCCGTTCCGTTCAGGCGCCTGCAAAATTTCCAGATCCGTGGCCACGCAGCCCTTGATATCCGGACTTTTCACAGGCCTTGTATGATTGTCCATGCTTCTCCGAGCTCGACCCATAGATCCTCAGGCGAAAACACATATGTGCACAAAGCACCAAATTCCCGCCAAATATCAACGTTTTTTTACGCGGCCCGAATGGCGGCGGCCCTCTGTTTCCGGGCATGTGAAAATTTTTGCCGAAGCCCTAGTCTCTCTGTTTTGGCAGGGCCCCTAATACGGACCCCCATGGCCATCTAGGAGGCATTCAAGCAGCACATCTTCGCCCCGTTTTAGCCTCGATCAGAACCATTTGTAGCCAGTTGCCCGACACCACGCGACGCGCCAAGAAAAACGGTGCCGGGCCCGTTTCTCGCACAAACACAGCCCCCTGTCTGCTCCCTATACTAACGTTCTAGTTAAACATCTCCTACCCAGCCAACGGTACCCAAAAGTGTGTCGAGATCGATGACGACCACAAGTTGCGTGTCTTCTACGAGAAGCGCATGGGCCAAGAAGTCGAGGGTGACTCTGTCGGCGACGAGTTCAAGGGTTACATCTTCAAGATTACTGGTGGTAACGACAAGCAAGGTTTCCCAATGAAGCAGGGTGTGTTGCACCCTACCAGAGTCAGATTGTTGTTGTCTGAGGGCCACTCTTGTTACAGACCAAGAAGAACCGGTGAGAGAAAGAGAAAGTCCGTCAGAGGCTGTATCGTCAACCAGGACATGTCCGTCATTGCCTTGGCCATCGTCAAGCAAGGTGACGCCGACATCGCTGGCTTGACCGATGTGACCACCCCAAAGAGATTGGGTCCTAAGAGAGCCAACCACATCAGAAAGTTCTTCGGCTTGACCAAGGAGGACGACGTCAGAGACTACGTTGTCAGAAGAGCTGTCGAGAAGAACGGCAAGACCTTCACCAAGGCCCCAAAGATCCAAAGATTGGTCACTCCTCAGACTTTGCAGAGAAAGAGAGCTTTGAAGGCCAAGAAGGTCAACAACGCTAAGCAGCAAAGAGACGCTGCTGCTGAGTACGCTCAATTGTTGGCCCAGCGTTTGCACGAACGTAAGGCTGAAAGAGCTGAGACCAAGAAGAGAAGAGCTTCTTCCTTGAAGGCTTAAGTTAGCATCCCTCCATCACCTCCCCTTAATTGGTAAATATATATACCGTTGTTTCCACCTGGTGTTCTTGTAGGACTGTGTTTACTGTGACTGCATCGCACTTCGAAGTGCCGCTGTGAACTGATTTGATTCATGGTTTATGTGAGAAGGTTCTTGTGTGAAATGTTTGCGTGACTTGAATGGCTTAGGTAGGACGTCCCCGTGTAACTGGATGAATTCTTGCGGAAGATCTTTCTACATGGCCAATTGATTTTTTTTGCAAGCTGATCTGTCATTGAGGAAAAGTGGCTTTTGTCAGATTTATCTAGCAAAAAAAAAAAACGGGTTCGTCCTCACAGGCTAAGCTGGCCGGGAATGTGCTATCTTTGATGTAATGAGAACTATAACTGATCAATTTTACGAAGTTGGTATCTGATGTATCCGCGGACCGAGAACACTATCTATGCTGTGAAATGTCATGTATTGGATGCACGACTCCCAATACAATGCCTGGCTACGAGTCTAATTCCAATGGAATCATGAGTATGGTATCACCTACACAGAAATATGATTATGAGATGCGGTAGGAGACAATTCAGCGACAACGCCTGATGAATGCCTGGGAATGAAAAGTGCCGTTTCGATCATATAGAAGGATTTATCCTAGGCACAGCTGATACATTGAACTCCAGTTTTATCCGTTATCAATGTGATCATGCAACTAATATAGGTGCATCTATTAAGACACGCGACATTACAGAACGCCGAAAAAGCGACCACTTGAAACGCCATGTTTGACATGCCTCATTCAATATTTCAAATCCCCGGAAGGCAACCATCTTTTTCATACGCATTTTTAACATGGCCTTGACACCGACTTCGTGCACGTGCGTATATCATTCGTCCATCGACATGGCATGCTTAAACCGCTTCGGTAACCTCTGTCCGTTTTCGGTTTCTCACAGCATCTGCATCTGTTGCACCTGGAAGAGCCGAGCGGAGTCCGGAGAGTGATAGAATTTTCTTTCCTCATTCTTGCATTAACGCAACTGATGATTTCAGATCCATCTCCCGTCGCAACATTTTTAAAGCGGCCAAGGACCAGTCGCTCCAAGCCCCTCGTGTGCACCTTCAATGATCACGGCTGCCTCCGGCAAAACGCTTTTTTGTTTCAAAATGCTTGGTCAGATTCGTTGCACTCAACGCGACTCGACCATTTCCAGTGTGACTTCAGAACAGAAACGGGAGTAGTAAAAAACACAGTGCACGAAGCCCCTAGCCAAGCCCTGAATCAAAGACAAAAGCCCCTCTTTATACACCCATATTAATGCGCTTTGAATCGACCGCTTGTTCCTCCTCCTCTGACTGCTTGCGTTTCCCAACAAGTCGCTTGATGTTATCGTAAACTTGGTCCGTAGTGAGGTTAGACTCATAGGTAAAGTTTTTGCGCATGAAGTTGTCCTGCTGCTCCTTGTACCGGGGGTCTCGGAGAAGCGTTTTCAAATGCAAGTCAAATTCGTTTTGGGGCACAAGGGTGCCAGTGATGGGGCATAGAATATCATCCGAGCGTGTCGCTTCCTGCTCCATGGCTTTTCGTTTGAGCCGGGATTCGCCGGCTGCCTTGATCTTCATTCCCTTGGGCACAGTGGCTGGTGGAGGGGGTTGATTGCCCTCGTCTTTGCTTTGCGTTTCAGTTTTTTCTGTCTTTTTGAACATCTCACTTCCAGGCGGTGTCTGTACTGCTGGACTCACTGTGAACTCTAGATCTTTCGCCTTTGTCTCAAGAGATCTATAGATTATACTCTCTCTCAGCATGGGCACAGGCAATTCAGAAACTTCGTCAATGGCATCAAAATTCACTTTCGACACAAAAGAAAAGTCCTGCCAGTCAATAGAGGCGTAGTGGACCTGCCGGGCCTTGATGTCTTGTTCTTTATTCTTCTCTCTGATTTTGTGCCGTTTCTCAAATGCTGCCCGTTCATATGCTTTGCGGAAAAAGTTCATTTTATCCGTGGCAAGGTATGAGTCAATCAACTTTGTCAGCTTAGAGTCTGAGGAGCCCTGCTGCTTGTCGATAATAGCCCGATACTGATGCACGTAGGTCTGAAAAAGACCGTGCAAAGTATGCGATTTATTCATGAAAGCAAACTGATTTCGTCTTCCCTTCCGCTCCATAAACTTGTGAAACGCATCCTGGTTCTTGGGCAAATTACAAGCTACATAAATCGCGGTAGCCTTGATGACCTCCAAGTCGTGGTTGGATATTGGAGGAAGTGTTGTCAAGAACAAGAGCTCGTCCGGTTGTTTGGTATTCTCTGGTTTGCTTTTGTCCGTCGATAGCAGAATTCCATTTTGGGCAGGTTTGCCTTCGGTGGAAGCCTTCAAGCTTTCGATGTAGTACGAGTTATATTGATGTTCAGGCGAGAGAAATGCAAACTGGCCATTGGCATCATTCTGCCTCAATTTGTCTTCAAAGGATGCCCCATTTTTACGCACATAGGCCACTGTTTTCTCGATTACTTGTCTCATCGGTAGAGGAGGGACATCCTTCACGATTTTCCCAGCTTCTGAATTCATGATGTCAAATATAGGTGGGATCAGTCATTCCGAAGAGAGATGCTGTGGAGAGATGCTGTGGAGCTCAGTCAGTCAAAGCCCATGTCACGTGATATATTTTAGCATAGTGTTACATGTAGGCTGAAATAAGCTGAACGGGAGCGCCGCAACTCTCTCTTGGGACCGTATGTCATCTGATTTACTAAACCTGTTATATGTAACGTTTTCTTGTTGAAACAGATTTTCCAATAATATTCAGTGTAGCGAGGTTTTCTTAAATGGGGTAGAGAGTATTTTTGAGTCAACTTTGGACATGTCGCAATTTTATGGATTGAAATCTGCCAATATAAAAATGCACAAATGAAGAGGAGAGCTCACGATAGTTTAGCACATTCCGGTAAAAACAGATCTTGGGCGAGCTACTCATATCTGCTAAATAAACAGGTTGAAATGTTCTAGCTTTTTAACATGGGTATTAGCATAACTTAATCGCCAGAAGATATGATGTTTCGCTTTGATCGCAATGAAGATCTATTGAAAAGCTTCAACAATCTCGGATCTTTCATATTCAATTAAACAGACACTCAGAGCCCTTTTCATAATACCACAGTCCCCTATTACATTCATTGAAATATTTTTTTGGATCATGATCCACTTTAATTATATAGAATGGTCGAATAAACAGAGAGTTGGAATATTTTAAACATACCGCAGGCATATCATCCTTGGCATACACGGCCTTTAATCTTGCAACCGTTTTTCCTGCAACTCAATTTTTTCCGTAAAGGACACAATCGAATTTCAAAAATAGACACATCATATTTCGCACTTTGTCGTAATGATAGTTGTACTCACCGATGAGCGGAAACGTGGCCATAATATCTATCGAGTTCTCACTGCTTTTGTTTAAACTTCAAAAAATTAATATCATATTGGTATGTTCAGCAGTAGATGTTTACTCGTGTTCATTCCAAAAAGCCCTAAAGATTACTCTAAAGTTTGGGATACATGCACATGAGCCCATAATATCAATTCATTTCCCAGAATACGCTTTTTCTTATAAGAACCCCGTGACAGTGACCCCTCTTTATATTAAAATCGTTCCCGCTAAAAGGTTATTTGGAAATTATACCGGCTTTCGTAAAAAAGACCATGATGATACACGTTGTTGTAATAAAACAAGATGAAACACATGAGTCAGAGTCGTCTTAAAAGAAATATCATTGTTTTATCTGCAATTTCTTTTTCATTTCGAACCCGTTTGGCTCTAAATTTTACTGACTTTCAATTTTTCATTGGAATGTTACAACATCCAGTTTAAGCTTCACCGATACGATATAAAATTTTGCAGTTGAGAGCCCATGCCAGTTTTCTCCCGAGTATCACATCCATTAAAAATCTCATTGTTAATTGATCAACCGAATTGAGCACAATTCTACAAAGGACAAGTAATAAAAAGTTCCAAGCTATCTTGATCGTTGCTCGAAATATTCCAGAAATGCCTATGAATTTCCTCGTTCTCGCAAACAGCTCTGAACTCTCTATTTTGCCTTCTCTTTCATATATTTTGGGTTTCGATATTTTGCAAGTAACTTTTTGGCCCCTTCTTTGGTCTCGAGAGTCGTGTGCGAAATTCAAGTGCTAATTAAAAAATGTACTGATGGTTTAGCAAGATCATTTCCGATACTAAGGAAAGCCAAGCGCATTTTTTCACATTTTAATCCCTGGAATTCTGAAGCATTATCCTTATAACGATCAGCAACATGCAGTACAATCCCTGACAGTATTAGAAAAAAGGAAACGATGTATCGTAATAACGTGTAAAAATACGATCATATGATCGAAAGGCTTCCATTAGACCTCCTCTTGGGTTATCAGTATATTCCAGAGACAAGCTCAGCTAAGCATACATCGCCTTTATTCTAGTAAACGCTCAGAAATGAAAAATAATAATCTGCAAGAAAAGCTGATTTCAGCGCAGTTCTGTAGTTTTAGCGTTCTGAAATACTGCGTTTCTCAATAAAATCAAAAAATCTAATTCAACCGTCCATTGAGTGTTGCTTATCCAGCTGAGCAAATCAGCACTCAAATCTAGATTCTTGTTTGTCCGATTCTTCATTTCTTAAATTCATCTTACTTAAGAAGCAAACAATAATATGCATAAACAATGGATTTTAGCAGATCCCAGATACTTATCAAATGTCAAATCTCGGCCCACCCTATTCCGTTAACCACGGCCTGGATGGTCAGCACGCATCTGTGGATATTACGTCGTTGTTTCGTTGGATAACTCTCCTGTATTAGTCGCTTCATCTCAGATGTTGAAGAAGACTTAAAAAGCTTCCTCCATTGGAGAATTGAATTTCACCAAATGGATGATGTTTTGTTTCATATAATAACACAAATAGTTCGAAAAAAAGAATTCTTACAAAAAAGATATGGTCCCTAGCAGGATCGAACTGCTGATCTTGGCGTTATTAGCACCACGCCTTAACCAACTGGGCCAAGGGACCTTTTGATGTTTCTATCCGTTGCTTGTAATACTCACCCATTTAAATATAATAAGCTATTCAAATTTTCACTGTACTTGCACTGTTCTTGCAAACTTGATGTTTCCGCATTGAAATAAGCCTTATTTCTGCTCAAATACACCCCGGGCGAGTGGCTTAGACATATAGCCACTTCGGAATGGTTAATTCTTCACACACATGGAGTGGACTTTCACGAAAAACCAAATTGCTTATATTGAAGCGTGGAAAGAAGTGATACCAAGATGCGTTTGGCTTGGGTAGCTTTGAAACTGGCATTTGGTCCGCTAAGATATGGGCTTTAGTTTTGTTACGGAGGAAGTTGTAGTCTGAGTCATAAATTTGTTGTTCCAACTTTTTTGTCTCCGGGGAGGTTTTTTTCTTTAAACCCATTCCGTTTCAAGAAACCTTTGGACGGTTGGTCCGATACAGAGACCGGTCTATTGTTTTTTTGGATTTTTTTCGGTGTTATTTTCATCTCTTTATATTTTGCGGTTTTTTCTAATTCAATGTTTTCTGTAATTTTTTTTTTTTGGCGAGTAGTTTATTGTGTTTTTTTTTTGATTTTTTGAGTTTCTGTATTTGGTTTGGATTGGTTTTGATAGTTGGCGTTGGGATTGGCTGATCCCGGTGCAGGTTGTTGATGTTGGTTGCTCCCATGTAATATCCAATACGTAAACAGATACGGGCCAAGAGGACCGTCCAGGCCGTGACTAACGAAGGGGACGGACCGAGTTTCGACACTTGATACGTAGCTGGGAGCTGCAAGGTTTCTTATATATGTGTATATATATGTAAATATATATTATATAGTTTTGCACCTTTAATCAGATGTATCTACCGAAGAAAAAAAAAACAGTACCAACTAACAGAGGTACGAGTACGGTTCCCAGTGGGTCAGTTCACGTCTATTATAGGTTTTTCTCATTAGTTTTTGTTAGTGATGGGGTTATACATCCCTTCAGTGACACCCTATAATATGTTTCTACATACCATAGAATATCTTAACAAGCTCCCAGACGTGTACGAAGCACTCTTATTCTTTATTTTGGTAGACACATCTGATTAAGTGAGCAAAACTATACATACATATAAAAACAACCTTTAAACAGCTCCCAACTAGGTATCAAATATCAAAACTCGGTCTGCCTTCTTCCGTTAGTCACGGTCTGGACGGTCGTCTTCGTCCCTATCTGTTCGCGAATTGAATATTACGTCATCGATTCCGAGAGCATAAGTTTCCTGTAGTAGTCACTTCAACTCAGATGGTTGTAGCGGACTTAAGGAGCTTCCATTCTGCGACTCGCCACGCCTTCGAGTGTATACCTTGAAAGTCGTGGTGACGAACCATTTTAGTTTTGTTTTCCAAAGAGTTGTCGACCGGGGCCAACATTGCATTCAAACTCATGGCCTCGGCAAATTTTAGCTCTTGCCACCAGTATATGGATATTTCACAGTTGTTGTAGATATGGATAAGGAAAGCGTCTGTGGCATCTCCGTTGGTGTGGATTTGGTGTGTGCAAAGATGACATTGGCTAGGGCCCTGCGTCATAGTCTCTGCGAAACTCTTTACTTACCTCACAGGCCTAACGCAAGCTGATCATTTCACCGCGAAAATGTTCTTATTGTATAGCTTTAGCAAAACAATAAGCCCTCTTATCTTTAGAACTAGCTTCTTCTTTGCTGCGATATGTTGATCGTAAAACACATCCTTCTATTAATTGGTACTCTGGCCGAGTGGTCTAAGGCGCCAGGGTAAGGTTACCTTACCATACTTTCCTGGTCTCTTCGGAGGCACGAGTTCGAACCTCGTGGGTATCAATATTTTTTGAATGTTTTCTGATTGTTATAAGGATTTTTTTGTTAACTGCATGGAGCAGCTAGCCACGATGTAAACATCAACTTAATCCTTCCTGTGAATAAACAATTTATTTTAGACATCCTGAGATCATTGGTGTAGAATGAAGTGACACCGCTGCTAAAAACAATAATATAACAGTTTACTTGAAGGCAACATAATATCAAGTGACCAGCGCCCAGCTTCAACATTTCCCGATCGTTGAGGTCTTCTTTGGGAATTGTTTTTTTCCTAGAACAGAAAGGCTTTTTTCTAAAATACAAACAAACAGGATCAAATTTCTGAAAAATAGGATTCTGTATATTTGACTTGGGGCAATGACGCAGGAAGGATATCACCCAGTTATGTATGTATAATTCAACCTGATTTATTTGTCAAATTGGATGTTTGCTATTGATGACTGGTCAATTTCAATTATTCAGCCCATTCGAAATCTTAAACAGCACATAGATACGTGCAGAGCGAGAAGTAGCCTGCCGCCTTCATTTGTTTTTCGGGTCTTTAGTTTATTTTATTTTAGTCCTGGAAACTTCTGGTAGGCGTTCAGCATGGGACATATATATCTATATGAGAAGCATAATATCATAGGACATTCCAGGCAAGTATGTATCAACGTGAAGTCACATATAACACCAGGATCCAGAACTCATACAAATCTGCAATAAATCACACAAAGAGGAACATTTGAGTAACTTTTTTTGGAAAATTCGAAGATTCTACAATGACAACTAGGGGGGGGGGATATTCTGAAAATTATTTTATCTGTACCATTTCAGAACATAAGTGGGAGTTAAAAAAAGACTTGTTTACCATATTCAATAAGATTCGAGAGAATCGGGGGTTTAAATTTGTGGGTTTGGTCCTATTGTCAGACAAACTAACAATTTGGTCGATGTTGACACCTCAAGTTGAAATTTCTCCACCAGGTTTGAGCATTGACTTGCAAAATTGTCAAATTTCGTATACGACCTCATATTAAAAAGCGAGCAACAATGATGAAACTTAATAAATGAGTGGTTGTCTTAGCCTATGCCTCTAAAAGTGATATCCACGTCAATAATGGGTTCCTGCTGTATGGGTCCCACAAGGCCATTTGTTGTCGTATCAAAGGGTTTATTTCATACGATGCTGAGTGTGAAGGCGGAGAGAAGATCATGATAGAACTCGCTCAACAACACTGATTCTTGGTCTCAAAAAGTCTTGGTCTTCACATGTAAAGGCGAATAACTACATGAATAAAGTATCAAGTAATAAAGTTTTCACTCAAACGTTTCTTTTTTGATTGTGCTGAAAACTCTGGTTGCATCGGCGCTCTACTTCTGGCGAATGGTGAATCCAAGTAGCTTTAGCCTTTGCCACAAAATTGTTCTAGCAATTACTTTATTTGTTCTTTTCTTTTCTTCTAGCTGTGGAATTATCATTGCGAGTCGCATATGCTTAAAATGAGTGGAGCACACTCGCACGACTAGATACATTGCAGTATGCTATTGACACAGCCCAGAATTTGCTCTGGAACCCAAAACGTCTGGAGAACTTTGTTGAGCAGAAGATTTTAGTGCTCATCTGGTCTCTTGTTTTGGGTTATGTGAATCTATGTGCTCGGGAATCGGGAAGCAGTAAGTAGGCTGAAACTGTTTCAGAATATATTTTGCGTAAAAGGTTTCATTTATACTGCTTCATGAATCATAGACAAGAAATCACGACCAGGTATTGGTCTCAGGCTACGCCTCTAATTTCGAAGAATAATAGTACACTTTCTACGAGTAAAGGTCCACATTATGAACTCTACAAGGCTTTTTGATATTATTAAATTTCTTCGACTCCAGATGCAGTGCCTTCTGAGACAGAAAGTGCTGAAAGTTTTCAAAATAGTCTTGTTGAAGACGATAAATAAGCGGCAGATGGGCACATGATCGAGCATGAAAATAATCAGGTTACCAGCAGGGACCAGGGCCTATCTCACGATCGTCCCAGAAAAAGACACCATTTTCAAAATCTTTACCAAAATAAAATTAACAGCTGAAACTGGTTTTTATATGAAAATAATCCGACCCATCGGATGTGATTTTGCAAAAGCGTAACCACAGTCCGTCTAGTAAAGGGACGACAGATGTGATCTTCACCTCTCTGAGACCGACTGTTTGAGCATTGCCCACTAATTTAACAAACCAACTGGAAATATGTAGATTCTCAAATATCGTGTTCTGTGGAGCAAGTGTTGACTCAGACTACGATGGAATTAACGATGTGCTCGCCACAATAAAATCCAAGTCTGCCGAAATTAATGATTTCATAAGGTTTCTCTCAAGCTCTGGTCCGTTTTCCCAATCAAGTATCTGTGTGTGCTGCCTCTTATCGGTTTCAGTAGCGTTGTAGAGCCAAGTTTTCGCCACTTAAGTCTAAATACCTCACACTAATTGGAGAGTTGACTCAAATAGTCATTCTATAAGATAAATCCCCTTCATACAATGTAAGAGCTAAGACTATGAATATAAATAAGATGGGGAGATGTAATTAGTCTTGTTGAAATTTGGCGTAACTTTGATGAAAGCCCTGAAGTATGGGTTTCTCGTGGCATATCAGCTATTGCTCACTTGTTCGAATGCTGTGACTGTATTTTATGTTTATGGTCTTCAGTTTCGTTGAGGTACATGTTAGCTTTGTCTGCAACGCATGGTTTTTCATGGCTTGTAGTTCTAGTCGTTGGTGACAGATATTGATACCTCCTGTTTAAGAAGATTCAAACAACTCTAAAAGACAACCTTGTGTCATACGACTCATACCTTTGCGATAAAAAGTTTCTTTGACATTTGTTCCTGTTTTTGTCCGTTTTTTTCGAAGCATTCTAATATGGGATACCTCCTGTGGGTGTGTAACAAAACTTGGCTGCATACGCCACTCTAGATAAGAACCATAGAGCCAAGTTCTTTTTTTGGTAGATTCATCTGATTAAGAAACTATGTAAAAATTAAATATAAAAACCATTAAGCAGCTCCCGGCTACGTACCAAGTGTCAAAACTCGGCCCCTTTTCCGTTAGTCACGGCCTGGACGGTCTTCTTGGCCCGTATCTGTTTACGTATTGAATATCCATAATAAGTCGCAATGTCAGATCAGATGACTAGGTGCAAGGACTTAGTTGTAAAGTTGTTCCGGAAGAAGTGGCTCCCTTAGAAATTCTGATCCAAAGGACGTTAACGGCTTGAAACGTCTAGGTCTTTTACTTTTATCTATTCATTGAAAGAAGAACATGTAAATAGAAACACGGCATCAGCCCAACTGCCTCTTTTTTGACAGATTCATCTGATTATATAAAGCTGCAAACCACCACACAAAACTCGCCAACAACAGTTGAATACGTACAGATGTTGAAACTCGACCATCCCTAGTCGATAATCACGACCTGGATGGCTATACTGAAGAATCAAGTGAGATCCAGATTTCGTTTTTACTCTTATATCTGTGCTGTACCTCTTGTGGTTGCGTAGCCTTTGTGACTCGTTTTCTCAATTCCATTTGATTGGGATTGATGAAAATGCCAGTGGAGTTGTGGAATCCTGGTTCTGTTGGGCTGGAGTAGAATTCTCTGCCTGCTTCTTTGACACATTCCTGAATTGCTTTGATATCTTCTTCTGAAGCTGAGATTTCCTGAATAATCTTAGCACGAGCAGCCCACAAAGTAATGAGTACAGGCTATCTACCAGAAAGCGTTAGTCAGTATGGATGACCCTCATCCCAAAAAGAGGGTCTTCGAGTTCAGCAGACATTTTTTTTTTTTTTATAAAAGATCAAAGACCCATTCACCAAAGCATTTGATTTCAATTCTCGTCAATATATTCATGAAGTACTTACGAAAATGGGATTTGGAAACCTGGTACTTCGACTAATAATGCTGATCATAACGGAGTAATCAGGTCAGATCGTCACGTGTTGCTTTGGCTGAAAGAGTCCATGCTTTCTTCACTCGATGGCGAGCGGGAGATGGTTTAAGTGGGGTGATCATACTTCTTGTTGCTTGCCTCTTGCATGACAGTTTCTTGAGGCTCGTTGAATGGATCTCCCGAAAACAAACGATGATACAAACCACGCCAAAGTAGCAATGGTAAACAAAGCTGAACGCCGGAAAAGTCAGCCTGCAGCTCCCCCATTGCCTAAAACCCCAACGCATGCGCCAGGCGGGCTATATTTGTTTCTCTGGTCCGGGCCCCAATTCTCCCTCAGCCAGCATGAGATAGAGCCAGGGTCTTCACCACACTGCATCTACTACAACTTAATCAGTCAAGATCCATCGACAGGCACTCTGGCCGAGTGGTCTAAGGCGCCAGGGTAAGGTTACCTTACCATACTTTCCTGGTCTCTTCGGAGGCACGAGTTCGAACCTCGTGGGTGTCAGTACTTTTTTGCCTGGCTGGTCCGCCGCCGCGCGCCCCAAGAAACCCCCAAAGGCTTTCGCAATCTCGTCTACTATCGCTTCTTCCTCAACGCTGGTTCATGCCCCGTATGTATTGGTGATGCTGCGCTTTGTAAACACCCCCCTTTCTCGTAGGCCGTCTCTGGCATCCAGCGACAGTGACGAGGACTCGTTCACACACGACTTGGACCAGATCGGGCGCTTCAATCTCCCGAGCCTCCCGAGCCTCCCGTCGTTCGACTTGGCCGATGTGCTGAACTACATAACTCAACAGGTGCAAAACGCCACGCGTTCCATCGACATGGACCTGGTGCTGGGCAACTTCCCGCTGCAGGCCAGCATGGTCAACTCGGTGAAAACGGCGTTGGCCACGCGGATCCAGATGCGGTCGTTTTTGTCGGACATCAAGGGGGGCTTGACGCTCCAGGCGGCGCTTGCGCGGCTCGAGCCGATTTCACGGCACATCCACGAGGCCATGGGCCTGCCGTTTGGAGAAGAGGATGGGGACGGAGAAGGAAGTGGAGAAGGAAGTGGAATTCGAGATGGAGACGGGATTCAAGATGGAAGTGGAGATGGAATTCAAGATGGAAATGGAAATGTAACTGGAAATGGAAATGGAACTGGAACTGGAACTGGAACTGGAACTGGAACTGGAAATGTAACTGGAAATGGAAATGTAACTGGAACTGGAACTGGAACTGGAACTGGAACTGGAACTGGAA